GTGGATTCTTTACCACCCACACCTAATGCCTCCATTTAAGGACACTTTGAACTCTGTATATGTTGGAGTATGATAAGTATCGTCGATAAACGACCAAAACAATTGAATTTGATTGCTTTATGAAAGATTGCTTTTCTGCTTGATGAAAGAGAAGACAACTTGGAACTAAAATCATCTTTTGCTGATCCAAAGAGAGCATTGTTGTATTAAGTTTTATAATAGTATCGAATCTAATAGTATTAATGGGTTTTAAAAAAAATCTCATTAGTAGTATGGAATCTGGAATTGTGCCCGGTATATAGCAATAGACTCACCCTCTATTACATGTGACTCAGAATATAAATAATGAAAAGTGGGTGATACATTATTCAATTTACAGTGACATTCAGTGCCGTAATGTGCACTTCTGCCTACCCCTTCAGGGAAAAAAGGCATTATATTATGTGTGTATCAATTCCTTACAAAGAACCAAAGCTGCATTCTAGAGTAAAATATTGGTCATACTTAATCGAAACTTGATTTGGTAATAAACGAAAACTGAATATGTTACCCGCTACTTTAAAAAAGTTACGAAACATATAATTACTTAGTATTCTAAGATACTCGATGTTATTCAGTGAAATTGTTAAATTTCGAAGAGCAACTACGCGCTTTATTTACAAAGCGGGCGGCTTTCGCAAATAACGGCCGAGACGGCGCATGAGTGGAATATGAGCGAACTTTTACTTGGATACCAATATGTTTCTGCATTCTTTGATTTTGTGCAATGTACTGCATAATGCAAACTCATGGCCAAGCTTTTTTCATTATTCAGAGTACGTAATATTGTGTAAAAACGTTGCTTTATGTCTTTCACGTAATAACTTTTCAGGTTACAGAAACATGTTCTATCAGTCCTGATGTATAACGTTTTGTATGACAAACAAAACGTTAAATTATTTATACAGGATAATTAAGAAAACACGTAACGCCTATGTATTAGGTAGGAAACACAAACAAAAGGTATATACCTTACCTTTCCATTACTAGTCTCCTTCAATGTATTTTTTTCTGGAAAAACTGCTAAACAAGATGCATATAAGTCAAATTTCTCAGTATTTATCTTATGGATAGCGAAGTCAAATTTTCTTAAAGCGCTGGATTTTCCAAAACTAATAACTTATGTAAATAGAACAAAGCTCCATACGATATTGCTATGGCGCAATAAAGTGTTAGATTCTGAGTACACGATGCAACTTTATACCTGTATTACGTAAATCTCGCTGCAATCTCGTAGTGCGTGACATCGTTAGTAATCAGGAAGGCATACAAGCAAGAAATACTGCTGCGACAATGTACACGGATAAAGCGAATTCTGTTACTTAAGAAGCGATATAAAGATGTAAGAAAAACACCCGGATCTTTTGGATAATTTTGGTTATATCATGATACTTAGCGACCTGCCCCGGCTTCGCACGGGTGCAAATATGCTACATGCATTATACATATAAACCTTCCTTAAGAATCACTATCTATTTAAAAAAACCGCATCAAATTCCGTTGCGTAGTTTTAAAGATCTAAGCATACATAGGGACAGACAGATGGCGGATAGCGACTTTGTTTTATACTATGTAGTGATAACATAACACTTAACTCACTATTAAATAGTTGATTATATGGTGTCAAATCAAGTACGACCTTAGGTATTGTCGGTTTAGAAAAAATCGGGATTCAAGAGAAATATTTTAAGCTAATAGAATGTTTTGAAAAAAAAATTGAATAGAAGTACAGAAGTTATGCTTTTATAGTAACGTAACTGAGAAAAATAGGAAATCTGAATTATATTGCACTTATACAACTTAAGTAATGTTTGTGATAGAAAAATCTCCCTGTGTGCCTAGTAAAGGGAACATGTATTTATCTTCTGATTAGCTATAAAAAGAGAAAAAAGGTGCTATACAACTAGAACCTCCTCCTCCGTAACACATATACACACACGTAACTTTAAATCAAACAAATTGTCTTGAACAAATCCACGCGAATTTAAACTTAGTACATTTTGACCGTATCTGATTACAGGCGCTTAGAAAACACGTCACGCAATCTCTTGATGTTTCTATTTCAATTGTTTGGGTTAGCACGGTGCGTGTTTGAACAGAATGACCGATGACGGTGTCTCGGTGACGTGATCGACCTCTCGAAAGTAACTATTAAAGCTACGCTACCGGGTACTAAAATAGAACAGTCGTATACTGGCCGTAAATGCGAATGCTAATCGTTTGTGCATTTAATTCCTTCTTAGGGTAATGTGCCTTAGACCTATTGCGTAAAACGAAGTGTAACTTTTGAAGTGTAATCCAAAAACCAAGCCTTGATCTTATTCTTAGTTACGGCTTAGGAATGAAACTCTTTGTTTTAGTTTTTTCCTAAAAAATACGACCTGGGTGTCTTCAAGTCTCGAGTGAATAGGTTACTTATGAATAGAACTTACCATCAGGCGACATAGTAACCAAAAGCCCAGCCCTTACCAATAAAAAACGAACCTAGATTTCCGGCTCATCAGCTGAACAGAAGCCTTAATTTTTTTATAACTTTATATACTTTTCAAATAGAAACCTCACGTAATAGCCTAATAGGTAAGGTTGTCTGGGTATAGGACTACACAGCATTATCATTACTGTTTAGATTTATTATAGAGGTATACATATACACTGAGATTTTTTTGGAAAACCAGAACTAGTTAGTATTATTCTTATTTTATTCTTAATAAGATTACGATATGTCGTTTTGCACTCACAAGTTTCTAAAGATCTCAGTTAATATTACAAACAAAACCAAAGATATTTAAAACATTTCGATCGATTTGTATTGGAGAAGTCATGCGAGTGAAAGCCAATATCACAATATTGCTTCTAAGTAAACAGAAACAGAGTGGAGTGGCTTGACGTTGAGGATATGGTGTTATCTTTAGGTATATATTTATTATAACAAATTGAGACACACCCACAAATACATTTCAGTAATCCTTACCTGAAATTACACACAAAACGATGACTTTTTTTTAGCTTGGGAGCGGATTCCCAAAGTTTCATTACTCGTCTCTACTAATAAACTAAATAAGTTGAGCGAAAACTATGATCCAATGTCATTTTCTGATAGGTTTTATTTTAAATCGATTTAGTATATTACAATACCACAACGTAATATCCTGATATAGATTTCATGGAATAGTTGGGAACTTTATTTCAGCGCACTGCAGAAGTATGTACCGTATGTATGTAAGTATGTATTCTTACTCACCTCAATCCTTCTTTTCCTTTTCAACCTATGACAAATCTAATAAGTACGTATCGTTACAACACTTTTAACTAACCTTTACGATTCCATTGCTTTCTTGTTCATTTACGGAAATGGCAATTAAGAAGCGTGTGCTCGGTGGCAATGAAAACAATAACACCATCGGGAACTATCTCAGACTCTTTCTTTAGATCGATCTAAGTACAATACAATTAAAACGAATTCAATCTTAATGCTCAAGTGAGTAAAGTTTATTTTACTCTGCAAAGTTGTGTTGAGATGCAAAGTGTATTTGGATGATTTGCCAGACAAATTTGACCTTGATTCCGAGGTATGGGAGCTGACTCTCGACGTCCATTGTGTGGTTTTCATTCACTTTTTACCGTCTTACACGCGACGGTATCACGCGTCTTGGCGTCAAGTGGTTGGTACTTACTATTTACACAGTTATAAAGGTTTGATACAGAAAAGTTTGTAGTTTAGGAAGGTCACATTGTGTATTCTTTTAATTGTTTATGATTCCCATGACATTGTCCACTACGTTTGTCAAAATGACGCGTAAGCCTCAATGTGAAATAGTTTTTAATGATTTCTTTGATTACAAGATATATCTTATTTATACAATTAATATTCAATAGTTTCACAACATTTTCTATTAGTGTAAAAACATACCAAGTGCGACGTATTAATGAATCCACATATTTGGTCACAAGTTTCCCGGAGCTCGATAGTGAGAACCACAAACGTTACAGCGAGAATATAACGCCATTCAAGGTGCTTACTTTGAATGATGATCAGAAAACTACGGAAGATTATGATACCACCATGAGTACGGTTACTGTAGGAGAGAGAAAAGCTAAATTTAAACAGAAATCCCAGATTACTTCTGAATATATTAAAAAAGCGAGAGAAAATTACTTCCGCACATACTTTGCAAATATAAAAAAGACTAACGTGAGCCACAGTTTAGTACCAGACAAGTCAAAGCTTTATATCAATATGGTGGAAGTCAATAACAATGAAACTTCAAGCCAAAGTGCCAAATTTAAACAAAACCTTATAACTGCAAGGAAATTCGCCATGTTATTAATTAACGAAGCCCAGTTTCAATCGGATATGAAAGTGAAAGACAAAATATTAGAGGAAATTAAGAGGAAAAGGAGAAATATGACTAATAAAAAGCATAAATTCCATAGTTTTGCGAGAGATTTGTCTTGGAAACATTTTAAACGTAACAAGGCGACACTATTACCACAAGCATGTGACAACATGTTATGATGCATGCAACATATTAAAATAATATTTTACAAAGTCTTCTTTGATGGTGCATGAAAGCAAATCTTGCTCGGTCTTATATACGAGCTTTATAAACTGCTGGATTGCTGTGAATCTAAGTGACAAGTAGTTATTTTAAGTGTTTGTGATTAAGAAATGTTTACAACTGAAGACAATGAAATTGACTTTAGTCTTTCCAACCTATTCATTTATTATAGTTCTAAAGGTTTCATATTTGAAAAGATTTTATACAGTCTTCTAAAAATAGGTTGCACTAACATTATAATTATATTATTTAACATTCTAATATGTAACCAATTTAAATTTAATATATCATGTTTTATGTAGTAGGTTTGTGTACCAAATAAAATTACATCAATTGTTTTCATTTATTAAGTCGTTTGAATAACATAGAAATACATAAATTAAATAATTATTAATTTTATACCTAGGAACCGCACGTGTATGCCGCTGTACAATATTGTTTACTCGGGTCGAACCATGAAGAATTCGGACAGTTGTATTCATTTAAAACGAAGGTCCCATTAGCCAATAACACACAACTGTAATACGATTGGCAAGTAGTGTCATCGCTATTTGAAAACCGTCCAGTTGATGTACATGTAAAGGTACCGGACGAACTAGATGAAGAATTCGATGAATCTGTCGGACACTTGTAATCGAAATCGCAAATAGTCGTATCGGGATTGTAATAAGAGTTATCCGGGCATGGGTACACTGTCTGCGTGTAACTGCCATCCTCATTTTCAATACATTCGATGTAGCTCGTACAATTTTTAGAGTCTGGATCTGTTACGAATCCTTGAGTCGTGCAGACAGAAGTGGAGTTTGAAGTATCGGTTGAATTAGATTCACCACTTGAATCAGAAGTATCAGAAGAATTGGTATTGTCCGTCGATTCTGGACATTCATACTCAAAATCGCAAAACGTTGTTATGGAATTGTAATAAGAATCATCAGGACATGTAGAAGCAGTCTCAGTATAGGTACCATCACTATTTTGAATGCATTCAAAGTATCTCGTGCAGTTTTTAGAGTTTGGATCAGCAAAATACCCTTCAGTGGTACAGATAAAAGTTGAATTTGAAGTGTCGTCGGTTGAATTCGATTCACCACTTGAAACATTTGATTCGGAAGAATTGTTACTGTCCGTCGAATCTGGACATTGGTAATCAAAATCACATAAAGTCGTATTGGGATTATAATAAGAATCATCAGGACATGTAGAAGCAGTCTCAGTATAGGTGCCATCAGTATTCTGAATGCATTCAAAGTATCTCGTACAGTTATTAGAGTCTGGATCAGCAAAATACCCTTGAGTCGTGCAGATAAAAGTAGAATTTGAAGTGTTGGTTGAATTCGATTCTTCACTTGAATTATTTGATTCGGAAGAATTGGTACTGTCCGTCGAATCTGGACATTGGTAATCAAAATCACATAAAGTCGTATTAGGATTGTAATAAGAGCTATCAGGACACGTATTCACTGACTCAGTGAAATCGCCATTGACATTTTGTATGCATTCAATATATCTCGTGCAGTTTGTAGAATCTGGATCAGGTAAGAATCCTTGCGACGTGCAGATGGAAGTTGTGTTCGTTTCGGATGAGTCATTAGAGTCGGTAGAGTTCGTAGAGTCTATTTCATCTCCGGTTACTGTTAACAAAGTAGTCGTATTTGTTGAATCACTTGTAATAGTTTTATTTGAAACATCCAATGTCCTTCTTAAAGTCGTAACATCTGAACTATTTCTGGATGTAGCAATTATTGTGTCATCTTTCGTATCATCAACAGCCGTTGTTTCGATAACATCAGTGCTATGTAATGACGTAGTAGTATACGTGGTTTCATTGCCATCAATAATAATAGTAACGATTGTAGTGTTGGTAAAAATAACGGTAGTAATTATATCGGTAATATCACTTGTAATTATGTCTTCAGTGGTATTTGTAGTACTGGTTATGTTTGTTACGACAATAATTTCAGTAACATTTGTAATATCATCGTCTACTGTAACAGTCATATTTTTTGTTATAATTGTTATTATTGTCACATTATCAGAAGCATCTGTAGTAACAATCGTACTTGTTGTGTCAGTATGATTATTTGTGATTATTGAAGTTTCCTCATTTATAACTTCAGTAACGTTCCTGAAAGCGATATCATCAGTGGAATATGTTGTTTCTATGTCGTCTGTCTTCATTGAGCGAGTAGTATTCTTGGTTGCATAAGAGTTGACAGAACTGCTATTAGAGTTTGATGAATCAGAATCATCTTCTGGACTACTTGAAACTGAACTGCTGGGCACTGATGTACTTGATGACGTACTACTGGTCCGGGTGGAGCTTGAGTTGGATAGTTTATCAATTATGTTGGCGATATTTGAACTATTGCTTACAGAACTTATAGACTCTTGACTAACCGATGAATAATCAGAGTTATAAGAATTTGATGTTGCTGTTGAATTTAATGCAGTAGTTTTATCTGTAGATAAGACATCGGTAATATTTTTAGAAACAAACATGTCACCCATATTCCTTCTTGTAAGGGTTGATTGTTTCAAATTAGTGTTACTAGATGTGGCTGATATACTATTACTTTCACTAGTAGAATTGGTTACATCCTTCGTGTCATTTGAACTTGATGTTTTCACTATTTTTAGTGTAGATGTGCCGGAAGTTTCATTTAAATTTATCGAATTTGTTTCATCTTCTACAGACGATGATTCTGAAGAATAGATAGATTCTGATTGCCAAAACTCTGTTGCATCATCTGACTCAGTATTATTAGTGTTATATTTAGTCACCGTCTGGTTGGAATGACCATCATAGTGTGTGTTGTCAGTTGAAACTGTGTAATTTGCAGTTTCTGATTTTCTTGTGGCCTTTACATTGGATGAATTTGAAGTGTTTGCAAAAACGGAATCAGACGTGAAATCTTCCGAAATTGTAGAGTTTACTGACGCTGAAACTAAGGAATCAGAGACATGTGAAGAATTTGCGCCATTTTCAGTGTTTAATAAACTTGTAGAATTTGAACTCTCTATTATTGAGGAATCAGAAGTTTCTGTCTCATTTACAGAATTTGTAGTTTCTGAAGCAGATGTGGAATTGACAAGATATTCCGATTTATTACTAGAAATGTTAACAGAATCACTTGAATTTGTACTTTCCGAAGAATCTATGGATTGTCTTGTCGCTCGTAAGCTATTTTTGCTACTATTATCAGTCGAGCTTGTTATATTCACAGTATCTGATATAGAATTGCTTGCCGTTTTCACTGTGTTTTGTAGGTTTGAACTTTGTATATCATCAGTCGTATTTTTTGATGTTGTAGAATTGGATTCAGATGAAATTTTAACATCTATTGCACTGGATGAATTAGTTGAATCTAGTACAATAGATGAATTCGAATGGCTCAAGGTGTCTGATGAAGATGAGCTTGAACTCACAGTGGAATTCACTAAATTTTCAATATTTGAACCTGATGAGGAGTTTAAAGAATATTCTAGTTTTGAACTAGAATTTTCAGAAGAATCATTAGAGTTCGTATTTTCAATGGTATCTGACACTGATTTTGTACTTTGAGCATTTAAATATCCTGTAAAATCTGTTGAACTTGTTGTATTTGCACTCTCTGATGTTGAATTATTAGTAGTTCTTAATGAGTTTATTGAAGTTGTTATATCACCATCAAACGAAGTATTTTTTGATGTTGTAGAATTTATTGACGACGAAATTGCAACGTCTATAACTGTTGATGCATTGTTATTTGCCAGAATGTTTGTAGAATTTGTACTATCCAAAGTATCGAAATAGGTGGTGTCTGAAGTTTGCGACGAATTTTTTGAATTGACTGTATTTAATTCGTTACTTAAGTTTACAGAATTTGAAGAATTTGACGTAAATGTGTCCGTAGCATCACCAAGTGATGTAACGTTAGTAAACTCCATATTATTGGTGGATGTGTTATAAGTAGCTGCGTCTGATACATTTGTGGAACTTGTAGAATTTAAAGTGTCTGAAGTCTCCGTATCTGTAGAAAGTAATGAACTTTGATAATTCTTCGAATCAGTATCGTATGAAGAATTTGACACAATAGTGATATTAGATGTCACCCATATTAAGTTATCTATAAATAATGTTGAATTAGATGTACCACTCACATTTGTGGTATTCGTAATATTAAGAGTATTTAAAATTGTCGTATCTAATGTTTCAGTTTCATTTGTGTGACTTAAAGTATCAAACCCAGTTGTTGTATTCGATGATGCTATAGAATTCAATGTAGAATTTTCCATACCATCATCTGTTGTTTTAACAATATTTTGATATAATTCATCAGTGGTCCTTAACGAGTTTGAAACTTCCAAGGCTGAAGTAGAATTTGTAGAGTTGGTGGAACTAGACACTAGCGAGGATAGAGTGTCTTCAGTTCTTGTTGCATTGCCACTGTCTGAAGTAGAGGTAGTCAATAATATCGTTGTTGTATTAGCTTCAGAGGCAATGTCAGTATTCGAAGAATTAACAGTTTCATCTCTATTCACAGTAAATGTCACATCTGTTAAATTGGCAGAATATTTTGTAGATACATCGTTTGTGTTCGATTCATCAGTCGTATTTGTACTTTGTTCTGAATTTGATGAGGTTACTGAAACCTCACTTGTTAAGTATCCAGTTGTATTTGATACACTTGATTTGTCTGAAGATGTCTCAGTATTGCCAGTAGAAGAAGATTGGATAGATGCAGCGTAGGTATTCCATACTGCGAGGGAGATCTGAAACATGTTGAATAGATTATGATGAAGAATGAAGAAGCTGACTTTTATTTTAAAAGGGCTTCTCCTTCTCGTTGAGTATTTTAATGCTCACAATCGCCAAGTAAATTGCTAAGCTAAATAAAAAATAGGTTTTTAGTTCTTCAAAATAATGTCTGGTATTTGACCAACCCGCGGTCTTAACATATCCCTACAACTTTGCCTATATCATCGGAAATTAAAAGACATGTATCATCAAGAACCCGTGAGGATCCACGGCTACATTATGGGTATTTTCTACAAGGGAAGAGTTTACCATTATCTCCACACTTGGCAAGTAGGTTGGAGATCGCAGTTCAATAGAATTTGGTTTATCAGAGAACTCTGCATAGTTGCCCGATGTCTGTGAAACATCTATACCCGCAGGAAACACAGTGGGAGAATGCCCTGCGTGGGCTGAGCACCGCCGTGCCCTCAGGGAAGTGATCGGCGATGGCGACCTCTCGCGTCCGGGCCTAGTGCAGGCCATGATGCGGAGCGAGGAGGATTGGGATGCCGTCTCTTCCTTTTGCGAAGCAGTCATGCTAGCTAAGGAGGAGGCGGGACGCGTGAGGCAGCGAAGCGCTGCCTCCTCGCAACCCAGCCATCGCGAAGGACACACCGGGCGTCGGGGATCGCGAGACGATCTCCGGCCACCATAAGCGCGGGCCTGCGGACGGCGAGCATGGGTGGCTCCCCGTCCGACCAGAAACAGACCCGAGCGTACGGCGCGTCGCGTTCCGCGCGCGCCTCAAAGAGCCATCAGACCACCACAGATGGGGCCCAATAGGGCCGATGCCGATTCGGAGTCGCGGAGAACCTAACGGGTAACCGGGGCTCCGGCTCGACGTGCAGGAGAAGGAACGGGGTGGTTTTTAGTCAGTAAGAGTCTGACACTCCCTTCCGCCTCACCCAGGCGGGAGCAGTCATTCGATGATTTTCCCCTCTTAAAAAAAAAAAAAAAAATACCCGCAGGAAAAGTAAAAGTGATGATGAATATATTTTACTCTAATCACCACACGGGTAAAAGGCGTGTATGAAAGGAAATAGCGTATTATGACAGTAATTACATAGTGTTTGCTCATGTGTTTAACACCTATGAAATTAATCTGACTAATAAAGTTTATGTTACACAATTTATACGTCCAAATTGGCAAAACGTACCTAATTTTTTTCAGAATCCTTTTACCCTTTGTTCATAAAGTCGATATAAAACCGGAATTTAATTTTTCTAGAAAAGATTTGGAGGAATGAACTAGCTCAAGTGCTTACAGTTTTGTTCAGTAGAGAGGAAAAGCCATTACACTCAGGCAAGAAATCCTTTTAGATGTCACTTAATAAATGCACTAACAGTAAAATGTTTCCGTAAAGATAGTTGTAGTCTTTAACCCGCTTTGTAGATCAATTATAACTATATCTTAACAAACTGGTCCCACATAAATATAAACAATAACACAACTAAGGGCTACTTAACAAGAACAATAAAAAATACTCACGAGAAATACAGCAACCGTGAACTTTCTTTGCATCGTGAATTTCTAAATTATTTCCTCAAGCACTGAAGGTTTTATAGTAAGATCAAGAGATAATGCGGTTATCTCGTATTATTATGTTAACAGCATTAATAAAAAGATTGTACTCATGACGCTAAATATTTTACATCATATTTTATGTTTAAATCATTTGTAAACAACTGTTTACTCTGAATGAACTGTATATCCAGCTGAAAACGTTTTACCTATAATCATTACTGTTGTTTATAGGTAGTTGTATCCAAATATCTTGTACGGAAATATTGGAACTACAATAAATGACCTTGGAATCACATAAGAAGATTTTAAGGTTAAAAAGAACGTTTTGAAATACAGACTAACGGTAACAATGATTGGCACATCTTTAAAGCAGATAGATACTAGTGTCTGATTTCAATAAGATGCCCTAGAAATAACTTTTAAATTCCTACACAGCCAAACGGAGTAGTATGACTGTGTAAAGGAAATAACATTATCACCGTTATCAAAATCTGGTGCCGCAGACGTAATTAAGTATTAAATATTGACATTACACCTACTCAGTAATAAATTACTTATGGCACATTGCTTTCTTGTTTGTGCATAATCAAATGCACTAGCGTTAAATTGAAAGTATTTCAATGAAAAACATAATTCGTTACGAGCAATGTAATCATTAAAACATTAATTTGTTTAGATGTGGGTGACAAAATATGAATTTGAAGTTGCTTCTGTTTCAATAGAGTTTATAAACCTTCGGCCTGTGGATGCTCACTGCTACACCTGCTGCCGCCACTGCTGCTGCTGCTGTGGGTTTATGGATATGCTTATTCATAGTTTGTTTACTAATTGTTCGTGATCTACTAATGATTGATTACTGATCAGCTATAATATCACAATTATTTATTGTAATTAAAACAAAGTTCGAGTCGCTATGGTTTCAGTCTTTCACTGGTGATCTTCATGTAGGATTAAGATAGTGTGACTTATTTTCCGATGAGTAAATTAAATCAAGTATAACAACAGTTTAAGTAAGGATTGCTGTGTGATCATTTTTATTGAATAGGTAGGCAAAAAAATAAACGGTTCACCTGACTACATCAGGTTCACCTGATGTAGTCGCGGCGCCTATTGACTACATCATACACAAGTCCAGAAGAGTAAAAAATGCGTTACCGGATTTTTGGGATTAAGGATTTGAGGATTGGGGATTTAGGTATATTGGAGAGATTGGGGAGAGAGGAAATTAAACCTCACTCATACGGCAAAACACATCGCAAGTGTTGTTTCATATAGGGGAAACTGTCATGCCTTATCTAAAAGGTAATAAGATTACACGAAATAAAAACTTCACATAGGTATCCGTTATCTTAGATAATCTGCAAGTAGAGAAATAGTGAATAAATAAGACAATACGTATTATAACCCTTATTTATTTAAAAACCAAATCACCAGGCGCAATATTTTCAAACAAAAGGATAGTTTCAGCATGTCCAAATTTTAAAATATTTTTAAAATTGTCAAGTTCGTAGTACCAGAAATAGTTAACAAGCAGTAAATAACAATAACCTAGAACAATAGTCAATCTAACTGCACGAATAATGTGTTGTACAAAGTCTAGTAATGGGATTAAACACTGAATCTGCGGGACAGGTGTACTTGAACTGAGCAAAAGTCCCATTGAATAACTGTACACAGTAGTAATATTTGCGACACGTGAAGTCTGCTTTATCCGCGACCCTCCCGGGCGCCACGCAACTGAAGTCCGTACATGTGTAATTAGATTCACACAACGTTGTATTAGGATTGTAATACGTATATTCTGGACATCGATGTCTCAACTGAGTAAAAACCCCTCTGATTTTCACACATTGTATGTAAGTAGCACAATTCGTAGGTTCGGGATCTGCAATGTAGCCGTCAGAGGTGCAGATGGTGGAAGGCGAAGGTCTCGGCATACTGACGGTGATGTTGCAGACGTAGTTCGTTGGAGAAGTACACTTAGATATTAGTGGGTTGAACACCGATATGCTGGGGCATACTGTGTTGTAGGCGAGGTAACTGTCTGTAGCCTTGACATAGATACACAGTGTGTAGTTCTTGCATTTCTCGTCAGCTAAGTCCGCAAAACGACCAGCTCCAGTTGCTCTGCAGTCTACGGCAGCATGAACCCAACCAACTCCACATAGTACCTAGGAACACATCGATTAGTTACGTATGAATGTACAGATATTGATGAATACACTGGAATATTCAAATATAACTAAATATTCAAAATAAAACCGTGATTTTACACATACACACACCAAAATATAGTAAGTAAATACTCACCACAAGTACAGTAAAGAAGTGAGACATCATCATCACATAATTCTAAGGACTAAACTGGTACGTACATGTTCTTACTCTCCCTTATAACTTCCGAAGTAAGGGAAACAAACAAAGGGCCATTATTAATTGTATTAAAATAATCGAATGTTGACAATAAACAAATCATCACAATTATCTTCTTTAGGTAAATCACTGTTATGATTATTACGTCTCCACCGCCGCTGATCGTCAAAATATCTATTCAATCGGAGTATTTATTTTATTTGTGTTTAGACTAGAAACTAGAATGTATTATGACAGTGAATCAGTAAAGTGTGTGTAGTGGTCTACAGTTGCTTAAAATATAATTACTGTCACTTTGTGTGTCACATTAATCCATATTTTATCTTTGTTTTCTAGTATAATTAAACAAAATTCATTGATGGATTAGTAAAAGACAAAAGTTTATTATAATTTTAACAAATTAATATATTACCAAATCCTTAAACAAAAACAAATAATTACACATCAAACAACTTTCAAAGTTACATTACTACCAACAGCTGGAGAAGTGCCCTAAAGTATAAATTCAAAATTAATGTGCATTTATGAAATATCACTTGAAAATTCAATAGAAATTGTTCCAAAATTATAGCACACCAGGCGCTTCGGTGACGTTCACGAAAGACATCTCTAATGAGTAGTGTCAATTAGTGCATGTATAAGATGCAGTACACAACCTCGAATTCGGATTAAACAACGAAGTTGACGGACAAGTGTAATTATACTGTGTGAACGTTCCATCACTCAAGAGCACACAGTAGAAATAAGTCTGACAAGTTGTATCGGCGGTATTAGCAAACCTTCCAGCTGTTGTACACGTGAAAGGAGTTGTGGTAGTGCAATTGTAAGAAGCGTCGCATAGTGTCGTATTTGGGTTGTACAATGTTGTAGCTGGACAAGTGTACGTCGTTTCGACGTAGGATCCATTGATGTTGACGCATTCAATGTAGGAGCTGCAGTTTGAAGAGTTAGGGTCAGCGATGAAGCCGTCAGCGGTGCAAACTGATGTTGTTGTATTCGTGGTGTTGGTGGTAGTTGCTGGGCAGGTGTAAGTCGTCGTACATTGAGCGAGAGTGGGGCTGAAGAGGGAGGTAGTGGGGCAGACGTAGTTGTAGGAGACATAGCTGTTATTGGAGCTGACGTAGACGCATAGTGTGTAGTTCTTGCATGTTGTGTCGGCCGGGTCAGCTTGCCGACCAGCGCCGGTAGCTGTGCAGTTTACAACAGCATGCGCCTGCCACGCGCACACGCTTAACATCTAGAAATAATATGGTATTATAACATGGTATTCTAAGGCAAGCTTAGATTCAGATTAGATATATTTTTGTCACCAAGTAAGTCGTGTGTATTTCAAGATTTCAAGACAAATAAATTTACGAACCTAAAAACATCTTGTTTTTAAAAATGAACATTTCATAATTTCAATCATGTTTATTAAACTTGGTGATCAACAAAAACAAAAATAAACAATATTTACGAATTGAATACTTACAAAAACTACAATGATGATCTGTTTCCCCATTTTTGCACAGTGAATAAAATTGCACTGAATTTCAGCTTATATACCATCAAAGCTTGTAAACATGGATATAGAGAATTGTAAAATTACATTAATCCATCTGTTTCCACGTTGTGGGATAATCTCCATCATTATTAGTTTACGTGTTGTAATCCACTAAAGATGACTAAACTCAAGTATTTTATCTCCATGATGACAAATCCAACTTCTTCCTTAAACATTCAAATGACGCACCTACCCTAAAATTTGCTATGTATTTACCCATATATTGTGCGAAAAAGACTAATAATCGATGTTCGTGGCATTTTTTACGAACAAAAATGCATTTTGTTTTTTTATTCCTACATCTATCTAGAGCTACTGGGTTGTTTGACACGAAGATACTCTGCGGCGTCCACGAAAATCCTACGCTGCGTGTATTTGCAGCAGGAAAATACTAGTAGCATCTACGATGATACTACGCAGTGCTTACGAAGATACTACGCAGCGCCTACGAAAATACTACATAGCATCTACGAAGATACTACGCAGTCTCTACAAATATACTACGCGGCACGGCGCCTACGAAGATTTTACGAGGCCTCTACGAAGCGACTACGCTGACTGGACGGTTGAACTGTTTGAAGTATATACGGCGCTATTTTTAGTTATATTTAATTCATAGTATTTTATCACCAAATCCATTTACTCTAGGTTACTAAATATTTTAGAATTGTAACAAAATATTTACATTTTAATTTACCTAGGCTCTTTCTCGAACACCCAATTTTACTGATTAAAACATCACCGCATCTGTAACGTATGAGTGAATCATTACCAGTTACATCAATTATATACAAACACTATTAAGATAAGATTTATAACTGGTTAGATCATTTATTTGAAGTACATAGGGGCCGACATTTACACATCTGTAGAAATACCAACATTCACCGGAACGGAAAATCCATACAGTTTAATGTTGAAGTGCAATCACTAAATAGATTGCTAAATATGTATTACGTCATGCCTTTTATCCCTGAAGGGTTTTTTTTTAAGGGGGAATATCATCGAATGACTGCTCCCGCCTGGGTGAGGCGGAAGGGAGTGTCAGACTCTTACTGACTAAAAACCACCCCGTTCCTTCTCCTGCACGTCGAGCCGGAGCCCCGGTTACCCGTTAGGTTCTATGCGACGTCCCTGAAGGGTTAGGCAGTGATTAATACATTAATGGTACATAATCGACGAATATGACTCGACAATCGTACATTTACACTTGTGATCACAAGCATTTAACACTTATTAATTGTTTATGTATAGAGATCCGGTTTAATAGAAAACAATTCCAGATTTTTAAAATACATAATATTCTTCATAACAATAAACAACAACGGTTTGAATGAATAAAACGTACTTATTATAGTAAACCATTGTAGTACAGACGTGCAGTGCTTAAATAGCTAGTATCAATGACATAGTGAATAAGTCCATGCCTTAGTAACAATACATTTTTTTTATTTATTATTACAATCCAGTACAGTTTTTCACCATTTTTGTACTATTAAACCAAATCTGGTTTGTAATGATACTCACAATCGCTTAATAAATAGAACTTATTAATTGTACTTACAAATGACAATATACTTTTTTTTTATTTTTAGATATTTGGAGAGTAAAAGTAATAATCCATGAGCAAAGCATTAAAATTGTGTATTTAAAATCTCTTTATTTTTTTTATTTTTTTAATCTAACATGGCCGATGCCGATTCGGCGTTGCGGAGAACCTAACGGGTCACCAGGGCTCCGGCTCGACGTGCAGGAGAAGGAACGGGATGGTTTTTAGTCAGTAAGAGTCTGACACACCCTCGAGCAGTGTTTCGATGATTTTCACATCTTAAAAAAAAAAGTTTTAGTTCCGCATATTTGCTCTCTTTCCGACGATGAGCTCATTTTTATTAAACTCTCCTAAATTGTAAGGGAGGGTAACATTTAACGACGATTAGTTTTCACCAATCTATAAATGACACCTGACAGTACAAGTAAGGGGTTAGTTTAGATGCTACGTCGCGCAAAGTAACTTTTAGTAAAGAGACAATTTAGGTCGATGAAAACGGGCAACAGTTGCCTAACGTCGCTTTACTACAAGCTTATAATCTTACTACTATGTGAGGCACAAGAGCGACCGTCAATGACCTAAAAAGTCCTGAGTTTAATTCTTGACCCGAACGGTCGCAAGAGTAAGAGGTTGTTTTTAATCAGTAAGAGAGTGATTGCCCCTCCCTCGCCTCACCCGGGCGGGAGAAGAAATCGGTGAAATTCTCCCATTAAAAAAATCCTTGACAAGCTTGTAAAGCTTCTCAATTTTTGAATTTCGAATCGGTAACTTGAGTTGTAAATGCTCTAGACAAGTTTAAAATTTCCAATTATATGTGGATGCCTGCAACATTGCAACACTTTAATTTTTACTTCTACATTGAAATAAAACGTTTGTCACTCAGAAATATATCTTTGCATACATAATAATTTAACATTATCTAAAAGTAAATTAGAGTTAACTTTTTGTACGTTTCTTTTGTTGGTGCGTTTACATACATACCAAATAGTAATCGCACACAGATGTAAAATAAGCGTATTCCTTTTTAAAAGGCCGGCAACGCACCTGTGACTCCTCTGGTATTGCGGGTGTCCATGGGCGGCGCTGATCGCTTACCATCAGGTGATCCGTCTGCTCGTTTGCCTTCTATTCCATAAAAAAAAAGTTTTATGCGTGCGGGATTCAAACCCACAACACGTTACATATCGCCGCAGCCGTTTGTCCAACCACTGCGTCAATAGTGTAGGCAATACTCGATTAAAGTAAACATGGGGAAATGTTGACTAATCGGGGTTGAAAGAACTGAAAAGAACTCTTTGATATATTTTATTTTTATTTATCAAATAAACATAACATTTTATCTTGTCGACAACAATCGAAGTCTATTTCAACATAATAATATGAAAGCAACTACATAATAATAAAAATGCTATGTAATAAATATACAGTAAAAAAAAGGCAATTGTCTCCGATTGAGAATATACTTCTTAAGAAAATAGACTGAACTATAGGCCTACACATTACACACAGCCATTACAACAATATATTAACATAACATAACAATAACACACAACAATAATAATAATGTAATTCTAAACAATTCTTAACAACTATCTAAAAAATTAATACAAGAAAAATATGCACTATACTATATATATTAACATAACATTACATCACGCCTTTTATCCCTGAAGGGGTAGGCAGAGGTGCACATTATGCCACTGTAAAATGTAATACCCCCTTTTTACACTATTTATGTTATGAGTCCCATGTAATAGGGCGTGTACCTATTGCCATATACCGGGCACAATTCCAGACTACTACTGAAAATTTCTTAAAACCCAGTAATACTTTGCCCGACCCGGGAATCCAACCCGAGACCCCTTGCCCAAAAGTGGTCAACGAGACAGTCTATAATAACAACATAATGATAATTAATAAATAGGTGTTCCAACAACATAAGGATTTCAATACTTAACGCCTGTTTTACCACCTTCATATTTTAGCCTATAAACTTATGTGACAGATAGTTCATACATATACATATTACATTGTTCTTATTATTTTATTATATTATAAGTACATAGTGACCATCCAGATATTGAGAAACAGGCCTTAAATCTTCTGAACTTAAAACATAAAATTGCTTTAATAAAATTAATTTGAAGACGGCAATTATACCAAGTATATTAGTGGCTTTTACCCAGCATTAGTAGTACAGGTATAGTTACTGGTACAACGAGCTAAGTTGGGATTGAACAACGAAGTGGTAGGACATACGTAGTTGTACGCCAAATAGGTGTTATTCGCAGTTATGTAGACACAGAGTGTATAGTTCTTGCATGTTGTGTCAGTGGGTTCCACGTAACGGCCCGGTCCAGTGGCTGTACAGTTTGCTGTAGCGTACACATGCCACATAAAGCAGAAGGCCTGGAAAAAAAATAGTTTGGTACAACTTAGTTATAGATGGAGAAGTCTGTGGTTAGCAGGGGACGAGTACGGCCTGATGAAGATGAAGTGAATTTAATTACTTAATATATTTTCAAAAACATCGTTCGAGTATCTACTTCGTGTTTAACTTTCCCAATCCCCAAAGCCCCAACAATCCCCAAATTCCTAATCCACAAAAGGCCGATAACTCACTTGTAACGCCTCTGGTGTTCTAGGTGTCCATGGGCGACGCCGATTGCTTACCATCAAGACCATCTGCTCGTTTACCGGCTTACCCCATAAAAAAATGGCGGTTATATTATCACACATTCACATTTGGCTCTTAAAACGTTGGTGGTTTCAAGACAACATAAAAGAACGTAACACGCCATGACAAAGCCACATTTTTATCCCATGGTAGGGGATATCGTAAGTCAAAAACCAATATGCTTAATCAAGTACTTACAACGATTGCCAAAACCCCGATTGTAGTCTTCATCATTGTAATAGACTAACTGGATGTAAATATACCAAAATGTCATCTTTTATACCACAAAATGAAACTTAATAGACCCAATAAGATTAATGTTAATCCTGAAGATAATAGATAATTCACTTTTGCAGGACAATTGTTACCATTTAACCAGAATTTTTAATGGTTTTGTTAACTCTACGCATCAAAAATGGCTCCCAAGGTCCGAGTTTAATAAAACTTGATCTCAACTCATAAGCTTATCAATGTTGATTAGTGTTATCATACTAATTTAGGTAATTAAGCCATTTCGGAAGATTTCGACGAATTATTCTGTCTCAAAAATGACCATTGTATTTTCCAAACGGTACGGTGCAAGCCTATTTTAATCGTTTACCTCTGTGCTTTATAAAGAAAGAAGACGATCCACCAGATCCCAATGCGCTCGTTGTATCAGGTCAGTACTACAGCATTGCTTCATTTCCATCCGGGTTTTAACATAACATAACATAACGTAGTGATGTTATGTTATGTTTTTATCCCCGGAGGGGTAGGCAGAGTCCACTGTACAATGTAATACCCACTTTTCACTATTTATATTATGAGTCTTATGTAATAGGGGGTGAGCCTATTGCCATTTACCGGTCACAATTCCAGACTTTGTGCTACAACTGAGTTTAAAAAAAAACCCAATAATATTTTGCGAGAAATCGAACGGCAGTCGCACTTGCGAGCACGCGGCCAACGTTGTAGACAACGGTTTCAATTTACTGTTAATTAAATTTAATTACATTATTCTATTCTAATGGTTACTAACTTTGCGACTACCAATGTATTATGCAAATTCTTAGTCTATGTTCTCCATAAAACGTATTGTTAGTCAAGAAGTTGTCTCAGAGTGTAACTGCTAAGTAAGGATTTCTACCGTTTCACGAGGTCTACTGTTTAAATACTTTTTGCATACAGGATAGACTCTGTAACTACTTATAACTTGAAATATATGAATATTATCTTAAATGAGTAGGTCAACGAGTTATATGCGGAAACCACATGGCAATACGTCAGAGTTTCTCATTTCTTTGTTATCTTCAGAACCTTAACAAAACAAGTCTGCCATTAGGAGAGGACATGTTCATAACATCATGAGCAAAGCATCTTGATAAACTAGTACTGAAATCAAACAGTACTATCATGTTTATCTCGACTAAATAGAGATGAGACACATACGATAAATTACGCTTTTCTTTTTTACATCGAGGTCGATAAAACTCTTTTAACCGTTGGCGAAAATTTTGTTTCTTTCATGATCCATTAATATAAAGTACTTTCATTAAGTACTTTATATTAAGTACTTTATATTAAGTACTTTCATTAAGTACTTTATATTAATGGATCATGAAAGTGTAAAAGATAATATTTCGTACATACATACATACATAACTTCACGCCTGTCTCCCATGGGGGTAGGCAGTGACTATGGACTCTTTCTCTTTCATTTCGGACAAACTTCGGCAAATAACTATAAGGACCTAAACGGCCTAAACCTCTAAATATATGATAAACTTAGTTTTTTAGTACTACAATATGGGTGCATAAATACAGAGGTATTTACAGAGATACATTCCAGTCATTGCCAGCAATAAAGCCATTGGAATGCAGATAAACTATCTTACTAAAAAGTTTTATGTCGCATCTATTAAATGAAGAAATCAAAGATTTTATAGCCCTCTTACAAATTAGATCTAACTTTTATGTATTCATTAGTTTATTGCTGGCATTGTAAATACATATCATATTTAAGAGGTCGCGCAGCAAATGGTCTCGATTATGTTTTTTTTTAATTTGCAACGGTAACTACTATGGTGTCTGGGTTGTGTATCCACACACGTTAACATTACTTATCTTCCGAAATACTTAGACAAAGAAACCTAAGATTTTTTTTATGGCATTATCCGATAAACGGGCAGACGGATCACCTGATGGTAAGCAATCGGCGTCGCCCATGGACACCTGGAACACCAGAGGCGTTACAAGTGTGTTACCGGCCTTTTGGGGATTAGAAGTTTGAGGATCGTTGGGGATTCTGGGATTGGGGAGACTGGGGAAGGGGAGGGTAATTGGGCCTCCGGTAACCTCACTCACACGACGAATCCCAACGCAAGCGTTGCTTCACGTCGGTTTTCTGTGAGGCCTCAGAGAGGCCAGGAGAGGATCACTCCGGTCGAGCCGGCCCATTCGTGCCATGCATGGCTCTCCCACACTTAAAAATTTCACTGAAAGGTAGTGTTTCTATTTATCGATATGTTTTCGCACCTCTATTATTATGGTTACAGAAGGAAACTACTGCTAACTATTTAACAGAGCACTACACCCATAAAACTGAGTACACGAGACTACTGAACACTCGTGAATTACATATTGACTACAATAATTTTATAGAACTTATTTTTCTACTGAAAATTCATAACAGTGTTACTGACCCCTTGTTTCTGTTATGTGTGAACTCAAGACAATGGATAAGAAATATTTATGTGTTGTTTTATTATTCGTTGTAAGTACCCATCAGTTTGTTTTAATTCCTTTATTGTAATTTGAGAAAATTGTGTGTATTTTTATTTTTCTTATTAACCTGAATGCTAAATGAGGAGCTGACCTAATTAAAAATATTCAACATGTATTTTATGTTCCTACCTAAGTTTCCTACCTCATTGGGAATTCCAAAAAAAAATGATAATACCTAATCAATCGAAATAGACAATAGAACTCTACTATTATCATTGACATTAAGAAAGTAGGTACCTGTTCACAAGAAACATCATAGTGTTTAAGTAGCAGTAGGTAGCTTCTTAAGTAGTTAAGGTACTTGTAGCAAAATAATATACCTAAAGCAGAAATAACGACAATTGGAATACATAAGTTCGTAAGTACTCACATACCCGCGTACTGTAAACAAAATACCTTCACATGTTTTCATTATACACATTATCTTTCCAGAAAAGGTGTTAAGGTATTAAACTAGATAACACACACCTTTACTGATAACAAACAATATCTCTTATTGCAGGGATTATGTCACGGGGTGAGCGAAGCCTCTGATTGCACTGCTCGTGGAAGATTTCCAAACGATGGAGCTGGTGACTGTCGAGGCTACACCATTTGTTTGATGGGCGGCCTCACGAACTTCACACAATACAAGCTGAATTGCCCAGAAGGCTTCGTTTACAGTCACTTAGAATATCAATGTACGAACGCCACCAACTACCAATGTTACCCGACCTTTAACTGCAGTTCTGTCGGTAACTTCGCTGTTCCTGGCAGCTCAGATTGCTCAGCGTTCGTAGCTTGCCCTGAAGGCCTATTAGGAATAAATACTGCCAGAAAAGTCTTATGTCCACCTGACACCCTCTTCAATGTAACCGCTGGTGCTTGCCAAAATAGCACTGAGTTTTCTTGTACACCAAAAGTGCAATTAGACGTATTAGAATTACATGACAAAGGAAATAATGCTGCTAAAATTAGCCCACATTTCCTATGTTCAGTGCTTTTGTTGTTACCAGTTTATTTGCAATAGTAAGGAGGGATATTACTTAGACTGTGTTTAGCCTTTAGCTCAATTTCGTAATAATTTGTATTTTTATTAATTAAATAAAAATAAAACGAAATGATCCTTTTCTTAATAAAAAGCTTATAAGATAACCTAATGTCACGACTTTTAATTTCTGAAGGAGTAGGTAATGTAAACAATGTTTGTAATAAAAGTAGGTAGGTACCTACTGTACCTACCTACTTTTCCAGTTTGATGTAAGTCCCCATGTCAGCCTAATGCCGTCAACTACGCGCAACTCCAGATTGTGTGCTATACTGAGAATTTTTTGAAAAGCCGAACAATCCTAATACTACTTTGTCTAACCCGCAAATCGACCCCGAGTCCCTTTTTGAGCGTTCGCACATGCGACTCATCGTTCGACAAAAGCAACGGCAGTGGACAGTGGACTAACGATAAAATGTTCTTTTCATTTACAGACTTATTAGACTTTAAATAACAGTCAATGTAGTAAAATTAAGTAGGTACGAATTAGGTACAAATTATTAAGCTTAAAATAGAAATCAGCGCCGTTTCATGCAAGTTTCATGTTTTATTTTGTAATTATTTTTTAGTATGGTAACGTGGAAGTTTAATGGGAATGGCAAGTCCAAAATAAATGTCACAACAAAATGCTGTCAAAGAATCAATGACACTGACAGCTGAAGTATTGAGGTTATGTGTACTGAAATGCTATAATATTTTCATTATTAAATTGTATATAGCCTTGTAACCAAATTAAAGCAAGTTATTTATAGTGAATAATCATAGTTTTATTTAAAACCAATGTATTCGAACGTCGTTGTTCCGAGGTAAACACTACTCTTTGAGGTTAAAAATTGTCCGTAATTTGTAACTTTATGTAATGAAACGCATTTATTTACTATATTTACAGACAATGGACAAGACTTGCGTGTCTTTGCCGATCATTAACAACTATAGAGGGTCAAAAACTCCCTCAAACCTCTAAATCCAGCGATGGTATTTCACCTCCTCCTCGCATTCCTAGAGGACCCACAGACATTCTGCAGGCTCTAGCAGCCACCGTCGGAAATGACCCAACTGCGGCTCACTACAAGTAATATCTATTTTCTATAATTAGAATTTTATAAACAAATATTGAATTCTAGTAAGATTTATTTATTTGTTTCCCATATCATACTAAAAAACAACTTTAAATGTTACAGATATCACGATGATCCCTATTTAATACCACTGTCCAACTTCCGTAAGAGAGCCTATGCACTGTCAGCTGAGGCTGGTCGCAAAGCTGCAGCATGGATCAGGGATGAGCATGCTGAGCTATTCACTACAAGAGTGTGGGACCCACCAACAAGGATAAAGACACCATATTTCAATGCTGATCCAAAAATAGAAGCATTTGCTCCCAAACCTATCTATAATGATGAAAGCAAGGTAATTAAATTAAACTGTAAATATGGTATTTTAATGATTAAAGAATGCATGTAGGTACTAGGCACTGTTCAACAATCAAATCTTTTTTGTGAAATACAAATACTCTAAAATTTACCATTCAGATCTAATTAAACTTATTTCCACATAAAATTCTTATTAGAATGTCTAAAGAAAAGACTTATTTTATTTTTCTATGTATTCATCAGACTGTCTTTGTACAGACTAAACTTTTCCATCTCAGTTTCACAGCCAAGTCATAAGAAATACTGGTTTCATGGGGAAAAATACTTTGAATAACCTATTTAAAATTTTAGAATAAAAGTATAATTTATATATCATATATAATTTTTTTACAGGTTACAGAAGATGATTTGAAATACACAATACAGAATGCTTTAATAGAAGACTCAATGACGGTATTCAAACTGCTTGGAGGTGTGAGTAGTGTCAATGAGGAATTAAAGCTGCAATTTCTTCAGTTATTATGCTTTTACAATGAGAAGGAACCGGACTCTATGGAGTGGCTTGAAGAGAGGTGGTTCTCTGCCAATATGCGAGAGAGACAGGCTGCTACTTGGAGGTAAAATAATGATGATGTTATTGAATTATTTGTTATATTACATAATTGATATCTGACTGCTTCGTTGGCTGAGTGGTCGCAAGTGCGACTGCCAGGCTAGGGGTCTCAGGCTAAATTCCTGGGTCGGGCAAAGTATTACTGGGTTTTTTTTAATTTCTCAGTAGTAGCACAGAGTCTGGAATTGTGCCCGGTATATGGCAATAGGCGGACCCCCTATTACATAGGACTCATAACATAAATAGTGAAAAGTTGGTGTTACATTGTACAGTGGCATTAAGAGCAATAATGTGCACCCCTTAAAAAAAACCCTCTCGGGATATAAGGGGTGATGTTATGTTATGTTTCATAGATATTTTAATAGAATAAACTTTATTGTGCTAGTTAATTCTCTTTAAGTTCTAGAGTAGAGTCTATCATATGAGTATAACACTGTTATGTTACCATTTCCAGGCTCGGTGGACTAGCTGATCAGATCTTTGAATCAATGGATCCGAAGACACCAGAAGCATACTGTGCCATGATTCAAGGCATGGCTAAATATTACCAGGTAAAACTTTTATCAGTGATATTAAAGATACTGCCTAAATAAAAATAATTAATTTATTGTTGATTAACCCTTTGAGTACCGTCATTATAGACACAATTAAAGAATAATAGGTTTCGGTCACCGGTGTCCTCGCGGTGTTTGACAGTTTAAATTAAGATAAATCATCAAGTAAGAATTATCGTAAATTAGTTCTGATATGTTATAATTTCCAAGTTATCATTTAATTTTTATAGGCAAATATCAAATATTTATATGTGAGTTTATAAAAAAAATATTAATTTCATTACAGGCTGAAAGAGCACACAACATGGCCCAAGAAGCGATATCAAAAGGCATTTCTTTGTCTACCAGTGTGTACAATGCCCTTATAAGTTGTATTGGTTTCCTTAAGGAAGGCACCGCCTTACGTATTGAAGGTCTCAAAACGATATTAGGCCAAATGAATGCTCAGGTAACTAGTGTTCAAACGACTTTATTTCCAACATGTAGACAAGGTGGTAAAAATTGTAGCATCCTTGTTACCAGCAGCTGTAGCCAAATGCCATTTAGTGCTTGTCTACATGTAGAATAGAAAACCAAATTATATGATAATGACGTAAATTTTTACACTTGTCAGTGTCAACCTCGTACATTTTGATTTCTACTCTCTCTGTAGACGAGCGCTAAAGTGGCGTTTGGCTAAAGGCACAGGGAGAGAATTTCGGAGTCTAAAAACCTAATAATTGCTTGCATGACCTAACGTCCAAACTAAAGCCTAATGCAAAATAATCACACTTATCACTCAAACAACAAAGGAATCATACACTCATAAGATTTCGCTTGAACCCCAATCTCGTGTGCCTTGCACTACCTTATCATATATCAAAAATAAAAATATAACAAATAACATCACATCTTTCAACTCCGAAGGGGTAGATAGTGATGCATTACGGCACTTTAATACCACTGTACAATGTAACACCCACTTTTCTCTATTTGTGTTATAAGTCCCATGTAATAGAGGGTGAGCCTATTGCCATATACCGGGCACAGTTCCAGAGTCCATGCTACTGAGATTTTTTTGAAGGCCAACTAATCCTTTGCTCGACCTGGAAATCGAACTCGAGACCCTTTGCCAGCTGTTGCACTTGCGACCACTCGGCCATCGAGGCAGTCACATCGTCAACTCGTCATCTTCACATATTTCAGGGTATATCTCCAAATGACGAGACACTGTCAGCCTGTCTGCGCTCATTGTCTGCATGGGGAGGTGGCAGAGCACTGCAACAGATGGCGCTGCAAACTGTCGCAGAGTTCAAACAAATAGGCATACAGCCTGGCTTGGCCGCCTATTATTATTTACTCTGTGTATTTTGTAAGGAACGTAAGTAGAAACCCTAGTAGTCATATTTATTTTAAAAAATGGAGCAGAATTTTCTACCGTTATTTCATTATTTTAATTACATAAAAAAATTGTATTATTCATTATTAAAATAAAATTAAATCACATGAAAATTCATATAAAAATGTATCATTACAGGAGGCCCGCGTTTTGACATTCTATCGACAATAATTAAGGAACTTGAAAAACAAGATAGCTTGGATGCCAAGGAACCTGCTGATACTAATTTCTTCATCACGGCTATGGGAGTTTGTAGCGACCACTTGCAGGTAAACTACCAAAATTATACTTGACTCACTTCTACTTTAGTTTTATTTGAATTACCACAATAAAATTGTTACTTGTCATGTCTTATACTAAATTACATATGTATCTAAATATTTGCGCAAAATTGCATGCAAATCCATTCTTATTTTCTTGAAACAAAAAACATCAAGCACTCCTCACATGCTTTCGCAGTTATTACACAACATTACTGTAAATTAACTAAAATCGCGGGTTACTCACGTGAATATACTGAGTAAAACTCTACTAGTTTCGAACCACAGAGAGGTTCTTCCTTATGAGCAGCGCGCTCGGTCGCGGCGACGTCGCGCAGCTAGTAGAGTTTTTCTCAGTATATTCACGTGAGTAACCCGCGATTTTAGTTAATTTAGTATGTCTCACGATAGTTCTTATAAAAACAACATTACTGTAGGTGTATCTACTGATGTCTTTGACGAATACTGAAGTTATGAAGAACATGTACTTATTTCTTCCAGGATATTAACATGGCGGAAAGATTACATGCCCTTCTAATGAAAGGTGACAACTACAAATTGGTTGGGGACGCGTACAAAGAAAGTATTTACTATAGGCACTATGTCACTGTTACTTGCAGGTAATGTATCGCTCTTTTAATAAATATTTTTGCTATCTAATTATTGAAATATAAAACCTGTTTTCTATTTAATAGGCACGCACCTTTCGAGAAAACTCTAGAGCTACTGGACACATTAATACCCAATGTTTATGTCCCTGAACCATCTGTTATGGAAGAGGTAAGAAAAATCATGTTTGTTTTCATTAAAAAAAATGTTAAAGTGTGTTAACTGATAGAAAAATCGACAGCAGCTATAATTACAACACATATAGTAATAAAATATCTAATAAAATGCCAAAAAGTTACCAAAAGATTTTGTCAGAAGTGGGATTCGAACCCACGCCCTCAGAGAGGACCAGAACAACTCGTACTCACGTTTAGTGAGCAAGGGAACCTTGAGTCTGGCGCCTTAGACCGCTCGGCCATCCTGACAACTGACGGGCTAGTTGAAATTATAGGCCACTATCCGACAAACTATTTTTAACTTGGATTTATAAATAAAAAATGATTTTTGAATTGAATATGGTGACAATGCCTTTGGTCGTAATTTAGGTTATTATAATTAAACGTACCATTGTGTTGTTAAACATACACCTTTTATAACTTGAAATCGTGCACGTTTATACATATACATAATAAAATATTCAGTTTATTTCATTATTGTCAATAGTTTGGAAAGATTGACGTCACATATAAAAATATTTTTTTGACATACAAAAATACACCTTAATCGTTACAAATTAAAGTTTACCTATTATATCAACAACATCCACAATATTTTTATATTACATTTTATTTTGTAAACAGATTATAAAGACATTAGAAGTGGGCGGCGCGGGCGATCGCCTTGCTCAAACATGGTCGCAGCTGGTTGTTTTTGGTCACGGGAAACGAGTGAAACTGGTCGAGAGACTGCTAGAGGCAATGATCAATACATACCCTGGACAAGGTGAGTGACTTATGACATAGTAACAACAACAAGTCAAGAAATATTACTAGTTGTACACTTATACTGGGTTTATAATCTCCGAGGGAATTACAGAATACTTTCTCTTGTTTCTAACACTCGTCAAAAAACATACAAGCCATTTCAGCTTCTTAGTCCCAAAACTCTTGTATAGTTAATCCCCTTGTTATAAGGTCTATTACTGAACAGCAGATCCAAATCAAATATTACTGAATCATCTTTGTTTATAGAATTTGGTATTTGCGAACTAGTCAAATTCAATACTTTTTTTGAACTGTCAAAAACGACAGTTTTCTATGAACTTTGTACAAGATTGTGTATGGTGACGTCACGTTTTTTACCGTCAAACAGCATACTTATTTCTAAAAAAATTGCTGAAGAAATACTAATATTAAATTGGTCATAAAATCAATTAATGAAAGTGTGATTATTTTTTAATATTTTATTGTTTTGAACAGTCGATAGAATGTATTTTTGATTAAGGAAAGTACCCAATTTTTGAATAAGTTAAGAAGGCAAATATTTTTTTTATTTTAGAACCTGAAGTTCAGAGTAAAATGCGTGCTGCCGCCGCTGACATGCTGAACTTCGGACAAGCGGTTTCTGAAGAACAGGAGACTAAGGACATCAGGACACCAATACAGAAGTAAGTAAACTATGTTTTGTAAACTACAGTTAGTTGTCATACAAATGACAGTATGTGAGTCAAACCCAATTTCAAATAACTTCAAGTATTCAGAGCCCAATTTCAAATAGGTACTTACTGCTATCAAAATAATATAATATTCTATTTCAGATTATCAGCAACAGCAGTGTGCAGTATTATAGAGCTATGTGCCGATAGTACGGACAAGGCAGACCCCAACTGGAAGAGTGTGGACGAGGCCTTGCGGCGCCTGCGTCGTGAGGAGGCCGCGGGAGTACCGGCGCGACCTCAGGCATTGGCTAATATTGCGCAAAAAGCCGCTACTATTGGTCTACCTGGTATTGCTGCAGTAAGTAGTTAAATATTTTATTTATGTTTTTTTTCATCTAATGTAAAAGGTAATGCGCAAAAGTTTGCGCAACTATTTGACATTTGCGCAATATTTATGGTTGAGTACTATTGTTCTTTTTAATATTGATTTCTTCGTATAATCATTGGCGATAAGAATAGAAAAAGAAATGATTACATGGCACTGTTTTTACACGTGCACTATACCACCACAGTAACAGTAAATTATAAATTTATTGACACATTCACTCTCTACCAATAGACTGCAGTAACATATTTAGCGGAATGCGGCTTTGAAGAGGCGATGTCTGCCAGTGTTCAAGTACTGGGTACAATGCTGAACCGATCAGAACAAGAGGTGGAGACCTTACTGACTGAACAACACTCCAGCCTCGCGGGTTCACTACACCCAGCCGCACAAGCTGTCGCCGAAGCATACAATTTGTGAGTAATCAAGTATTTTTGTCAAACTATCTTTACTGCCGCAGCTTAGCTTGATTATTTTTTGAGTGATTATACACCTAAAAGTGCTCCGTGCAAACTTCATCAATAGCCGTAGTTATTTTTTAGTTCAGGTCTAATAAACAAACACCGCCGCTGAAGAACCTCTTTTAACCAATTTCAATGGGAAACAAAAGGAGGTTCTCTATTCGGCCTGTATGTATGTATGAAAACGTTGCCCCACACTAGAATTTTCTACCATGTCGTGAGTGCGTTTACAAACATACAAGTTCACATACACCCGGACCAACAATTTTTGGATCACACAAAGAGTTATTCCGTGCGGGAATCGAACCCGCGACATGTTGTGCGACAGCCGTTTGCCCAGCCACCATATGCTCGGGCCTAGTTTTGGTCGGGCGGCGAGTCACCCGTGCTCGCCGTCCGCAGGCCCGTGCTTACGGTGGCCAGAAATCGACCAAACGTAACCTGTGTACCCGATAGCACCAAAGTAATAGATTCCAGCTTTCGAGATGTCTAAATACTCAATTGGCTAATGTCTAAATACTTAAACGTTACTCAATATTAAGTCGCGCTTAAGTATACTTCTTTCACTACAAATTCTTCATAAGCAGTAACAGAGATGGCACGATGTTTAAGTAGAATTAAAATTGAGTAGCCTTTTAGTATTCGAGCGCAAGTGTCTCCAATTGACAAGTTTTTCGCATAACATTTTCCTCAGTAATACTTTTTCCATCTAATTGTTACTTTTTTATCGACAGAGCCAAAACCGGAGGACCAGTTCTACAAGACTCTGAAAGATCATCGTCGAGTTCAGATAGCGACAGTGAATCGTCCTCCGACGATGAGTAACCTTATATTATTTGTAGATATCACTATAATTAGTTTAATAAATGCATTTAGGTATTATTTATGTGTTTTTGTTTCTAATACCTGAAAGTGAATCATTTACAAAACTACACAGTTAGTTACCTATGAGAGGATAAAGCAAAAACTGCCTTTTTTGTGATAGGTCATTAACTAGTTAGTCAATATAATTTAAAAACGGCACTGTAAAACATCAAAAAAGTCAGTCTGATCAGTCTTCTACTATTTGCTCGTTCCAAAGTGTAGATTCCTATAGAGAAAAACGAGCAAGAAACTCCATAGGTTACTCTTCTTCAATCATGTTCACAGTACAATTCTTGGTTACATTGTTTCGTTGGTACTTCTTTCTAGTCATTATGTTCCTTTATGGGACAATATGGAGGTGTGATTCCGCCAGAAACATCTGAAAAAATGTAATAGGTATTTCACTCATGGGGAACCTGAGACAATTGCAAAAAACCGAGCACATACCAAACCATACAAAGTACGTTTATCTATTTATTTACCAAAATATGTAGCACATTCGTCTGTCACCTACTTTAATGCCCCATGCAATGATTTACCGTTAAAACACATTTTTATTTCAATGTAACTATGACAGTGTCACCCATTTCTCTACATTGCTCAGAGGTGTTAAATACGCTAAGTGACTCCTAACTCGAGAGTATAAAGAAAACAGTTACTATCCGGTAGTCGTATTTCGAACTTCACGAAAGCAACATAAAGTATAGTGGTCCAAAATGTTTAGTGCAGATCTTCTAAGAGTTTTATTAGTGGTAAGTGTAAATTTAATATTATTTTAGTTGTTCTACTAATATAATAATATTAGAAGATTTCATGTCCGTTAATGATCAATTTATAAAGATAAAAAAATATTTTAACTGATTTAATTGTTACACATAACATAACATCACGTCTTTTATAAGGGTATGCCAGAAGGGGTAGGCAGAGGTGCACATTACGCCACTGTAGGTACAATGTAACACCCACTTTTCACAATTTATGTTATGAGTCCCATGTAATAGGGGGTGCGCCTATTGCCATATACTGGGCACAATTCCAGACTCCGTGCTACTACTGAGGTTTTTTTTAAAAACCCTCTAATACTTTGCCCGACCCGGGAATCGATCCCTTGCCCGGCAGTTGCACTTGCGACCACTCGACCAACGAAGCAGTCAGCTCAGTGATTTAATTGTTCTGATATCGTATTCAAGTATACATAATACCTCCTTATACTGAGGGATACCTCATGAAAAGCAGTCAGTATTAATCTAAGTGTAAACTTATCAATTCCCAAAAAAATATGATACACAATAAAAAAATGCTTATCTGTGCTAATTCTACAAATGATTGTTGAAGACTAAACTTTTCCATTCAAAGTGTAAGGAACGATTATTTTATTTGTACTAAAGATTACGATTTGCCAAATATTTCGCGCGATATTACTATTTGCACTTGGTAAAAATACCCAGTACTTATTTATGGTAGACACACATAACCGGTCTATATTCTTTGTAAATAAATATTATGTTATCCTTGCAGATATCAATTTACGCAAGTTCTACAACTGCGTACTACATCAACCCAAATTATGATTGTGGCGAGTTTGGATTTACTTGCGAAAGGAACAACAGAGTGAGGATATGTGACGGGAATAAGTTAGTCGGACCGACATTCATTTGCCCACCCGGAACATTCTGTAACGAGGAATCCACAGCGGTCTGTGAAGATGCCATCAACTACATTGACCCAGCTTTAACAAGAAGACTTCGATGCCACAGAAATGAAAGGATCGCTAATCCCAACGTACCTGGATGCAAAGGATACATTCTCTGTGTCTCCAACGGAAACAGATTCCAAGGCATTAACTTGAAGTGTTCTGGCAACACCATTTTTAATGGTTTCACCCGATCCTGTACTTCACCTCAAAAATACAAGTGCCCTGTGGTCAATTCGACCAAATCGAATCCTGAATTATATGGATCCGACCTAACTAGAAAAGATCCGTCCTACAATGACGATAAGCCAAGTATGAGTTTGAACAATCGGTTTTCGGGTCAACGACCTGCATCAATAGAGTGCAAGAATTACAAGTTTAGAGTGACACAAGACGACACTCCAAACGGTGTGACGTACTTCTGTCCTCCTCGACCTGTGAGGGGTGAATCCTCGATACGATGCACGATATTTTCTAACAACTTTTGTGTAACATTAGAAAGAGACGACGAGGATCAATTTATAGATAACGGTGCACCATACCGAAGACCAAGAATGTAAAATAGTATGTTATCTATAGAAAATACTATAAAGACTGAATACTTACTTGCATGGGGTCAAAAATAAAAGATCTGAATTTATGTAAATATAAATTGTACACAGGTACTTTTAATAGTAATTTACAATACATCATAAAATAAATTAAACTAAGTACAAGGATAACTTACTTTATTTTTACAATCCATATATCCTATCCTATCTAGACCTATCTTTACTTAGCACTTAACAATATTTAAATACAAACATGTTTCATTACTATATGCCTTTATTACTTAACATTCTCTACTATCAGAGTCTACGCACTTTTTCTTCTTTTTGTCGTAAACTTCATCTTTGGAACATTTTTTTATTTTACGCCGATAAACATCTTTAACTTTAGTGCATACGTAATATTTTCGACAATCTTTAGCGTATGGAAAGTTACCTTCCTTTTCGCATTCAAAATCATCACTACTACTACTTTTTATTTTCTCCGACTTAGTTTTAGGTGTAGTAGTTTCATCATTGCTGACTTCACTAACGGATGACGCAGATTGTGTTGACGTCATTTCGTCTCTTTCACATCTTACCGATTCCTTGTCTAAATGATAACCATCCTGACATTGTAATTTGTATCTCGTAAAATGATTTGAACAATTTCTAACACAAATATAATATATGTTATCTTTAAAGAAGTCGCTAAACCGTCCTTCTAATAAACATCTAAATTGGTTGTTTCTAACGCAATGCGATAAATTTCTCGTACATTGTTTGTTAATTTCGCTGAATACCGTATTATTTGGGCATGTTCCCATTATTGGGTGGTGATTACCAATACAAGTATAGAATTTCCTACAGTCATTCTTATCAGCGTATCTACCGCGTGCTGTACAGTTAAAAACTGGAGGAGAATCTGTACTTGTACTTTTGACTTTACTGGATGCATTTAATTGCACATTTGCAGTGTTTGCTTTCTGCATACTACTTTCGTTTAATCTTAGTGCGTCACTTGTTTTATTGCCTTGTTTTCCATCTTTGTTCAAATAAGTTTGTACATATGCTGTAACCGTATGATTCGTTGCCGTAAGATCCACCAGGTCGTCATTGATTGTGCTATTACGTTTTACAATGGTTACGTTATCAGTTTGGTTTTCTAAGTTCAGCTGTACAGGGTACTTTTGAAAGTCCGGTGTAATGTTATTGTAACTACTATTATTCTCATTTTCATTTACTTTTAATGCTTCTGTTTGTGAATTTCCTTCAGAAGCTACTGACTCTATCGCGCCTGTGGAATATTTGGTACCTATTTCACGCCTTAATTTAAGATCTATGGGATTATTATCTATATTAGTTTGCGACGTTACAAACGAGGGAGGAAGAAATTTGTTTCGAATTGCGTCCGCCTTGACAATAGAGTCTTTCGACGTTGATATCTTTTCACTTGTTTCGTTCTCTTCTATTTTATCGCTCCCTACATTATCGTTAGACAAGCGATCACTTTCTGAATATTGTATAGTATCTGCCCCGTCAATATCGACTAATTTAATAGGACTTCCTTTTGTATCTGGGTTATTATTATTAGGAATAGATCCTGTATCATTTATTTCACTGTTAACAATATTTTGCACCGAAGTTATATTACTACCGTCATATGATCTACGAAAACCGTTCGAAATTCCGGAGATAATAAAAGGTTCATTTATTCTTTCTTTGGTGAAAATCATAGTTTCTACCATAGAATCTGGTTCAGGTGACTTTATAAAGTATTGAGTATTTGAATCAGCTATGACTGACTGATCTTTTTTTACACTTGAAATGACATCTTGTGGTGAATTTATATTTTTCATTAACTTAAATAAAAGTGGAGATTGGAACATGTGGGTGTTTGAATTAGTAACAATCCGTTGTGTAGAGTCACTGCCAGTAGTTACAAACGGAGTCAGGGTTGAAAGCAATGATTTTTCGCTACCCAGTACAGTTGTTGGTATATTATTTACTTTAGTAGACAATACTGAAGATTCTGTTATTAGTGGCTTATTCACTGTACTTTGGTCATACACCGTAACTGTACTTAAACTACCAGCTGGCTGAGTGGACCCAGATGTAAAAGCATTCAATGGTTCGTTTTTTAAAATAATTGGTATGTTTTCTGAATTCATTGTAACTACTCCTTTCAGTCCAATATCATTAACTATTTTCTTTGTGACGTAATTAACATTTGGTTTTATTGGATCAAAACTATTACTGAATAGAGTTGTAGTATATGTAACGTTTCTATTATTTTTGGAGTTTAATCCTGATGTGGACAAAATGTTTTGTGTGCTTTGTTTGTTTTCTGCTGCAGGGACATTTATCGTTTTGGCAATATTATTAATGTATTTTGTAATTGATGATTTAAATTTATTTAAATCGTAATCACTCGGATTTTGTATCTGGAAAGTATTCACATAATCTTTTGATAATGAAGGATGTATGCCTGACAGTTGCAATGTCGCACTTGGCATTGTGTTCAATGAATTAACAGTATTGTAAGTTGACACTATCTTAATTCTTTCATCCGTATTGGAATTAACTGTTGACACAGTAGGATTGGCAGTCGGAATTATTTTGTCATCGTTTTGTTTAACTGAAATTATTTTTTGATCTGCAATGATCGGATCCATCATATTTTGTATTGTGTCTTTAGTAAATGTTTGTACGATTGGAGAAGATAATCTTTTCACTGTTACGGTAACTGTGCCAGGTGCATTTAATTGTTTTGATGAAACCAAATTTTGGGTTGTACTTTTTATAAAATAATCAGGTGTTGATGCTTTCTGAATATGGACTCCTTGTGGGATATTGGTTAGCGAGGAATAAGTGGTTTTTACTGTGTCAGTGCTCATTTTTGAATTTATATCCTCCGGACTATTAATGGCTCCTAAATAATAATTTGATGAAGAGGATTTTGTTAGTGTTGTTTGCGAGTAATCAGGTGAAGGGTCATATATATTGGAAAATGTATTTTCTATCTGATGATTTCCCAAATTATTTGAACTTAAATTTTCAGTAACAGTAAACGTTGGAGTATTTGTAGCACTAGCACTATTAGATTGTACTGTTATTTGACTAGCTACTTTCTGAACAGTTGAGGTCAACATATCAGGGTTGGAAACGCTCTTTAAATTACCACTATCTAAATTATCCAATTGTTTCACAGATTCTTTAGTTTTACTATCACTGCTAGGTATCTTTTCACTATCTATAAAACCATCTTTTGCAGTATGTTTTGTAACAATTTTTTGTACACTACCAATCGATACTGCCGTTTCATTTCTCGATAATGATGGCAAATCTTCAAAAGTTTTGGTTGCCGATGAAATCGATGATGATTCATGAGGAAACTGTATTGAATGAATGTCCAAAATACCACCACTGTTATTTAAACCAATGGAAATACCTTTTGTTTTAACTTCAGCTGTCGTTATATCAGCTATTGAAGATTTTACTGCAGTTTTTATGTCTGGTGTTTCTGTAGGTTTGTTATTAACTATATCTGCAATTACAACAGTGTCAACCGATTGTACGGTCGAAGGTATACTTGTTGAATTATAATTTGTAGATGTTACTAATACCATAGGTGAACTTGTAGCTGTAACTTGTAGGGACTGAGGAATATTGTTTTCTTTTGAAATAATAGTACTTTGAATATTATCTTTCGAAGTAAATGTTGGAGCCGTGACACTTGTACCTTTCCCGGACTCATCAAACCTTTTGTCAGTAGAAGCTTCTGTGGCACTCAAATTATTTATATCAGAAGTGATGCAATTTAATTTTGATAATTTTTTAATGAGTATGTTGCCAGGAACCTGTGTAGAAGTTCTTTCCGTTGCAATAGGCCCACCATTACTTGCATCTTTATGTTGCGGTTCATTTGAAATACTTTGTGTAATCATAATGTTGTTATTAGCATTATTGTTGGCAGGAGGAGCGTTATCAATAAAAGACTTTATAAAATCTACATTTAAGTCTGTTTGTGGTAACTTTTTGGAATCTGATGTTAACAAGTCTACCTTCACACTATTTTTGTTGTCTTGTATCAAATCGCTTGTTTTATAGTTTTCACCATTAATATTCTGCCCATCTAGACTGTTGATACTCTTTCCAGTATTAATGATTATACCATTATACATATCTGGTAAAGCAAAGTTGGCATTATTTGTAAAATTATTTTTTTCTGATCTTTCATTAATATTACTTACTTTTTCCAAATGTGCTGTAACTGGTAAAGTAAATTGATGTAATATTTTAGCTTTGTCAGTTTTAACAGGAATATTTCCAGGAACCATGTTGGTAAAAACTGTTTGTCGATTATCAGAACCTAAATTAATGACAGTGTGATTTATCGTTATTGTGTTTTCTGTAAGTGCCGCTGTATTTTTTGTACCATTATAAACTTCCATTATAGTCTTAATATTTAATGGTCCATTATCTTGGTCTATCGTGGCGACAACTTTATCGGTACTTCCTGTTACACTAAGTGAATTAGGAACACTTGGGGACAGCTCTGTTAATTTAATTTTAGAAATTAGATCCGGAGTATTATTTTCTGCAACTAAATTATTTTGAGTAATCATTATCCCAGTAAAATTTTGTGCAGCTGGATTTATATCACTGAAAGTATTTAGAATAGCATTATCTGTATTGTTTGTATTTATTTGTATATTAACCACGGTAGATGTGTTTACTTCATCAGTCACAGCAGGTGCTTTTATTGATGCGCTTCCTATTGATATAGATGAATTGTTTTTCTCGTTATGGCCTAAGTTACTATGCACTGTCAACAGCAAAGAACCTTGATCCGTCGTTGGGACAACGTTATCATTAGTCATAGCAATTGTAACATCAGCGGAAGGCTCCATACTTGCTGCAATTCCGATATTCTTGGTTGCTAATGTTGACTTTTCGGGAATATTCATGACTTTCTCATTATACTGTGTTTCCAGTTTAGTTATTTGATTTATCGTACTAGAATCCGCACTAGACACGCCTACAGCAGTTAATATGTCAGCAGGTGATAATTGAGTAGAAGTTAAATACTCAGTAATATTTTCTGCTACTAAATGGATTGGTATTGGTACCGAAGATTTGTCGTTATTGGCTATGACGTTATCCACTGATGATCGTTTAGGGACCTGATCTATTGTTGGGACAATTTCATCATTAGCCATATCAATTGCAACATCAGCGGAAGGCTCTGTACTTGCTGTAATTGCGATATTCTCGCTTGCTAAATTTGAATTTTCCGGAATATTAATGACTTTCTCAGTATACAGTGTTCCCGGTTTAGTAATTTGATCTATCGTATTAGATACGCCTACAGTAGTTAATATGTCAGCAGGTGATAACTGAGTAAAAGTCAACTGCTCAGTAATATTTTCTGGTACTAAATGGATTGGTATTGGTGCCGCAGATTTATTTATGTCGTTATCGATTACGATACTATCCACTGTCAACAGTAAAGGAACTTGATCCGTCGTTGGTACAACGTTATCATTAGTTATAGCAATTGCAACATCTGCGGAAGGCTGTGCACTTGCTGTAATTCCGATAATCTCGGTCGCTAAAGTTGATTTTTCCGGAATACTGTTCACTTTCTCATTATACGATGTTTCCAGGTTAGTAATTTGATCTTGACCAGGTTCAGTATGAGAAACACCTACAATAGCCAATGCATTTGTTGGCGATGTTTGAGTGGAAGTCAAATACTCATTACGGTTTTCTGGTACTAGATGCATTGGTATTGGTACTAAAGATTTGTCTTTGTCGTTATCGATTATGTTACTATGCACTGTCAACAGCAAAGGAACTCGATCCGTCGTCGGGATAACGTTATCTTTAGTCATAGCTATTGTAACATCAGCGGAAGGCTCCATACTTGCTGTAATTCCGATATTCTTGGTTGCTAATGTTGACTTTTCGGGAATATTGATGACTTTGTCATTATACTGTGTTTCCAGTTTAGTAATTTGATCTATCGTACTAGAATCCGCACTAGACACGCCTACAGCAGTTAATATGTCGGCAGGTGATAATTGAGTAGAAGTTAAATACTCAGTAATATTTTCTGTTACTAAATGGATTGGTATTGGTACCGAAGATTTGTCGTTATTGGCTATGACGTTATCCACTGATGATCGTTTAGGGACCTGATCTGTTGTTGGGATAATTTCATCATTAGTCATAGCAATTGCAACATAAGCGGAAGGCTCTGTACTTGCGGTATTTCCGATATTCTCGCTTGCTAATATTGATTTTTCCGGAATATTGATGACTTTCTCAGTATACGGTGTTCCCGGTTTAGTAATTTGATTTATCGTTTTAGATACGCCTGCAGTAGTTAATATGTCAGCAGGTGATAACTGAGTAGAAGTTAACTGCTCAGTAATATTTTCTGGTACTAAATGGATTGGTATTGATGCCGCAAATTTATTTTTGTCGTTATCGATTAAGACACTATCCACTGTCAACAGTAAAGGAACTTGATCCGTCGTTGGTACAACGTTATCATTAGTTATAGCAATTGCAACATCTGCGGAAGGCTGTGCACTTGCTGTAATTCCGATAATCTCGGTCGCTAAAGTTGATTTTTCCGGAATACTGTTCACTTTCTCATTATACGATGTTTCCAGGTTAGTAATTTGATCTTGACCAGGTTCAGTATGAGAAATACCTACAATAGCCAATGCATTTGTTGGCGATGTTTGAGTGGAAGTCAAATACTCATTACGGTTTTCTGGTACTAGATGCAATGGTATTGGCACTAAAGATTTGTCTTTGTCATTATCGATTAAGTTACTATCCGCTGCCAACAGTAAAGGAACTTGATCTGTCGTTGGGACAACGTTATCATTAGTCATAGCAATTGCAACATCAGCGGAAGGCTCTGTACTTGCTTTAATTCCAATATTCTCGGTTACTAATGATGATTTTTCCGGAATATTGATGGCTTTCTCAGTATACGATGTTCCCAGTTTAGTCATTTGATCAATCGTACTAGAATCCGTACTAGGTATGCCTATAGCAGTCAACATATTATCTGTTGGCGATATTTGAATTGAAGTCAAATGGTCCGTTGTATGTTCTGGTACTAAATGTTTTACATCAGTCGAATTTGATTCAGATATAGAGATTTGTTCCGTTTTATCATTTATTTTTATTGGTGTATCACCTACTTTACTTGTCGCAATTCCTATTGATACGATTGGCTTCTCTGTAATATTTTTATCCGTTTCATGAATAGATTTCTGTGTAATAATTTTGCCCATAGTAGCTGGAAATATATTGGTAGATGCATTTTTACCAGTTTCATTCAGTGGTGTTATACTAAGCACGTCTTGATTGATAAAAGGTTTCACTTCAACTACATCCGTAATAATACCACTACCTGTATTTGGTAGCGTATTGGAATTCACAGTCACGGATCCCAAGATAATATCATTGTTATGAGAAATCACATGATCCGCAACATTTGTCATTACGTTGTTTGTAAAATTATTAGGTTCCGTAAAATTTGGTTTAACTTTTACTCTCTTTATTTCAATAGGAACAATACTAACTGGCTTAGTTGTAAGAAGAGATTTTTCACTTGTTACAGCCTCTGTTTGTGCATTTGGGTTTCCTAGAATATTAAAATTAGATATACCTTCGGCAGTTAATACATCCGTCTGAGGTGTAACGTTTGGAACATTTTGCTTAATTGTAGGATCGATTTCTACCGGCAAAAGAACAAAACTCTTTTCTGTCGATATGTGGCCGCTCGGATCTACTGGTTTAGATTCCAAAATGTAAGGTCTATCTGTTTGATTAACGTGCGTATAATTTTGTTCAATAATTTTATTACTCATATTTCTAGGTGTATCAACTGCGGCAATAGTTATTACATCATTACTGAATGCTGCTTTTGTTGTTATTGGTTGCATTATTACGTTAACTTTGTCATTATTTTGATTTCGAATTTGATCGGTTTTTGATGTAAAATCAATAGGCATGGGTGTAATCTCTATATTTGGAATAAGAGTAGCATTAAGTTGATCTATTCTCAGAGGACCTACCATGTGATCAGATGCAATTTGATTGTTTGTACCTACTGCTGCAGGTTCCGAAACTAAATCTATGCGAATAGTTTTCGGTATTTGATTATTAATATTATGTCTTTCGTCTTTGTTAGATTCTTCAAAAATTTGATTATTTTTATTGTTAGATGATTCGACGTTAGTATCATTGACTACATAATTTTGTATGATTTCTAGTTTATCAGTGGGACTGTATGGTGTAGCGATATTTGAATTATCTTTAGAATCTAATACTATGTGAGGTGTGGCATTTGGTACATTTCGAATAGTATTTTCTAATTCATCAGTGAGAGTGGATGGTGTAGCGAAAATTGAATTATCTTTTGGAGCTAATACTACATGAGGTGTTGCATTTGGTACATTTTGAATGGTATTAGTGTTAGATTGAACTTCTGGAACAAACGTGTTAGCAATCTCAGTAATTTGAATACTCGGTATTACTACATTCGCGGTATTATTTTCTGTGCTATTTTTGGATTGTAGGTAATTTAAATTTTTGTTTTCAGTACTAAACTTTTGGACGGTTTTATTATTGTTATTGTTTGAGGTATCGGTCGTAGTCGTTTTTATAGCTTCATTAGCAAGAACTTTGAATGAATTTAAGTCATTGGTAAGTGGAGTTATACCTGGTATAGTCTCAAAAACAGCAAGTTCTCCTGCTCTTAAAGTGTTAAAATTGTTAACAGTAGAATTTGTAACATTTTCCATAATGGATGCACCTACAGATTCTGGAACAAAATCGTTTTTATCAAGAGTCAGATTCGCGATAGCAGTTTCCAGAAGATTTTTATCTAAAAGAGTATTAGATACACCAATCGATGATGTCCTCATAACAGTTTGACTACCATTATTGTTAAATTGGTCTACTAGTGGAACAAAGGTTGTATTGGTCTCTGTGATCTGGATACTCGGTGCCACCCCATTAACGGCATCATGTTTCAACGTAGAATCACTGTTAGTGAGGGTAAAATTTTCTATTACATTTTTTGACTCCCGGTCATTTAAATCATTATTTTTAGGAGTAACGATTAGAATAGTTTTGTTATTGTTATCATCGTTTGCAGAATAAGCCGCGATAGTGTTTATAGCTTCGTCAACAAAAACTTGTACAATTGTATTATTTGTATTTGTCTTTTCTTTATTAATAACATCGACTTTCTCAATATTCAGAGCACTTAATTCATTTGGGTCGATTAGAAGCTCACTATTATTTTTTAAACTACTGTGAGAATTAGATATAATGGTAGGCGTAGTGCTTCTTGGTACACTGTTTGTTAGTTCGCTTGTTCTTAAAAAGTTAGAATGATTATCAATAAAGTTCGTATTATTTTCAATAATTGGCGGTAAGATTACGGATTCCAGAATTAAATCGTGCTTATCAAGATTCAAATTCACGATATCAGTTTCTAGCAAAGGCTTAGGCATATCAATCAAAGTGTTATTTTCGTTTAATTTACTTGGAGAAGTTGAGACATCAATCTGTGAAGATGTACTTGTTACATACTGAGATTCTGTAACGTTGAAATTAACTTCATTTAGATGTGTTGAATTGTAGACCGTATTAGTTACGAGTAATGGTCTATCTGTTGTACTGTATTCAGTCATAGCATTTTGATTACCAATTTCATTATTAGTTGTTCTAACTATGTCGACCGTGAAAGCGGGTCTAGCTTCAATACGAACAACAGGCCCTTCGCTAGATATGGCTGCTGTTGAGGCAGGTATATTTTCAAAGACATTGTCAATTTTGTTATTAGTTGACGTTAGCTGAGTAGTAATATTTTGTTCGATATTAGTCGCAATGTTATCACCCGGTGGATATCCTAAAGATGCATTCACTTCACTTGTAAAAATGGAAATATCACTTGGTACAATCTGCGATGGCTTATTTAATTTATCCGCTGTGCTGTTGTTGTTATTACTAAATATGTCTGAAGAAGTGAATTCGTCTGTAGACGGTGTTGTCCTCAAACTAAGATCAGCAGTAGGCTTTGAAAGAATACATTCTACGGCAGAAGTATTGGTATCAGCAGATTTTGATTTATCGCTCACGGAAATATTTTTTGCATTTTTTACATCATTATAGCCCTTGTTTTTATCAATTGCGGAAATTGTCGTTACATTGCTGTTATTTGATTGTCTATCGTTGATTTCTTTTTCACTATCAATTAAATTCGAATTTACTTGAAAATTAATTACGGTAGTATTGTCTGTATTGGCTCCTGTGGTTTCGTTATTATTTTCTACTAGAAATGCATTTAACACAAGTTCTTCTTCTGGTGTTGCTGTAGTTAGTACCGTATCGTTAAATACACTTACAGTATCACGTCTTGTTGGCATCGGTTCAGTTACACTGTTAGTCACTAATGTTGTTTCACTAATATCACTTTGCTTTTCAACTCCAATAACGTGGAGTGGTGGTAGAGTTTCTTCTATCTTGGGAAACTCACACTCGAAAATATTATTTCCGTGGCATACTGTGGTCGCTGGACACGGAATAACGAAGTCATCAATCGTAGTCGATAGGCCGCCACCCAAATCAACACATATCATGAAATGTGTAGAATTGACGCAGTGGAAAGCCTTGCCATTGCAGTTAATATTCACGGACGCTATCGCAGGGATAGCGATCAATACCTAAAAAAGACATTTCAATTCAAATATAATCTCAGGAAATTATATTGTTACAGAGTAAACAAAATCCTTTTGTCCATATTATTATACTTACAAGTAATGAAATCCTTTTCAGGTCGTTAATTTCGTTGGCCATTTTCGGGTATTCGTTCCGAAAATGGTACAAATCATTCGATAAGTTTTCGTTTACGCTTGTCGTGTATCACATGAGGGTTTTCTCGCGAATGTCGGTCTTGCGTTTCTCCCAACAAATATGAACGTTGTTACAAGTTTGTTAACATAAGATTCGTTTACTCACATCACAAAGTAGATTAGGCCGTCAGAAGGTAAATAACGTTGACACGTTATTTCCTGCGGCTTTTCAGTGCGTATTGTTGTTGAGATAAAGTGTTTCTTTCCACGGAATAGGTTCTGAACAAAATATGCATGTTATTGACTATTGGGGGTGTTTGTTGGTGTCTTAATATTGCGTAACGATATAACAGTTATAAATAAATTTTACTTTTCTGCTGCATAAGCCACCTGTATGTATGCATGAATAATGTGTATAACTACTAATACTTCTTAGCTATGTGATTTCGTTATGCATGAATTTCGGTCGCTTATTATTTTATGTAGATTTCTTAACCACATATAAATACAACCTAAACGTGAAATGAACTCCCAGACACGGGGTAACCGCTAATAATACTAAGATTAATTATTATCAAAATATATAAAAATCTTCCAATGAAAACTAGAAACCTATGGTAAACCTGTGAATCTTGACACAAAAATGTTTGATGGAAAACCCCAAAAACATTTATTTTGGGCTTGATATTATCTTCAGCTTATTGTTGTACCACATTTTAAAACTAAGATAAACAAATAAAATATTTGAGTCACTATAAATTAAACTTTTGATAGCAATGCGGAAAATGAATCACTGCAAGAATGCGGGCTAAGTACACAATAGCATCTAACTACAAATAATTGTATTATTTAAATGTACCTAACCCTTATTTACTATAAAGATTATACATGGAAATAAATAAGTTCAATGGACGTAGATATCATATTTTTATGAATACACTTTATCAGTAAAAATAGAAACACGAGGATAATTCTAGTGATTCATTTTACCACGAAAGAGTAAACCTTCGTTACATAAAACTTATATTGTTACATAGATTTAATAATGGCGTTATCTTAAAAGGGAAGGTTATTTATAACATCAGTTACTATCAAATAGGTACGCTAAATACAAAACTTCTATAACTTTGCATTAGTTAGGTGGAGTTATAGAACCTGTCAAAACAGGCACCAAAAATATTTTTAGCCTCCCTCCTATTTTCCTTCAGTTTGAAAATCAAATTAAACTCGTTATTTTATAAAATATAATTTACTGACTAAGTATTATGCATTACAATTTACTTATCCACTTAATGTTCGATATCACAACTTCACAAACATCACATTTAGTTCATTATCCGCAAGATTGTCCTAGTTTCTTTGTTTATATTACAATTTTAACCTCAATTCGTTTATTATAGTGACATATCAAAATAGCCAACGTTTACCTATCCTGACAGATTTTAATTTGGTCACATAAATGTAACAGATCGATATGATCAACCATATAAAACTAATAACGGATAATGTTATGGCTAAAATGAACATGGCGGTCTGTAAACCTCTGTCTTCGTCGACTATGAAAGATATTCCTACAACAAACACAGCTAGTAGAGTACCCGAGATCGTTTCCAGAGGGCTATGGAGTTTCGGCCATTTTCTTGCGCCAACGAAGTCTTGCACTGCTGTCTCCCAGCAACATGAAACGGCACCATAGCCAAAGCCAGCTATTACACAACCGATTGAGAATGAGTCATGGTTGTCTGCTTCTGCTAAAACTGCAATAAAATAGAGACCGTTAATATAGTGCCTCATGCTAAGAATTAAGTGCTGTAAACTATACATTTTACATATTTTACTTACCAAAGCATCCTAACGTGGATATAACCACGCCGGCTAGAGCAACATACTTGAAATTTCGTTTAGGCGTTTGTGCGAGCCATGGTGTACTTAACAGGAAACATATCCAAGTGAAACCATACAGTGTCATCAGGAAATTCGCATCAGATATTGCTATCCTGGGATGCATTTCAGAAGCTATCTTCGATAGTGACACCATTGCTACAGACGTTAAACTCAGTCTAGCGAAATACAACAATAACGAAGGATAGAACTTCCAACATGACAATGATCTTGTCAGTGGTTTTATAAACGTATCGTTGATATTGTACATGAAAAATGTTAGTCTTCTTCGTATCGTATAAATTCTATAAGACGGCATCCACATCCTTCTTCGCATACTAGCATAGGCGGACTGACAACGAAAACTAAATGAATTAAATATTTTCTCTCTTTGAATATCTGTTACTGGTGATACATTATCGTATGTCACTTCTACTTCAGTATAATCCTTGTGTTCGATACCATCAGGTTGTGAGTCTCGTCTTATTTGCTTACTGATACAATCGTCAAAACTATCGCCTAATGTACTCAGTCTCTTGATAGCGACACTGAGTCGCTTTTTGTTCACACTCGCATCTTTTTCTTCTTCCTCGCATTCGCTCTCTTCACTCTCTTCCGGTATTTCTGGAAGTATTTCAACACCAAATATATTTTTCCTTTTCTCCTCTGGACTAGGTGGTGGAGTAATTGTAGCGACTACATCATCATCGTATTCAAAGTCCTCTGAGAAATCTGGTTCTTTATGCAGATTGTCATCTGGACTTTTCCAATATTTTTGGCTCAAATCATGTAGTGGCAATTCATTCGTATAGAAATTCTTATCCATCCCTTCGTTACTGAAGACAGCGTATGTTTTCGCCAAGTCACTGTATCTGGAGTAGGAAATTGGTCTTTGTATGCTTTCATCGACTCTTAGTAATAGAATCGCTGGTAATGTTTGAAGTATTATACCGGCGAGAACTATGTATGAGTAGGAGTATCCATATGCATCTATTAGTGCTACTATGATATGAGGGAACATTGCTTGACCCACTGCTTGACCAGCGAAACATACACCGCGAATAATTCCTAATCGTGAATCATAAGTATCGAATACTACTGCATCTACTTGAGCTGATATGAGTGATGATCCGAGACCTGTAAAATAGAAAAGGGTAAATAGAAGTATGTTACACGATCTAAAAAAAGGATAAGTCCAATTAAAATAAAATGATCACCTCCAAGTATTCCATAAACAAGTGGCTGTAGATGGAAAGGAATAAACGCGCAGATGAGAAGGCTAGCCACCACCATAGCAAGGCCTAGTGTCGCCATCACACGGTACCCGACCGCTCCACCCCAGGAGTCTGCTGCTTCTCGGAACCAACATTCTGAAAGCCAATTCAAAATTTATTTTTAATATATTAATTCAATAGATACTAATGACAGCGTACAAAGAGAACAAAAGTACATTTTGTTTAATAATACGGATATAAATATTTTATCATGAAAACGTCGATCAAGACATAGTGACATTTTTCTTTGAAAGTAGGTACTTCACCTGTGGGCGTTGCAAACAACTGATAATACGAATGATAAAATAAATAACAAGACCCTTACGTGTAAAGTTGTAGATGAGTATATAAATTGTAGGAGTTGAGAGACCGACCCATATCGGCACGTGAAATTCATCTAAATGTACTAATATTACTCCATAAGCATACACGAGACTCGGCAAACAGATCTGGAAAGATAATGATTGTATAGTGGCGAGAGATAACCCATTGTGGGGGTATCGGACGTAACACTCGTCAATGTCGAGATTTCAAATCAAAATCATGCTTACGTCCGACAATGTTGTCATGTTCCAAGAACAATCACACCTTCTTATAACCACTACATATACATGCTACATAGTACCTATATACATACATGCATAGATCCTCTTCAGTTTTTACAAATGTTACAGAAAATTACAGCAACGTAAAAATTATTTTCAAATAAAATTGTGTGTACGCTAAATTGTTTGTTCTGTGTTGAAAATATTAGTGCCCCAGAAGGGAGGGCGACGCTATTTAAAAAAAAAATATTTTGTTGGCTAAATTTATGGCATGCACGCATGCATAGGTAGTTATTGCAGTTACTATAAATAATAGAAAAGCTACTTTAGCAAGACGCAATAATAACAACTTAAATAATTGGTACCTACCTACCTATTATCCAGTAAACACTTGAGTAGGAAACTTATCTAATATCATTACATTTGACTTTGAAGTTAAAAAACATGTATGTATAGTGAGGTGGATATGAGCGCATATAGGTAATTGCATTGTTTTTACTTGTATGAAGGCTTTGTACCCAATTAAGTAATAATTGTGCAAACGTTATAAAAATAAACGTAGATAAGCGATTCTATGTTAGATAGCCGCTCTATAATTCCACTTGGTTGTATTGTCGCGTGACGATGAAATCACGCAAGTCCTTATCATTCACCTGTGCATCTGTGGCTTGAGTGTTTTCTCACAGACGATAGTGAGTGACGTCACTGTGGCATTGATACACATTCATGGACCTAAAACAACTGAATAATCTGCACAAACCAACCAACACTGGTGGATTAATGGACTAGGTAGTTATAATGTTTGTTATGACTATAAAGTAAGTAGGAACAATCGATTATTTTAATAAGTCGCTTTGGCAAAATATGAATATGATTTTATGAATAAAAAAACTGTATTTAATATTTGGTAAATTCTGGCAGACCAACTTACGTTCAGAAGCACGACAGATAGCAGTAGAGGCCATCGCCACGTCGCTCCATGCGCTCTTGTATTAAACTCCATCTATTCTTCTTTTTCCTGCATTTTCTCAAGTTGTAAAATGACATTATCCATGTAAAATTGCACTTAACGTATCAGTCATAATCACATGATTCAGCAAAAATATTGCTTTGTGAACACCACTAATATAATCGCACTGAAATGTTTTGAAATGAAAAAATATGTTGTTTATTTTAAAACTTGTAGTCGTAAGAGAGCATATCGTCGTATTGACAGCATTCTATACATCAGTCGTGTTATCAAAAGGCCCCAACACGTAGTTACTTTGTCTTATCTTATCGTTTCAGTGAAAGAAACCAATATTAGTGTCTAATTGTTTTTATTATTTAATACATTAGAAACTTTCGACAGGTCTACATCTGTTGTCATATCCTTCACGTTAGTTCCTTAATCAGGAGATCACCCTGTTAAAAGATAATTAAACTGACTTCTTTGTTTGATTATTTTACATCTAATCTATCTGACTTAGTTGACTTCCGTAAAGACTTTAATTTAGTTAGGCATCAAAATGTGATTAGAAAACATTAAACCATTAAATTTTGTCGACTCCAAAAGAGTAGGTAGCTACAAAGGTGGGTATGTCTTGAAGTTTGAAGGCCAACGTTTATTATCAGATTTCTGAAAAGAGATTTGAATGGTTTGTGCTTATCGATTACGAAATCGTTAATTGATTACGTATGCTTACCAAGCTATTTTCTCCCAATAAGACGAAGTACTTTTAGTTAAAAATAAGCCGTTACAAAATATCAAGAAATTAGTTACAATGCTACAAATTAAGTACTTAATTAGATAGGTATGCGTATGTAGGTACATTATTGACTTGTGATTAACATAATCCTTTGATTATCTGATTAATTTAAGATTGATGGATGGAGGGTAAAATCATAACCGGACAAAAATGCATTGATTACTTAGAAATGATACAAAATAAACGAGAATTTGTAATACGATGCCGTTTGTCGCACGAGAAATGGAAGAAAATTTACGTTAAATTGGTGCAAAAGTAGCATAATATGCCATAGGTCTGGTATATTAACCTAACTGCCTTTATAGTTCTCACGAAAAGCGTACCATTTCTGTAAAAAACATCCCTGAGAGCATACTTAGAAGTAATGATAGTCGATCTTAGTAAAAACATCCCTGAGAGCATACTTAGAAGTAATGATAGTCGATCTTAATAAATTTTCACCAGGTTTTTGGTTTATTGAACCTCTTAACTGCTCTCTGACTTCCTTTTGACAATTCCTCTGCAAAAAGCTTGGTATCTAAAGCCTAAAAAAACATTTTTTTAGTATGTCATCAGTGACAGGTAAAACTGACATTGACAATTTAACCAGCTGATCTATGTTGACGTGTTGGTGTTGATAATATTGTGATAGGTACATTTCTGAAAAATCTATTCCAATAATTACTCTGAAGACCAAAACATTCATTTCTCTTAATGACTTTATTTCTAACATGTCGAACCATGAAGTTATAGAAGAATATTCCAATTCAATAAAAAATCTTAAAAAACAATGTATTGACGCCGGCATGACTGAAGATGAATTTAGACAAATGTATTTAAGTTCCCTTGAAACGTTAGATGATGAACGCCCTGCTAATATTCCGCCCAGAAATATTACCAAATATAGAGTTCTACTTGTCGGACTCCTTGTTACTCTTTACATACTTTACGATTATAAAAATATTTATAGCAGTGTCGTATGTAATTTACAAGAGTATATTTATCCTGGTTTAAAACTATTAAGAAAAATCTCAATTCCGCTAATATCACTGTTCCCTTCCCTGACAGGTAAATGTATTATTAAATTTTATACAAGGAGGCAAGTGAATGGCGTACAAGTAATTCATAATTTGTTAACTTTTGCAGAATACTATCATGAAACATGTTTAATACAAAATCCTTACTTTGCTGTGGTTGACATGGACTGCTGGCCATGTAGTACAGTGCTTAACATCAGAGAAGTTTATGATCCAAAACCTGTCAGTCAACAACAAACTGCACCATTTATTTATGAGGTGAATTTACCTTTTAAAACCTATCTTAATCAGTTGTTCTTAAGTCTTAGTAATCGTTAACAACCTTTTTGTTATTTCAGACTGAACAACAGGTAATAACTATGGAAGCTTTAAAGCAAATGTATTTATTAAACAAAGAGACATTTGATAAAGAATCTCCGAAGATTTTAACAAATAATAAGTATTATTCAAGTCCCAGTTATTTATTTATTGACAGACCAATAGAAGACGAGAGTTTCTATATCTGGTAAGATTTTCATCCCAAATATATTTTTTAATTAATAGCTTTTTAACTGATTTTTCTAGTTTTTGTATAAGATAATTTACCTAAGCATATACATAGGCTTCGAAAAATGTATTTTCGGCTTTTAGACATATAGGGCATAGGACAGGACTAAAATAGATTGAACACATTTTAAATGAGTTTTTATTGTTCTTAACTTACTTACACTCTTTCTTTACAGGAAATTCAATAACATGAATGTAGCAAAAGTGTTACGGCAAGTTATACCAAGACCAAAAGTAGTTCCAAAGTTTGGACAAAGTACTGAAAGATTTATAATAGTAGATACAAGTCAGAGATCTTTCAATATTCCTGATACAGAATGCAGTTTCTCATTTCTATTGGCTTTAAGTGGATCTAGAGAAATACATTTACTACCAGCTGAAGAATGTAAACAGCAGTGCAAGCCACTGAAAATTGAATTAAAAGAAACTTATTTGTGTGAGTATTAATTTCATAGTATAATTTAAATGCTATCTATACAGATAAATAATATTGTAGTGTATTTTTGTAATATTAAAATAACTGCATTTTACTACATGCATATTAATATATATATACGATACACATACTAAAATAATATTTTTAACAATTTTTGTGTCTGTCTGTCTGTTTGTACCGGCTAATCTCTGGAATGGCTGGAAAAAATTTGCAATTTTTATTGGCAGGTGATATTACTAAGGAGTAACACAGGCTACTTATATTTTGGAAAATATAACCAACAAAAAAAGTTATGTTCTAAATTTCATATTCTACGCGGACGAGGTCGCGAGCTAGTTGTGATATGAAATAACAAGCCTGTATTTCTTTGAAATATGATTTATGAAACAAAAATTCTTAACTCCTTGGTCTCACTAAGTATGATATGAAAAACATGATTGTTTTTTTCTTGCAGTATGGTACAACTGGTGGTACTGGAGACCTGCAGTTCAAAGCTCAATGGGAAACAACACATTTATTGCTCATGTTGGCTCATATTGCTGACAAGATGATTTATTCTATTTATGCTCACCTGCTATGCATTCCTAAACTCAATGGTTGACTACCATATAGACAGATCAGTCTCTTCTATATTTATTATTTATTTATAGACTACCGTAATACACCAAAAATTAAAATACAAAAAATGGAATGTACAAAACACCAATTTATTAAATCATAAAATAAATAAAATTAACTAAAAATGAACTAAATGCTTTCATTCAAACTTTTCTCTCAGCTTGTCTTTGAGGAATACTGGTACTAGAGAGATGAGTGCGAATACACTTAGTACTGTCACCGAGGTCCACGACCATGCGTCGCTTGTTGATGTCAATGTGTGTAGAGTTTGTCCAGCTTTGATAGCCACAAATGATGGTGGAGCTACTCCTGTAAACATGAAAAAAGTTTGCAATTGTCTGATTTCTGATAAAATAGAACAATACAAATTTAATGACTGACATCCCCAGTAATATGCAAGATTAAAATCTATATGTGAGGCATGACCTTCCATGGGCTTCTATACAATTAAACAGAATAGTTTATCTATCCTACAATTAAAAGTAAAGGTCATAAAATCTAGACACCCATCTTATCTTTAACTGCAAGTTAAATAACATTAATACCACAGTACTATTCATTATGTAATGTTTGTAATGAACTTACCTATGAATGTTCCCAAAGCAAATGGTACTAATGGCACACCTATCACAGGTGCGGACATATTGATGAACCAGTTTGGTAAAAAGGGTGTCACCCTCAAAAATATCATGTAGTTGAGCAGATTATTTTTGTGCTTAGTCACTGCTTTAGCCCATTGCTTAGCTCTTTCTGGGAAGAATTTCTTCACTAACTTCTTACCAAGAAGGTTAGACAAGAAGAAACATAAACTTGCACCTATTGCAGAACAGCAGCATACTAAGAGTAGTGCTAGGTAGAATGGGAATAAGAAACCTGAAAGGATACTTAAAAAAATAGACCCAGGTATTGCAAATGTTTGCAAACTGAGATACACGTTAAGGATATTATTATATTGATTATTTCATTTAATAACACCATCAACCTCGCAGCGTTGTAGTGTGAAAAGGATACAATATGTAAACTAAGAACACTCCAAATAATACTTCGTAAAAATACTTTTCCTTATAACGGTCTAGGACTAAACCTAAATATTTAGCATCTTCAAGGTCCCACGGTAAATGCAAATGTTGTTTTTCATGCCTGGAAATTAAAACAATGTAATCAATAACGGTATTGATTGACCATACAATACTAAGTACTAGAAAAGTACTTAAGAATATTAAAAAATATATATATGTATAACAAAGGTCAGCACAGTTTCCATCCATAAATTATACTTTGTTCAACATATTCTTTTTTGTAAAAAAAAACAAGTACTCACTCTTCTAAATCTGGAAACTGTTTGTATAGCAGCCCCAAAGCTACCAGGGATGATACAAATATTATTCCAACTAATATCAGAGCCTTCGATGTAGACAAGTCTTCAGCACTAGTGGTCACACTAGTTGATGAATCTAATAAAAAAAATCACATTAACTGATAGTTTTGAACAAACACAAGAACAAATTAAACTATAATGGAATAGTAGGTTATTGGGAACTAACTAGTTAATCTAAATAACATTCCCTAACTACGTAATATTATCTAACTACGTAATTAAACTATGCATTAAAGAACATGAGGGATATGTACTTGTGTGAGGATGAAAGAATCCAATACAATCAGTTCTGATGTTTCTTATTCTTGGTTTAGTGATAGTTTGGTGAGAGATACGGACCGTGGAGGAAATATAGGGATCTTGAATATCACCTTGTGTGTTTCGTGCGCGTGAATTTCGTCTCCGACCATTATGTGCGTTCATATTTGCTTACTTAAATAAAATAAGTTTATACATTCAGTATTTCTGTTAAAATAGAAATATCCGTAGATCCTACCTCCACTAACTTACTCTATATATATTTAATACAATAATCACACACTTTAAACAAAACTTATGTATTTAAATCTAAAATTTTACAAGTTCATCCTGTGACAAGTCCAAGATGATTCGAAATTTGAATCTTATTATGACATAGGAAGCTGTCGATTCAACTTCATGATACACGAATTCATTAGGTATAGTTTTATTTCTCTCTAATCGTGAATTTTAGACAGAGTGGTAAATATAATTAATGCTGTGTAACCCTAACCTAGTCCATTAGTGATTGATTTATCAATTTTATTGAACGCAAGAGTCAGAGAACAATGAACAAATGTGACATGACAGTGACATTGGGTTGACATTTATCGGTGTTGCCCAAACATTTTGTCAGTGTCCTCGATTTATTAAATATGTCAATAAATAAATTAAGTTCTAATCAACTGTAGTAGCTTTGATATATTAAACTTACTTTAAACCCTATCTAAAAGTGTAATATGTAGCTTTACGGCCGAATAAAGTCAACTATATCAATCCAAAATGTATGCCAACTACCTAGATGTGTATAAAATGGTCAAATAATAATAAAGGGCTTATTAATAATAATTATTATTATAGAATTACTTAAATATAAATATATTAGATCACTCAATGTCATGGATACTTTCTTAAATTAGCAACACTGTTATTGATGGAATCCTCCACCCAACGCCTCATTATACGCAAGCTTGCATTATCCTTTTTTATGATATTTGAAACTAACTTTTACTATAATTAATAATAATTATACAATTACAAACCGCTTAATAAAGTTTATGATAAAATACAAATATTTTTTCGGCAATTTTTTTTGTTTTCACGAACTTCACAAATATGAATACAAATAGTTAAATACCTTCAACGATTATAACGTTACATAATTTAAAAGTTAAAACATACAATACCAAGTTTGAATACTTAGTAGTCCTATTCTAACTAAATAGATGGATGCACTTCCAAAAACAGCCCATACAACATAGATTTAAACCACTGTATACCTATATAATTATATGATATGATATTATTTATCGTACGTTTCTAATGCCCGGATTGCCCGGCAACGATAGTAACATGTATGCGCATCCTGCATGGTAGTAGGGATAGGGGGCCGCTCAGAACAGTTGAACGTGTTGCCGCGTCTCCCGCGCAGCGCAGAACGCACGGCGACCGCGGCCAAGCCACAGCGCATCTTGTGCGCTTACTTTAATATTCCTATTTATCAAAAACAACAACTGTGGGTGTGCTAGTGATAAACCAAAGTGTTAATGGATTTAACACAGAAGTTTTATACAAATAGTCGATATAAAACATTCGACAGTGACACCGGTGAAAGTGAGCTTTCTAAACGACCGTAATTATTCCGTACTGAGATGTGGTCCTTCATGAATACTTAGGCAGCATACATGAGTGTCAGCAAGGAGGTAATAATATTTATTATTTATTTCTATGATAATATTAAAAGTACCTAAATGAGTACCCTCAGTTAATTCAAGTGCTTAGATAATTGTCCTAGAACACTTAATAGGCACTGGCCATCAACTAGTTAATGAGGTGTTGTTATTTACTCACGTACTAACACTTAACATACCCTAAAAAGTACTGATTCTATTCTAATTAGGCAAGTTCTAATGTTGTATTTGGCGTGAAACTACCTTTACCTAATTCAAATAAGCTGGATGGTGTTTACTCTCCTCCTCCACGACGATAAATAGTCTAACTAGTTAGACTTAGCTACACACACCATTTAATTTTTTATTATAAATTATAAAATACTTTACTTTGAAATAGGTATATTAAGGTAGGAACAATACCTACTACATGACTGCCCCGCCAGAAGCTAGGTACCTTAATAGATCTTCTGAGATCGGTTCTGGCCATCACTCTCATTATGTCTGTCTTAGCATATAATGGTTTGCAACATACTTACATCGAACAACCGTGCCGACTTTACTTACTTACTACTTAGTTCTTTATATTTACTAAACATTACAGGTAATGCAAGGAGACATACCCAAACTGTGTTTGCTGGTTGCTACACTGGCACTTGGGAGCGTGGCGGGAAGTGGCGGCGCCTGCGAGCGTGGCGTGAGCTGGTGGGACCGGCAGCGTGGCACCTGTGTGCCCTGCACCCGATGCGACCCTGCCAAACGGCTGGTCGTCAGATACCCCTGCGAGATCCACAGAGATACAATCTGCCAGTCGTTGTTCGAGGCCCAGATCTCTCCATTCAATACACCGAAACAGGTGCTTAAAAAAAACAATGAAACGAGTGAACTGGTTCCCAGTGATGAGGAGTACGAGTATGTGGACTACGATAGTGAAGTGACATCTAATAATGGAGTGTCGTGGGACCTGCAAACGATCAGCCTGACCGTGGCTGCGAGCGGCTGCCTCGTGTTCTTTGTCGTGGTCCTGGTGATGTCTCTCTACCATGCAAGGCAGTGGAGAGTTATTAAGCGAGCGCTTAAATCAGGTATGAATATGAATGCCTTACTTTTTATAACTTTTCTTTCATCAAGACAACCAAAATCATCCCATTTCCTACGCCACAGTTCGATCTTCAGCTCTTCATTTCCAACCAATCCAACCATTGCCAGACACTTTTATCGAAATATGTTTGAATAAGTTATTTATAAACATTTTGGCAACATACCAATTTGAATTCACGATCGAATCGATCAATCATCTTCATATAACGGTCTATAGATTTCCAATTTGCTCATGCGGTCAAACAAAGATGAAAAACATATTCGCCTAAGTCCATAGAAGAAATTCTATCCTTCATAATAATTTTAATTATATGGTATAAGTACGTTCTCATTAAAATTATGTACCGAATAAAATATTACATTAGTTATTTATTAACGTTTATCTGGCTATACTAATCTTTGTATTTGGTTCATGGCTATAATTCACCTTCAAAACAAAGTTTTAATGGTAAAACATAAACATATTTTAGAGTTGTGTTTGAAAAAGTACTGTATACGATCCGTGCCTAGTTCTGTAAGTTTAGATACCACAACAAAGCGTTTATTGTTGTAGAACATGATTTTATTGGTAGTCCAACCACAGCATTAGAAACAAACTAGACGTCCCACAAGTTCGTTATCCACTTCTGTTGATATTCGTCGGACGTAATCGGTGTCTGGATAATAAAAACGACATTACACGGAGGTCGCGCAAGCTGATCGTCCATCCTGAATAAATAAACCACAAATTATACAGCGTCCAACGTGTTTACACCATGCGAATTATTTATTTAAGGTTTCGTTCATTTCTGGCAGAAATTCCGTTGGTTGAGAAGTGATAAATGTACTTACTTCACTTACCTTTAATGATATCTACCTATAAGCTACACTCTACGTAGGTACAGATATGTTTCTCAAAATCTCATATTATGTCTATGTATGAACATATTACCTATAATTGTGAACTTAACCAATTCATTTAGGCCTATAAAATAAGTAACACCTTTCATAAAATACATAGCTTCGGTTTTTTTATATTTTAATAGACTTATTATTTGGACTTATTATCTAGAGAGATTTCTGGGCTGTTCTTGAAGAGTTCAATCAAAATAATAAGTAAAAGTCGTAAATTCAAGCTAGCAGGCGTAGGCGTAGACCCAATTCTGTGGCAGCGCGCGCTCACCGATCCCATGTAAACAATACCAGTTTGTTTGAACATGTGCGCTACTAATTTTGACCTGCCTAGCGGACCGCACGCGTAACAATAGCTAACGGTTTTCGTTGCATTCGACTATTCCGAAATTAGAACTGTTGTATTGATTCAGTTTAATTAACCGCCCACCTCCTTATGGTGTTGACCAAAATAAAATTTGATTACGGCCGCAGCAAAGTACACACTTAAATGTTATAAGAAGGTACTTAAAACTACAATTGAAGATTAATATTGATACAAAATATTGCAGATGTACAAGATTTAACGGCGAAGCTAAAGTTAATGGAGGCTGGAGGTGAAACGACAGCAGCGCCAGTCGTGGCGACCGACCACCACATCTACTGCAACATTCACAACTTGAGCAAGGATGCATTGCTTGGTGAGTTACTTTATCTTTTTAAATGAAAACATAGAATCATAAACTTTTTAAGCGAAGTAATTACAAACTTGGTCTTATTTTGGATACAAATTAGCTGTACAAAGAACAAAAGCGTTTCCTAAAAAGGAATGTTTACGCGGTCATAACTCTCGTTAACGGGCAGGTCGAGAGAGTAAGATTCTCGGTGCGGTGTCTGGCGCCATTCCAGTCAAGTTTAAAATACGGTCTTACGTAGGCGTGGGTTGCTCTTGCGACGTCTGGGGCTGGCGCCAGCATAATATTGCTTATTTTTGATCGGAACGTCCCCGAGGTCAAAGTTGTATGTACGCGAATTAGGTACTTTAATTTAGATACATGAGACCTCAGTTAATTTTTAGGAGGTCCTTGATAGTATACCGCACAAAATCAATAGGAATGGACGATTAATAAACAATTAGGCACGTGTCAACACTTACAGCTATGCGTAGCGGCGACGTCCTAGAGCAGCGTCGTCATCATCCTACAATGGTCGTCAGTATTACAAGTGCCTTGTTCCTAATTGTTGCTATATGGCTCCGCGATGCGCTACATGGAGGCCACGGGATGCCGTCACGCGCGTGTGCTCGATGTCGATCAAATTTTAATGGCTATGTCGATACATTTATTCATTCTACACTCGATACCTTCGACAACGGTAATGGTGTTGCAATGGACGCTTTCCAAATTGCGATGGAGCGACTTTCAAAACTCATAAATCATGGGAAAGATTAAGTATCTGTTATCTACCTGATATAAAAGGGCGTAAAGTATTTGTAACAACTAACTAAATTTTAACATATAAACGGTTCGGTAGTAACATCTGCCATGTGTCAGTTTGTGGTGTACGTGTGCCTAAATATAAAAAAATCGTAGAGTCGATGCAGAAGAACGTTCACGGGCAAACACCTGGGCCCCTCATGTAAACAATCGTCTGTTATTAGTTTACACACAATTTTTCTTTAAAACAGGTCAGCAAATATTATTAGTGAGATTAAAGCTTCAGGAGATCTGGAGGTGATGTTTGTATTGTTTAAACTGCACTGATTGACCGCAACGCATGTTCTGAGTCGTCTAACATTCGAGTTAAAATTAGCTTAGCATCACGTTTTTTACAGACAATAATACTTTTCATGTAGGTACTGAGCTGTGTAATTCTATAAAAAGCTTCTAATCACTTGGTCACGGCAGTATCGGTAGATACTGTGGACTGTGGACAATTTACTAAAAAGTAGTTAGCTAACTAGGATTATCTTGGTCGCTTCGGAAGGCAGGTAATCGACCCAATCTGGCAGTAAGTAACGCACGTGCGTTCATTAGGGGGTTATTTGTAATGCAAGCTTGTCGCCGAGCCGACCGCCGCTGCTTCCGCCCCAGGGCTTCACTCGCGCCGCCGGGAAGGCCCACACTTCCTGCTTATACCGATTTTTGACAACAATAAATTTTAATTAACAATAAATACTAAACAGTTCTTTCAATACATAGTTTATTGGTGTTGTTGAACCGGAGGTATATTGGCGTGCTTTCTAAAATAACAACATACAGAATCCAAACTTGAGGAAAACGTCTGTCTGTCTCTGTAGGTACCTACCTAATATCTGCACCAGATGGATTCTTATAAAATTCGTTCAACCTTGTTTTTTCATCGTTCGCGTTAAAAGATCTATTAAAACGTAATTAACTTTTCATTCTCTGAGTTGCCAGATAGCTTTTTTCTGTATGTAATCAAAAGTTATTTTTAGCTGTGTCTAGAAGAAATCTGCTCTGAAACATGAGTTGTAAGTACTTAGGTAGAAGTATAGCAAAAAACGTAATCGTTGGCTATTCTGCACTGACATCTTAGGATTTCGAGGCGAACAGACGAAGTGGGCACTAGAATAAAGATACGGGTTAGAGCAAGCGCAACCTTGTGCATTGAACTCGATAGCTTATTAAGTATTCCGTGAGGTGCGTGCGCGTCGTGGGATAAAGGATCAGCGCCGTGTGGTCTCGCTAGTTTGATCAGAGTTCGATTTCCAAGTCAAGTCAATTATTTACGATTTGACGATTTTATTTTATAGTTTTAGGAATTTTAAGGTTTATGTTTATTGTTTATGTTGACAAAAAATGAAATAAATTTTGCTCTAGTCGAAAAAACGGTAGTTTTAATGTAAACTGAAATCAACATGATATTATTTATCTGAAAATAAACTAGGCTCGGTGGGTATTTTATTACATAGGTACATACACCTACTCCATGTCGTTTAGGTAACTACCTAAATACAAATCGACAAAAACTTTTTAATCATCGATTGAACTTTTAATAATTGATTTTATCGTCAGGAGGTTCATTACAATGGAAACGTCAACAATTTAAGCTATTTAAAGGCGAGTCACGTTAAAGATCGTGATCACGGTAAAATCATTATTGTTGTTTGAGATTTCTAACTAACAGACACGATTTGTTAACAGGACATTTACTTATTCTAACACTATATAACGCAACACAATTATGTGCATAATTTACTTTTTAAATAAACGTGCATAGATAACAACCTATTTTTTTTAAAAAACTGTCTAAACATTTATGTTCGTGCAGAAACGCAAACCTAGAATACTCTTATAATTCGTGTTTTTCTGAACTCCCTACTCAAATGTAGCTTTTTATAGATAAGTCGCCATACTACAAAACGGGTGATAAACGATACTTCGATAGCACTAAAGTTGCAAACATTTGGACAAAAGAAGACTGAGATTTAATGATTTCTTGATAACGAAGTCAAACTGCGGAAATAACCTACGTAAGTAATTAAAGCAACAAAGCAACATTCGTGCTAACTTCAGTTGCCTGTGGAGTAATACTTAGGTATAGATATACCATAGTAATGCAAACAAGCACTAGCCTAGCCACTACATAGTGAAATTTTATCGTTTCCTTGTTTTGAAAGGTCTTAATTAAGAACTATTATTTCGGTACCTTCCTACCCAGATTTTAATTGTAAATAACCTAGTTGATCCTGTTGATCACTAAAAGGTTACAGTGTACCCAACTATGTACCTATAGGTAGATAATAGATCTTGTCTGCTAATGTTTATTTCTTATTTCCTGAGCATTTGTAGAGAACATGAAGTTATTGCGAATATATCTACTTCATTACTAGTTTTTCATGTGTAACTGAGTAGGGTGGGAGCTAATAGAATTCATAGAAAAATACGATTACAAAAAAGATATAATTATAAACGGATGCAGAGGTAAAAACATGCGTCACGGCACGCTCGGCCCCATTTCACTCAGCGCCAGGAAATGGCCCAAAAGCTTCCTTTCACACGATGTTTGCGCAGTCAATAAATAGATTTCATCAGATTCCACGCTATCTGTTTTATACATCTATCATAAATATAACATCAACTAGACGAAGCGAGTCGAATTTACCAGAGCCGAGCTACATACAGACCAACGTACTTGCTCCGTGTGAATCTTTCCGGACGTACAATTCTATTTACTTTGCGCAAATACCCAGATATTTATTTCAAATCAACGGATCTAAAAGTTCGAACATCAAACATTTCAAATCTCCTTTATTAAAAAATGTTTTACTATTCTGCTTTGTTCTAAGAAAAACATTGTGCTATTTTTTTGGCGTGTAGCTCTCATTTCTGCGCCTACATAAATAAACTTTTTCTTCACGAGTATTCTTCTCTTCCTTCCAAGTTTAGGAAGCTAATTATTATTTGTCAATACAAAACAAAGGCGTAAAGTGTGTTGTGTTGATGGATATTAATAACCAGATAGCATGGGAACAGTGGAGCACTCGGGACAATGTCACGATCGTGCACAGAATGGCAAATTCGCGAGTGAATTTCCTTTCCTTTCGGGGCTCCGGAAGTGGCTCGTAGGCTCGTTATGGAGCTTTATTCTTTAACATGCAGGAGCACGTTGTCATAATACTACAATATACTGACGAAAAATTCCGATCATAAAATATTTTAAAAACATCGAACTTCTATTTTATTTTTAGTGTTGACTACATCGCACTTCCTTTGGAAAGTCAGAAGCAGAATATTTTTTTTTTCAATGTAGGTACCAACTAATTTGTTTTCGAATTTGCCTAGATGCGTCTGCATTCGTTTTTATAAGGTTTGTTTGTTTTTTTTTTAATCCGCTGATATGAGCTGCTAGGGCATTTTAAAGCAAGTGAAGCACTGAGCAAGGCCAATTGGGATGATGACAGGGTATGAAAATTAAAAATGTAATTAGTCCGTCAGTTAGGTAATGCAAAATATTAGACACGTATTTTTTTATCTTGTCGTATAATAAAACAATACCTACTAAGATAAAACGAATAAAAGTTTAGGAGTGGGGGCTAAAACTTCATTTTTACGTATAAAATGTACTTAAGTGACGGTAGGTACGCGACATTTCAAATCAAAATATTTTTTTAAGTGTGGGAGAGCCATGGTTCGGCACGAATGAGCCTTCTCGACCGGAGTGATAACACGGCCTCACAGAAGACCGACGTGAAACATCGTAGTGTTGTGTTTCGTCGTGTGAGTGAGGTTACCGGAGGCCCAATTACCCCCCCGCCCCCCATCTATCATAATTTATTTCGTAATAATTATAACAGTAAAAATGAGGAAATTCAAAAGGTCCCTAAAAGGGCAGTTACTAGATTCTTAGAGTTGCATTTTTATTCCGTTGGTTCAGAAATAAGCAAACTGAACTTTAATGTAAGGTACTACGGTGTGATATTCATCTATTGAATTAATAAATTGTACGCATGTTGAATTTATTAATTTTCCGAACACGTCCTCATATAATAGCGACAAGATCAATAGGTATAGCAGGAGTACTAGTGGGAGGAAGTCATGGCCAATAAAACATACGATAGTTCCGCGTTGTTACGATCGAAGAAACGGTATTTTCGAAGAAGAGGTTCCACTTAATTACGGGTTACGTATAAAAACGAAGTGATAACAACAAAAACAAAAGTCGCGTGCGACTTGTCCTACGTTGAACTGTTATCGCGCTACAAATATCTCTGCGCGCGACACACAGACTGAATGGCACATGATTTATTATATTTGTGCACGTCGCTCGCCTCACAAGTCACAACTGCTGCCGATTCCAAGATTTAAATTGTTTGTCTCGTGTATCAGACAGAACATTTGCGAGCATTTGAAGGTTAAAACAAATTGAAATGGGTGTATTAGCGTGTTGTTTAGTTAGAAGCTTCCTGGAAATACAGAGCATGTAGATGTTTCTCGCACGTTTCGTGTTACTTGCCAACATTACAGTTTATATAAACAGAATGCAGAAACCTTAAAAATAAACCCGTGTAATATCTTTCTCCATTACTGGTATCGCTGGCACGTAGCTAGATCCATCCCATCCATGTGTGGTGTATAAATAATCTGTCCCAATAGACGTTCAATTTAATAACCATTTATGTCTTAAGTTACTTTTATGTAAGTGTAATTTACAAAACCTATATAATATTTAATTATAAGTACATATTTAATTGTAATGTCTATAGACGCGTTGACCCCACAGTCAAACGATTGCAACGGTTTTGAGGGGCTAAGATTATATCTTATAAGAAACTTATCTTTGTGAATAAAGATAAATAAATAAATGATAATACTAATAATGCTTACACAGCATGCACTGATGTATTACCATGGATATTTTTTTCGGATACGGAACATACAGAGGTGTTTTATATCTCTAAGATTTTACGACAAGTCGCTTGCGAATAATATCTGCAGCTGGAGACCGTTTAAAATGCCATGCGCACGCGCACAAGCCGTAAATTCAAATATGGCCGATACAAACCGCAATTAGCATTACCTACATGCAAAGGAACTTTTTATATCATTTATGGACGGTTACGCAAGAGTAATTGCAAATTTTGGAACTGTGCGTCTAATTTTAACCATGATTTTGTTTCAGGTTCAAATTCAACGAAAAAAGGATTAGGCAATGTGTACACACAAGAGAAGCACAACTCATAAAACCACCGAATCGTTCTACAGCAAGTCTACAGTACAAATATTTCTTAATTATTCTAAATGACCTCGCACATCAAGATTTAAAAATAAGGAAATTATATTTTCTTAAGATAAAATATATGAAGTCAAAGAAATTCAGTACTCGTTTTAATTATTTCTGTCAGTTGTGCTGTATTTTGTAGTGCGACTTTACATTCTGGGGCGCGCCGCGACTTTGCGTCGCTGCGCTGACGCAGACGATCTCCAAATAGATTTGACCGTAGCTCGTCTAGCACACATCTTAGCCACCACTAATATAGCTAATATAAGCAATCTAGTACAGGGTGACTTATTTGTCGCATTTCAAAAAAATATTTCATGAGGATTGACAGATTTCCGACCTTAGAACCTCAAGATGGTTGTTTAAATTAGGGCTACATTTTTGTGTACTGTTGTACAAGGTAAATAAAACAGCATGTTTATTTATTTAAAATACTATATTACCAATAAAGGTACTCGTACTTACCTCCATTTACAAAACTGGAGAAAAATATCGATTATATTATTATATTAAATTACATTAAAAACTAACCAATATTAAAAACATACCTTACATCTCAAAAATAATAATTTACTAACAAACATAGCACTGAAATGCTGCTTAATTATTATCAATTGGAATATGAAAAAATGAAATTATTACGAATCATAAACAGAACTAATTTCCCAATTAGAAAAACGCAATGCTCAATTCAAAAGCTTTGTAAATGTAGATTTCTAAGAACTAAATTACAAAACCCTGTAGAATTTCCATCAAATGACATCTTGATTATTTGTGAAATTACCTAGTCTTGGTCCCGGGTGTATATACCTTTATTGAAATCAAACACAATCGCAACAATGTTTAAGCAATAAGTTCATACAGTAACTAGATAAGTGGAAAGCACGGAAGACCTCCAATGAACACAGAAGGGTTACGACATAAAATAGATACAAACCTAAGATTAACATTTGTACATAAATTATGGTCTAGGCGAGTGTTTGGAGTATTGGAAAATGGTATTTTTTTATAAGGATTCTTTGATATTTATTTTTGTAGTTAGAGGGTATTAAATTTTCACAAAGTGTGATGCCTGAGGACCACTCGTCATGCAACCATAAAATCACAATACACAATAAGCAAAAAGATCTCACATGCTAACAGAAGTCGAAGTTTTATTTTTATTTCCATAGGAAAATGTTAACACTAAAACTAGCATAACAACTCACAAAATATCCCAATCAATATACGTAATTATCCAACAGATCTAGTCTCTTCATATCGAGATAGGATAAATGTAATAAAGTCTTGGTTTCAAATTAGACATACTGAGAAATGTTGTACTCACCTTATATGCTCCACTGCAAAGCAAATTTCTGCTGTTAAAAAAGTATCAGAACCTCAAACGGCATACGAGGCTCTAAATAGTTACGCGTTTTCTTTCCTTGCTTGGCAACAAGCGCAATAATAATTTGCAAAATAACATTACTTCTATTGATACTGTTATCCACTATTATGGAACTTATTTTCAGTGAATGGAAAAGTGCAATTTCTTATGCATGTATTTCAATATGTACATCTTTGGCCATACAAAGCTAATAATGATTCCTACTGGCCATGATTTGGTTGTTTTGTACTTTCAGCAAGGAATAAGCATGGTGTACGATATTGTTTGCGAAACTGAAATAACCAACTGACTGAGCAAATGATATTACATGCACAATGTTTGCATCAACACTTAATTCGGTCTCATCCAGCTCATACAAATCAAGTCAATTGGACTAATTCTAAGTAACACGATGACCTATTATTTATCGAGGGAATTCACTAGCTGCTTCGAGTATTGTCAGCCGGCCTGGCGGCGTTGGCTGGCGCTGGAGGCTGGTACTTGGGCACTGAGAACATTGGTCTCGGCTCAACCGTTGACACGCCATCAAATCTAAATTAAAAATAATTTTTAATTAGGTACCTGAACACAAAAACTTTCACATACAAAAATAAGTCAGCTTATCTATTGCTTTGATTAGACTAACAGAAACCAGGCTCTAAATCAAATAAATTTATTTCAAGTTTATTCTCTGTGTTTTTTTTAAGTCATAAACTTAATTTTTAATTAATGAGTACTAATAATAAACTTAAATAACTTAATTATGAATAAATATAATCAACTTAAAATACAAATAACTAAATACTAAAATATTTACACCTTCTCTGTGTTTACTAAGAAATATTTGTTTCAACTTACTTGTTGCTCTTGTACTTGTCGGGTACAGCTTGGTAAGGTTGTAGCGAGGCGTGAGAGTGTGTGCGTGCAAGTTCCCGAAGGCAGGCATCAAGGTCCGCCAGGGAGTAGCCGGAGCAGGTGACAAGCGCGGCGGGCCAGGCCAGGGCACTACAACTAGCGTGAGGCCTTATTTCTTTCCCGTCGCGAGAGTCACGCCTCTCACAGTCCTCGCCTGTACAGCGCTCACACAGAAGGCAGTGACGTGCGGTCGCTAGTGCACTTGCCGCAATGATTGATGGCTTGAACTGCAGGTAGGGATCCGCCTCCAGCAAGCAAAGTTCAGCAAGATACTGTTGAGAGGAAAGTGAATAACATTAACTTGGCACCAGGAATTCAACATCTGAACTGAACATTACATTATGTATGATACAAGTAGTTTAATAAATCGTATTGGTTTGGTAATGTAATAATATAATTGGCATAACTGATATTCTTAATGCATTAGTAAAAAATACTCTCATTGGAATGAACAAACTATGATTAGGAATACAAGATTTCAATACTTACAGCAGCAAGGTGGAATGTCTTCTTGGAAAGCCCATTCGAAATACAGTAGTGAGACAAGAAGGCAAGGGAGGTTGGTGTAGACAGATCGAATGACAGAACTTTCAAGATAAGATGTTCCATGCGCAGTACCTCGCGCTTCGTGTATGTGTCGTCTGTGATGTACACAAACTCTGACACTTCTGGTGGATACACTTCTTCATATTTACTGTGGGCAAATAAACGAAACTATGCTGTTTAACTGTTCAGAAATGAAGAGAGCATAACATCTTTACCTCGGTTGTCTCCAGCCCAAAACCTAAAGTATTGTTTTTAATACCAGCTCTTTCTACTTTTAATATGAACTGCACGGTTAAACTTCTTAATTTTTGTAAGGTAAAACTTAAATTTTTGTAAGGTATTCATCAAATCACAGTACACAATGTTTAATTAATGTACACAATTTTTTTCAAGCAAATATAAAGACGTAAATCAATACTCACGCAGCAATGTAAGTAGCAGCTGTGCCCACAAGCTGTAGTTTAGTGCGCACAACGCTCATGTAAGACAGGAACCTGTCCACGTAAGACACAGCCAGATGCAAGGTCTCACTCTGCTGGTTGTACTCATCACACACTTCAACCAGCCAGTCAATGAGGATAGAACGCATTATGTGTGTAATGTCTGGCTGCTTGCGCATATAGCGGGGGTTGGCTCGGTTCTTGGCCTAAAAATAATATTATTTTAATGAAGGTAACATCATCATCAATCAATTTCTGTTTCAAACATTAAGATACATTTCCACCATTAATTAGATTTACATTAGATGTAATGAGAACTGCACAATACTCAACAAATTGTCTAGAAGATAGTTTAGTAGAATAATATCTTTACAGCAGTTTAATGTCCACAGAATAAAGTTAGTCTAACACAAACATTATTACACTAACATCTTTCAAGTGATATGTTTCAGTTAAATATTTCATTGCTGGATTACAGCAGAAAGTTAAGCTTGTTATGCTAATGCAGAAGTTATGTTGAAGAGTTTACTTCTCCCACTAAGTACTTATTAAATGAACCTTTATACAGTTCAGACAAAATTATCACAATGTATGCTACAAATTACATTGCATTTCTGCATAACTGCAAATGCTATATTTTTTCATATACCACAACAAACACAAATATTGCTTAATATTGACTATTTTTAATGAAAAGCAAATTAAAGTAGGGCAAATACATTTCTTGCATTTCTAATAAAATTCTAAATGATGTTGTATATTGTTGGATGGGTTTCTTGTGAAGAGCAACATTTGACCACAAAGTAAATAAAATTGCAATTAGATAAATAATTTTAATTGCTGTGGTCATGGCTAAAATTACTAATGTTATTTGGCCTAAATACTGTGACCTTAAATTCATATCAAAATGATAGTAATGAACTTCTTTCATTATCTAAAACAGCTTGTAAGAAAATAATGTAACAATAATTACCTCAATCTCCTTCATGTACTCATAAATGTCTTGTCGGTATTCCACCACATGGAAGAACATCTCCCGATCAGTTTGCGCAGTGGTTGTATCATCATCTTCATCATCAATGATCTGACTCTCATTCTTTGAGATTGACATAGAGAGCACACTGGTGTCCACAACCGACATTGGAGATTCAACCACATTTTTCTTCTCTTGTAGGGGCCTAGCAAAAAGATAATAAAAAGAATGCTATTGGCAATAGGGAGGTATGAAGAATTAACTCGTTGAGTACCTCCATTATAGACACAATTAAAGAACAATAGGTTGCGGTCACCGGTGACCGCTCGGTGATTTACAGTTTAAACCAACATGAGGTAAAATATAATAAAATGAGCAATACAATCCCTCCTCATTATATTATATTTGCAATATTGTAAACTTGATATTATTATCTAACAACAATGCTAATGCTAAGTAAGCCATAATCACTAAGGTTGAACCAATCACAAGGTGTTAGATTCCTGGATTATAAGTTTCTTTAAAATTCTCTTTAACAGTAGTCTGTAATAACATTTTATAGCATTAGCTGCTATCAGTGGTTTCGTCCACAGTACTAGAGCAAAAAATCTATATGTTATTATAGATTATAATCTATGTCCATGCCAAATTTCTATGAGACAATGATCAACATAAAAAAATAACATGCATCCTCAATTCCTCACAAACTTTTACATTAATAATATCAGTAAAGTAGCAGTATAATATGGGAGACATCAGCTTAAAACTACTAGGTGTAATAACTATAAAGGAGAAATTATTTAGGTTATAGAACCCCAAATCTCAGACCCAGCCTAAATGATTCTCCATTGATAGAGGTAAACTGGAATGTTTTTCAGATGATGTGGAACATGTCATAAAACAATTCACAAAAAGTTTCATGGCATCTTAATATTTCTGATATGTAGGTAGACCACTTGTCATACAATAGAAGTGAGAGCAACATGTACAGATGTTGACTTCGAGAGTTAGGTTACAAAATAAAGGTTAACTTGGAAACTTACCGAACTGAAGGCGGTTCGATCAGCCGATCTGGTTTCTTCTCAGCTTGAAGGCACAGCGTTTTTGTACTCTCGTTACTGACAAATATGCTATCCTTCTTGGTATCTTTAGCAACAAAAGGCTTAAATGTGTGCTCTCTTTTCTTGACCTCGGCCTCCGTGGGTTTGTCTTCATAAACGCTAAAGGCGCGAAATTGCGCCACGGGTGGTACGATGTTCTTTTCATTTTTAATCTGACGCATTGTCCTGTTCTCATCTTGAACTTTGCAAGACCCGTTGGTCAGCCCCGGCTACAAACAAATTGTTTTAAAGAAAACTGAACTAGTAAAAAACAACACAAACTTACCCCACCGGAGAATACTTACGAGTTTCAAATTCCGACTTTGGTTGCATGCAAACTGGCTGAGGTCGCCCAGGGCTCGACGTTGGTTACCAAACACATCAGCACTGTCTTTTCTTAAGCCTAAAGAGGCATTTTCTTGATCTTCATGTATTCTAAAAGCCATTGCCCCCGCTTCCGTAAACACTAATGAAATGAAATACCAGACCGGACAAACACGGACCACGCGAATGCAAGAATGGCAACCGAAGCGGAAATGACCTAATAACTTGAACTAAAGGCACATTTTGTTGAAAAAATGAGAGTAAATTAAGAAATATGTGGCGGTTTTGTTAAAATCCACCCTCAAAACGCAAGCGAAGCGTCAACGGACAAGAGACATTTTAGAAGTTTCAGCTGTTGTAGTTTACGTTATTCTCTTGTCTATGGTAATTTAAATTTGGTCCAATGAAATCGCGAGTAATATATTGTACTCTATTGTCTATGGACATTAGAACTTTATGGTTTCAACCGTTGTTTTGTTATTGGCATGCTTACGCAATTCCCTAATTTTTCGTTTTTTTTCTAATAATTATGTTTAGTAAAATAATTTATTCATCAGATTCTTTATGCATTCTATTTTATTTCATTCACTACGTTAATTTCATTATTATGTCATAAACTGCAATTAAACTATTATTATCACCTCGAATAACCCCGATATTTTGCAGTACTTGTTCGTAAACCGGTAAGCATAATGCGCTTTTTTTTAAGGGGGGAAAATCATCGAATGACTGTTCCCGCCTGGATGAATCAGGAGGGAGTGTCAGACTCTTACTGACTAAAAACCACCCCGTTCCTTCTCCTGCACGTCGAGACGGAGCCCCGGTTACCCTCGCCGTTCACTTCCCTGAGGGCACGGCGGTGCTCAGCCCATGCAGGGCATTCCGCTACAGTGTGTTCCACCGTATCCTCAGGGCCGTCCTCGCAGTGACGACACCCGGGCGTTTCCTCCCGCCCCATCAGACACAGGTACCTCCCGAAACTTCCATGTCCGGTGAGGACCTGCGTTAGGCGGTAGGTGAGGACGCCGTAGTGTCTTTTAAGCCACTCCTCAAAGAGGGGACTTACCGCTGCGATGGCAGCGAGCCCAAGCATAATGCGCTTGGGATCAAAAACTTGTTTCGCCTTTAGCCTTTATGTAGCGAGCAAATATATTTTGAAATCAAACCAAGACCAGAACCTAATAATCTTTTAAATAAGGTTTACTAAAATTTCAACATGGTTAGAACTTAATTCCCTAAGTACCAATTAAAAATAAAAACATTTAGTCTTTGGAATACAAACTGGCAGTGACATTTTTTTGACACATGTTAATTTGACACTGACAATTGACAATTCGACGTAAACAGAAACAGCTGTAATAGCTCAGTCAAGTCGCTTAGAATTGATAAATATTATAAAAAACAAATGAAAATGCAAATATATTTTGAAATCAAACCAAGACCAGAACCTAATAATCTTTTAAATAAGGTTTACTAAAATTTCAACATGGTTAGAACTTAATTCCCTAAGTACCAATTAAAAATAAAAACATTTAGTCTTTGGAATACAAACTGGCAGTGACATTTTTTTGACACATGTTAATTTGACACTGACAATTGACAATTCGACGTAAACAGAAACAGCTGTAATAGCTCAGTCAAGTCGCTTAGAATTGATAAATATTATAAAAAACAAATGAAAATATTATAAATGATTAAAACTGAGTGAATAAAAGACTATATCTCGTTGAAAAATATGTTTAAGTCGGTTATATTCCTCCTTTTCATAGGCTATGGCTGTGATACAAGTTATGCTGTTAGAGTGTACAAAAAAGCTGATATACTAAAGCTCAGGTAAATTAATATATATTATAACCACCGTACTGGCTATGTGTTAATCACTTTCTCATAATTATAAAATATTCCCCATTACATCAATTCTTATTTGACAATATCTAATTGGAAGTGTCCCTCACACTTTCTGTCACCTTTACATTGTCCCTTTTTGACTACACATTTCAATTAAAAATATATCCATAGGGGGATAATGATCCGTAGTCACCATAGATTTATTATCATGAACATTACTTTTGTTACAGAGAAGAAGTGCGTGAAATGTTCCAACATGCTTATGATAGCTACTTACGATATGCATATCCTTACGATGAATTGCGGCCGTTGAGCTGTGACGGCGTGGACACGTGGGGAAGCTATTCTCTCACTCTCATAGATGCCCTAGACACACTGGCTATCATGGGAAACTACACAGAATTCAATAGAGTTGTTGAGTTAGTGTTACAAAAGAAGGACTTTGATGCAGATATAAATGTGTCTGTATTTGAAACTAATATTAGGATAATTGGAGGGCTGTTGAGTGCTCATTTATTGTCACATAGGTAAGTTTAAAAAATTGGTACTATTGGGCTCATCTTTTCTGCTAATTTGTAGGCATACATACAAACTGCTTTAAGAATAAGAAATTATACATATGCAATATTATAGTTCTTTATTCAAACCTTTTAATAATATTCATTTCTTTGTCATTATTCAGAACAGGTTTGAAATTAGAACCAGGCTGGCCATGTAATGGACCCCTTCTAAGACTGGCTGAAGATGTAGCACAAAGGCTTATTGCTGCATTTGATACCACAACTGGTATGCCATATGGAACTATCAACTTGAGGTCTGGTGTGCCTCCTGGAGAAACAAGTGTTACTTGCACAGCTGGTGTGGGAACATTTATTATAGAGTTTGGGACATTGAGTCGTCTTACTGGAGATCCCTTATATGAAGAGGTATAAAAATGTTAATGTAGAAAGATTTACTGCTTTTTTTCCAGAGCATATGATAATAAGTGCATCTGTTGAATTAATAATTTTTGGTTCCATTTTCAAATTGGAAATATTATGTTTTTTTTTAATAGTAATAAAAACTAGCTTCGTATTAAAAACTAGAACTGAAAAGTGAGCCTGTAACAAGAATAGTTCAGCTTATCTTTTTGGAAATGACAATGTTTAATTTTTTTATTTCACTAAGTAATAACTCACTGTTATGGTTCACAGGTTGCTTATAATGCACTTCTGGCATTATATCATCACAAATCACCAATAGGTCTAGTGGGTAACCACGTAGACGTCATGACGGGACGCTGGACAGCGCAGGATGCCGGCATTGGCGGCGGTGTCGATTCTTATTATGAATACTTAGTTAAAGGTATATAGAGTATTAAATTTTTAAATTGACAACAACATTAGACAAATCGTGGGAATTACTTGAGTCAGAGTGGCCATAGAAAGGCCATGCTGAAAAAAAAACCGTAATGATAAACTTAGAATAGAAATTGTCATGTCCGAATAAAAGGCATTATAAAATTAATTAATAGGGATCTATTAATATTGATTGCTGGTAGAATGACGTAGCATGAATTCTTAACAACCTAAAATGTTTAATTTCTAGATACGATAAAATATTAGCATAAGCTATGAACTATTTGTTAGTTAATCAGACTGAAAATTCTGTAGAGTTAACACATACACTTTTCTAAGAAAGTTACTAACCATAAAATCTATTTTTAGGCGCCATTTTATTAGAGAGACCAGAACTGATGTCGATGTTTATGGAAGCTCGGAAAGCGATAGAGAAGTACTTGAAGAAAGATGACTGGTTCGTGTGGGCGACTATGCTGCGAGGGCACGTCACGCTGCCCGTATTCCAGTCACTGGAATCTTATTGGCCTGGAGTACTTAGCCTTGTTGGTAAGAATATGTAAATTATACAAGCCCAAACACAAGGTAGTTTCTGTATACCGTTGAAGAGTTCTCTTAACAGTTACACTTCTTCATCATCAGACCCTTAATGGCAGTCCCACTACATCTAGGTGTAAAGTTCTCATTAATCAAGCCGAAACACAAGGTAGTTAACCTTTTGAACGCCAGAGCAAAAACACATGAACTTGCCCTCAACGCCAGGCCACAAATTCACCGCAAATACCTACGAAAAAAATAGGGATTCCAAAACTTCATCGATAATCAATTTTATTTTAATTTTCGTCTTTAATTTCGAAATATAATGTCCTTATAACATTGAAATTTAATTCAACATTACATTTCTTCCTATTAAAGTAATAGTTATACACTATTTACAGACTTGTATAATACCGTAATAACAGATATGAGACTACAATATATTTAAATATAATAACTGTAGGTACAACACTATTCTTGATCTGCTGTCTTCATATTGTGACCATGGCGTGGACGGCCCGCCATTTTATTAACTACTTCGCTTCCGAAATAAGGATGTGGCAACGTAATATCTCGTTTATCGATGTTCTAGTACAATATTATTTTATAATAAATGAAACACGTTTTTTAAATCAGATTTATAATTCCGAATGTAACAGGTACTTAAAAATATATGATTGAAATGGGTTAAGAAGGTAAATAAAAACTATGAAAAAATAGAAAATTTTAATAAAATGTTATACAGTATGTACTATGTATACATGTTTTTAAATATTAAGTTCTATAAACCTGGCATAAAAAGTAACAAATTAAAACAATTAACGATTATATATAATTATCACAATTACCAATCAGTCTTATACTAATAAATCTTTTGAATAATAGAACAAAATTATACAAAATCTACAATGCAACCTGCATTCTGATCATCTAATTCGCTGGGTGCAAAGTGGGTGGTGGGGACAGTGAAATCGATCTCAGCGCGAAAAAAAAAAAAAAAAGGAACTTTTGGCAGACTTTATTCCACGAAGTTATAGGTAAATATGGAGCCCACACTTAGAATAAAAGTTTCGAGTCAAATATTAATATATTCTTCGTCATCTGAGACTCCTTCTAATATGCGAAGAAGTTCTTCCGTAGTCATTAAATTCCCACTCATTATAATAGTCACTTAATATAAATCTTGAACTCGATATCACAAGTAAATTAATCAAAAATATTATTCATTCACTTCACTAATTTCTGGTCGCCGCGCTTGTGACGTCACGATATTGTCGTCTAGTCGTGACCATGGCGTACAGGGTACTGATAATTCGGGTTGCGTTAGGGATGCGCTTGAGTTGGGATTAGTGAATATCGAAATTCGACCCAACCAAATTTTATTTTTGACTATGTAGCTTATTGAATGATTTTTAAGACTGGTTTTATAAAATTAATGCTGCTTTATCCTAGTACCAAATTATACCTAAAATAATATATTCCAGAGGAAAGTTTCGAATCGATCTTTGATTTGAAATAATGATATTATCCAACATGCGCTACATCACTAGCGGTCACGCAGTTATGACTCTGGCGTGTGAGGACATTCTTTTTTCAGAGTTTATTTCTTTTCTTTTTAACGTAAAATTTCTCATATTTATAATGCAATTTAATTAGTTTTATGGAAATAAATAAATTTTGGACCTTCTATTTTACAGGTATATAAATAAATAGGCATTAAAGTAATGTTTAAATAGTTTATTTCGTGTTTTAATGTACCGCTGTTTTTGTCACATATTTGTGTCGTTGGCGCTCAGGGACAGTTTTCGCTTGTCACGTATTTGTGACCCTGGCGCTCAAAAGGTTAATATAAACCCTTGAGGAGTTCCCTCGACTGTCTGTCGGCTCCATCATCAGGTCGATTCCAGACCCTTATCAAATTGTAGTGTTTAAAAATACTAATTGAAAAATATAATAGATGCTATATTCGCCCCTACAAGTTTCGAAAGTTCCCCTCGGTTTCCCTAGGATTTCATTATAAGATCCTGACCTCATGGAAATAGGACCATCTCGGGAGTATACTCCTCTTTCAAATCCGATTTCCAAAACAAGAATTTTCGGAATCGGTTCACAAATGGCGGAGTAATCGGCTAACAAATAAAAAAAGAATAATAATCAACCGAACATAGTACCTCCTCTTTTTTTTGAAAACGGTAAAGAACTTACTTTTGGCTTGATATAGAAGTCGGTATTTTAGGTGGAGCATGGCCATTTACCCTCAATTGCACTCGATATAAGATAATATCGAATTACCATCTAAGATTTTATGTTCGTAATACTAATGAGTATTGTCCACTTAAATTCTACACCACAAACTACTGCCAATACTTCGTCAACTAAATAAATCATCATAGGTATCATTAACACCTTCCCTTTGCAGGTGAAAGCGACACAGCGATGCGCATAATCCACAATTACCACAGTGTGTGGAGACAATACGGATTCACTCCTGAAGTGTACAACCTTGGAACTGGCGAAGCTTCCTCGTCTCGAGAAAGTTACCCACTCCGTCCAGAACTTATTGAGTCCATTATGTACTTATACAGGGATACCAGAGATCCTATACTGCTGCAGATGGGAGAAGACATCCTGAGGAGTATTCAGCATTCTGCGCGGACACCTTGCGGTTATGCCACGGTTAGTTCCTCAAATTATACGACCGAACGTGTCTGTAAATGATTTTAGGTGAAATGAAAGAAATATGAATACCTAAATACTGAATTGCAAAAACAATTTCCAGATCAAAGACGTGCGTGACCATCGTAAAGAGGATCGCATGGAGTCGTTTTTCCTAGCTGAAACGACGAAGTACCTTTACTTACTGTTCGACCCGGATAATTTCATCCACAACCCGGGCGTACACGGCACTGTTATCAACACACCCAACGGAGAATGTGTTGTTGACCTTGGTGGCTATGTATTCAATACAGAAGCGCATCCAATCGACCCCACTATGCTGTATTGCTGTCACGAAGCTAGACAAGGGTAAGTCTAAACAAGTTGAAATGTCATATTACCAGAAAATTGACACCTTTATTGTTTTATAAATTTTTAAATACAGCTTTTAAAATTATTTGAATTGTTGTGTCAACATACACTTTATATACCTTGTTTTCTTATTGTAGTCCGAGACCTTACAAAACTTAACACTAATATTTTGTTTTCAGCATCAATATAAGCGAAGTTCACAGAATATACCAAATGTTAGAAGAAGAAGATAACATAAAATTTATGACTACCATCGAAGGTTCTGCTAAAGTCGCTCCAAATGAAACAGTCGAGACTGTACAAAATGAAACAATGCTAAATACGTCTGAAGATGTTAAAAGTGGCACAGTTGAAAAATTAGATCAAAATCAAGTATTGATTAAGACCGAAACGAGAACTGGCTACGTCAATATCGATGGTACAGAGAGGGAGAAAACAAAAAATGAATCTAGTCTAAGAGATATAGTCAAAGATCGTATCAATAGTTACTATAACAATACTAGCAGTAAACCAGAGAATGAGGACGAACTCGCGTTCTCTTCAGATAACAACACTCCGACGACGCAGTTTGACGTAGATGACATAATAGTTCCACAAAATCCACCGGAACAATTACAGACTCCCAGTGAGACGAAGGCGAAAGAAACTTTCAAAATACTACCGAAAGTTTTACAAGACTTTTTGAACAGTGATTGGAAATCGAAATCAAAATGTGAACCTCAGCACATGTTAGAGCGAATACGTAAAGAGAAAAGGTATCCGAATCATCCAGATGTCGATAAATATGAGCTGCTGTTGACACCAGCGCCATCTTTCTTACAGAGGATATCGTTAGCGGGAGAATTTCTGAACAAAAAGCAGTTAGAAATGTAATGAATTTTTTTAAGACAAAGTTTTTTTGAGTTATAATATCTTTTTTTATTAGAATGTTAAGGATATCTGTTATTTACCTAATAGAGTTTAATAATATATTTATATGTAATATAATTTATTAAAGAAAACTGATTGTTTTACTGACAATTTCCCTTTATCAATAACAGAATTTTTTTTATTGAAGTATTTATAAAATTCGAGACATTCTTCCAATGGCACTTTAGTGTCACATTTTTCCAACGCGATTAATATAAAATTTCTGCGTTTGGATATTTTGTTTGGGATTTTTTAATTTTGCTTGACGTTTTGTTCCAATACAGTTTAAAAGCTGAAACATTATGTAGGTACCTAGGTGCATAGGTGTATTAAAAGTATTGGTGAACTAAACTCAGGGGTCGGACCTTTTATACAGCAGAGAGAGAATATCTATCTCAGAAATACTATAGTCTCTGCCTACCCCTATAAGAGACAGGCGTGAGGTTAAGTATGTATGTATGCTATAATAAAAATAAAGAACAAAGTGGTATAATTATGTAGTGCCTACATAAAAATTAGAAATACTCAAACACAGAGCTTCTTTTTCGCAAAACAGAAATTATAAATTTCATCGAATATTAATTTACAAAACCTTTACAGTTGTTGGATCGACCATTTGGTTTATTACCTCCTTAGTGTAACATGAGGAATCACGAAAGGAGCAGATAACTAAGAAGAAATAAGAATACCTGTCTACGTCATGGAGACGTAGGATGACACAATTTGACACGAAACAACATGAAGAACTGTAAATACAAATTTTAGTGATCATTGAAACAACATTTTTAATTCATAAAAATGAATACGTTCCCTTTGAATATGAGTAGCCGACCAGCGAATCCAAAGGGTGCGTTGAATGGTGGTGCGTGGAAAACACTGTGCTCTATGTTTTACCACATGTTTGTATTAACATGTCAGAATTGAAAACTACTATCTCAGAAGAAATTACTTTGTCTTCGAAAGGATATAAATTACAAAAATTTTTAGGCGAAGGCGCCTATGCTAAGGTATGTTAACGTGACTCTTTGCTATTGAGCACCTACAACAGAAGTTACACTTGCGCCATTAGTTAGGTACTAACTCGCCCGAGTGTTATCACTGTAAGGACCACCTGAAGGATACTGTGGTTCATACGGTGGCGGAATGCCCTGCATACGCTGAGCCCTGCCGTGTCCAATGTTATTAGCGACGGCGACCTCTCACCTCCGGCTCTGGTTCAGGCCATGGTGCGAAACTTCCAAAATGACCTCCAAGATCACCCATAAAGCTGGTCATCCCTTAAAAGTCAAGGTCTTCATAAGTGCATACTACTCCTAAAATGACTTTAAAGTCACTATTTGACCTCGAAGGCCCCCCAAAAAAAGGTCGATATCGCTGATCTTAGTGCCCCGTAGAGTTCCCCACTCTAATACTCCCACATCCCATCGAAGCCCAAAGGCTTCATTACGTCTTTAAATTGTTTTTCAGTACAAATCCCCTGTAAAATCGAGATAGTCCTCTTCTACATCATTTATATCGCGATCTAGTGGTCGGAGACCAGACAGGTTTAGTTTTTTAGTTTTATTTTTTGTGTTCTATACAATTTTGGAAATTAGAATAAAAAAATAGTTTTAATAAAAATAAATTTGCTTTTTCTCTGTGCCCCGTTTCATACACTGCAGCCTAATGTTCGTAGCGCATTTTAACAGGTATATTTAGCTGAATACACTTCAAAGGATGAAAAACACAAGGCTATACTTGCTTGCAAGATCATAGAAACTTCGAAAGCGCCAAGAGATTTTGTTGTGAAGTTTTTGCCACGTGAGATCGACGTGCTCATTCGCTTGAGTCACCCACATCTTATAAATGTGCATAGTATATTTCAAAGAAAAACGAAGTATTTTATTTTTATGAGATTTTCTGAAAACGGCGATTTGCTAGGTTACGTCTTGAAGAACGGCTGCGTTTCTGAGAATCAGTCGAGAGTGTGGTTTCGACAGCTTTCACTAGGTTTACAATACCTCCACGAGTTGGAAATAGCGCATCGTGACATCAAATGCGAGAACATCCTCTTGACAGCCAACTACAACGTGAAACTTTCTGATTTTGGTTTCTCACGATTTTGTCTCGACGATACCGACACCCTTGCTCTAAGTGAGACTTACTGCGGTTCGATGTCATATGCAGCACCTGAAATTCTGCGTGGTAAACCTTACATGCCTAAACCGACAGACCTATGGTCTTTGGGGGTGGTGTTATTTGTGATGCTGAATAAGTGTATGCCGTTTGACGACACGCAAATGCGTAAATTATACGAGCAGCAGATGGGAAAGAAATATAGATTCAGGTCTAGAGTAAGCAGTACTGTCTCAACCGAGTGTAAGTCTGTCGTGAAACATCTATTGGAGCCCGATCCAGGACTACGCCACTCCGCCCAACAGGTGCTCAATTCCGAATGGATTGCTATGGATAGTAGGCTTACCAGTGAGTTCTAAACGAAGTCTTAATATGTACGAACTTATCAGGCCATTACAGTTTACTGGGGTTAAAGGTCACTGACCATTAGAATTGTTTATTATTTATAACATAACAAAATAATAAGTTAAGGGTTCTTTTAATTTAGACGCCGCTATGTATGAAAATAAGTCTAAGTTCAGATTAAACGCGCGAAACCGCACGTCGCGTCGCCCGGCGGTATGAGCATTCACACACGTACGAGCGGCACACGTCTTTTTCGGTATATCCGTCTCAACTCGCACGGATCAACTGAACAGGGGCTTACTCTTGAATCCAATTCCGATCGATCGACATTGGTATTGTGAAATTTCGTACTCTTGAGTTGCAACACTAGCGCCTATTGCATCCGTATTGCGCGTTAGTTATACGATAATAGCTGTTTACTTCGATCTTGTGCCGTGCGATGCAGCGCGTTCTTCTGAACTTAGATTTATTGAACATCCGTTTACGGTTCGTCAAACGCATCGCTTCAACAGTGCATAATTACGTTCGACACAAAACGCCTAAATTGAAAGAGCCTTTAGATTTACCAAACAAAATACAAAATGTGAAAGCTTGTATTTAAGACGCACATATTATTATGAAAGCTATCTGACAAATTAAAAATTACAAGCAATATTCGATACTTTAAACTGGAATCTTAATAGCTTTGAATGCAGTAGAAGCATCGGCACTCAAACGAGCCAAAGAGGAACATCGACGAAACTCCGAATCGCGGAAACACCCAGTTGCAAAGCACGGAGACATTCTAGACAGCGCCGGTAGAAGTTCTGTTTATAAGGTAAACTCTTATAAACGTAAAGCTGTCGCTAAAACATACCACTTATATTTTGTATTATTTTCTAAAATAAAACTTTTGTTTTACAGGCCAGTGAAATGTTTAAATCTCTTGCCAGTGTCACATCAAAGCACGCAAAACAAGGATAAATGGAGGGCAAGTCAAAGGTATGTTTACGCTACAATTGACAAATAGGTACTTTACACGTTTTACAACAATAAATTACCTAGCTAAAATTTTTTGAATAGGTTCATCATACGGATGAGGAACTTAGACTTTCTGGATCAGAACAATTGACACTCGCTACCCGTGGCTATAAAATGATAAAAAAAGTGAACGAAGGATCTTATGCTAAGGTATTTTCTATAACATCTATTTATTTACATAGGTAGGCAAGGACGATGAAAAAAAAAGCGGGCATAATGTCACTTATTAGAAATGATTGAAGCAGCAAAATGTCAGTGGGTTATTTATGTCTGCGTGTGTAATGGGTTACCACGTTACCAGACTTAAGAAAATGACAGATGTCCTTCATGTCAATGTGTGTATATTCTGCACGTAACAGTCTATAGTAGCCATGTGCCACAGTCGTTGTTTCAAAGGACTGTACCCGCGTTTTTTTAACGTCCTTGCATACAAGTAGAATTTAGGCAGAAAATATTAATTGAACTGTACCTAACTATTCCCAATGCCCAAGGCATTGAGTCCACTTGTATATTTGTTACTGTACTAAGTCTTAATAAATAAATAAATATTTCACAATACAGGTGTATCTAGCGGAATACAGAAATCCATCGAAGAACGATAAATTATCAATACTAGCTTGCAAGGTAATTGATACCAACACAGCACCTAAGGACTTCGTAAAAAAGTTTCTACCAAGAGAAATAGATATGTTGATAAAACTAAATCACCCACACCTCGTACACACCCACAGCATATTTCAGAGAAGATATAAATATTTCATTTTCATGAGGTATATGGAACACGGAGATCTATTGGAGTATATTCTCCAGAAGGGTGCTGTGCAGGAAGACCAGGCAAGAATTTGGGCGCGACAGCTTGCTTTGGCCGTACAGTACATGCACGAACTTGAAATAGCTCACAGAGATATAAAATGTGAAAATGTTCTACTTACTGCTAATCAAAACGCTAAATTATCTGACTTTGGTTTTGCTCGTTCATGTGTTGATAAGTCACTGAAAGATATTCATAGTGAAACGTTTTGTGGCTCGCTATCTTACACTGCTCCGGAGATATTGCAAGGCGCACCATACTACCCGAAGCCAACAGACGTATGGTCCCTGGGTATCGTCGTCTATGTAATGCTGAACAGGGCTATGCCATTTGAAGACAAGCATATTAAACAGTTATTTCAAGCTCAAATGAATAGAAATTGGAAATTCCGATCGCGATATATAGATTCCCTTTCAGAAAACTGTAAGCGCTTGGTGACCCTAATGTTAGAACCTAATTGTCAGCATCGAATTAAAATTGATCACATCATTAACAGTGAGTGGATAGCGATGGACTCTAGATTACTAGGTAAAATTAAGATAATTATGTTTTAAAACTGTGCCTTTCGACTATATTTTCTTCAAATAATTCGCTCGCATGTAAATTATAGAATGGACACCCCAAGAGACGTTAGCTTTCAAGAAGGCACGAGAGGAGAGGTTACAACTGCAGAAAAATCTAGAGACTCCAGAAGAGAAAGACGTTAATACTGCCATACCTGATTCATCTGTAATGAAAGCCGCTGTGGATGTAAACGCTTCTTCGACGTCCTGGTAAAAAAAGTTTATTAACTGACTTCAAAAATGAGGAGGTTCTCAATTTGACCTGTATGTATGTACCTATGTATGTATGTATGTAGGCGATTATCTCGCGATTGGCTGTACCGATTTTGTTGTGGTTTTGGTATTGGTAAAGTGTTTGATACACTTAGAAGAAAGTTTTAGTATAATAATAATAATTAACCGACTTCAAAAAAGAGGGGGATGAAATCGTTCTTTACGTAGTTTATGAAAGAATCATTTATTAATCTAGGTATTTGCTCGAATTTCTACAACGCGATTGCGTTTTATAAGATTCATAGTTAGAACCGTAGTATTTTTTTTATTGTACTAATTCAACTTGTACTGTATGTTAGGGCGAGTAGCGTAGCATTCTGTCGGTTGGTTTGCTCCTTATTTTAATTTGGAAGAATATCATAGAGAGGCATACTATTTTCTAAGTTTATTATTATGTTATTACTATATTCAAATGATAACGAGAATTAGTAAGGGAGAGGATTATGTAGGCAGGATCTGGTAATGTAAAGTATTGGAGTAGAACCGCAAGTGAGCATAATGGATTTATGGATAGGTACTCAGATTGGTACATAAAACAATTCTGTCATATCCAAATACAATTTTAAGTCGCGCTGAAGTAGGTATATTTCGGTCACTACAAATTTGTAAAATTACAAAGATGGCACAATATTTAAATACAACTTAAATTGGGTATTTTCTTTAATCAAAAATAAATTATTTCGACTGTTATTTATTACTTCTTAGGGGCCGTTCAAGTATTACGTAAGGAGATTTCTTACCATTTTTTACCCCCCCGCCCCCCTTGTCATAAAAAATAAGCAAAGCACTTACTCCCTCCCCCTATGCTTACGTAAACATTTTTAGTAATAAATGTTTTTTTATATTGTTATTTTTAAAATAGGAAAATTCATGGAAATATTAGGTTTAACTGATACACATAGAGTAAATGACAAAAAATATAATCAGAAATAAAGAACATAACTAACATAAAGAATATTTTCGGAACACATTAACAGTCTTCAGTCCATGAAACCTGAATCCATGATTCTAAGTTATCGATGACATTGGATTGCTGCTCAGTGTTGTGAGTCTGCTCATTTTCATCCGATTTTGTCCCAGTATGAGATTTTTTAAAACTTTCGAACAGTTTTTGGTATAACTTGGATTTGTCTATATGATATGACATTCTAATAAGATATTTAAATTTAAATAATTAAAACGTTAAACTTTGGCTAATTGCATCAACATAAACACAAATGATAACTTTCAATGCTTACAATACGTTTAGAATCCAAACAAAACAATACTGATAGATGCGCACTTGCAGCTTGCGGCCGGCACGAGAGCGAATTATTAGACAAGTGAATAGCGCACGGTAATTTCCCTAATGCGCGGTAATTCCCCTAATCAGTTCTCAAAGCGAGTGCCTACGCATATGTATTATTTGCGGGAATCCCCGAAAAAACTTGAATAACTAACGATGATAATCATCATCTAGACCCCCCCACCCCCCATGTCATCCAAAATAAGCAAAACAGAGACCCCCCCACCCCCCCTTGGTGCTTACGTAATACTTGAACGGCCCCTTATAACAATTTTTTAAGAAATATGTATGCGGTTTGACGCTAGAAAACTGACGTCACAATACACAACCTCGTACAAAATTCATAGAAAACTGTCGTTTTTGTCAGTTCGAAAAAAGTATTGAATTTGACTAGTTGGCAAGTACCTACCCAATTGAGTAGTAGCCTTTCAGTATTCGGGCATAAGACAAAACAAAAAAGTTTCATTATGTTAATCTGACGTTCGATACTGGTATCTATGCAGTTTTGACATAATAATAAAACATAAATGTCACATGAACACATTTCATTTTCAACATTTACAGTAAAACAACTCCAATAAAAATGAATACATATACACCATAGTATTTTTTTCACGACTGTTTACCAGTATGCTACCATTAAAAGTGAAAATGAGGTAATAACCGTTCGAGAATGTAATATAAATGGGTCCTGCTACCGAAAGGGTAGACCTTAGCACGACACAATCCGACGTCATGGTATTACAAGAAAAAGGATTTATATTAGAAAAAATGGTCGGAGAAGGTTCTTACGCTAAGGTAAATAAACATGCAGATGAGTATTATGAAGCGAGAGGCGTTTAAACAGGGTTTTGACTATTGAATAAAATTGTTTGCAGGTTTACAAATCTACACATATGGTCGACGAGACACGGCACGCCGTGCTGGCCTGTAAAGTGATAGATACAGCGCAAGCCCCGCGCGACTATCTCACTAAGTTCTTACCACGCGAGTTAGACGTTCTAATAAGAATCAACCACCCCCATATTGTGAATGTGTCTCACATTTTTCAACGACGAGCTAAATACTTCATTTTTCTACGTTTCGCAGAAAACGGCGATTTACTAGATTTTTTGACACAAAACGGCGCAGTGCCAGAGAATCAAAGCAGACTATGGATGAGGCAGATTGTATCGGGCATTCATTACATACACACTATGGATATAGCGCATAGAGATCTCAAGTGTGAAAACATATTAATAACATCAAATTATAATGTGAAGATTACCGATTTTGGTTTTGCACGCAATGTGCGTGTGCGCGCCCATGACATAATGAGCGAGACCTACTGCGGGTCTTTATCTTATGCAGCTCCAGAAGTACTGAAAGGTGTGCCTTACTTACCCAAGTATGCGGATATGTGGTCACTCGGCGTAATCCTCTACACGATGCTCAACAAAGCATTACCTTTCAATGAGACATCTGTTAAAAAGCTTTATGAGAAACAGGTACTTGCCGTTGATATTTCTAGGCAAAAAATGAAGCACTTTATTCCATAATAATCATGATTGCCAATATTTGCGAATAAATATACCAAGAGCTAGGTAAGTAAAGATACTTAATCCAGTTTGTTTGACCAGGTGATGCGTAAGTGGCGTTTTCGTACAAGCGTAGTAAATCAACTGTCATCGGAATGCAAACAACAAGTGACAGAACTAATGGAACCGGATCCCAAATCCAGGCCGTGTGCTGGGAGCATCTTCAACGGACCCTGGATAGCGATGGATTCCAGACTCACAAGTAAATCTTCTCAATCTCTCAATACCCAACAATCCTCAAATTCCTAATCACCACATGGGCGGTAACGCATTTGTAACACCTTTGGTGTTCCATCTATTATTGCTTGCCATCAAGTGACCCGTCTGCTCGCTAACCGGTTTATTCCATAAAAAAATCATCCTTATGATATGATGTGAATGAACTCACGAGTCCATCCCATAGAGCTAGACAAAAACTGCAAAGCTCCCATATTGACAATATTAAACTTCATTCATATGGAATCAACCGAGGATAACATGGCCAAAACCGGGACCATCCTAAAGCTGTGATATTCTCTTAAATTGTCTGTATCCTTGTTGAGATCCCCAATGGTAGTGAGGGTTAAGGCCACCTCTCCACTACAAAAGGGATCTTAGTTCAGCTGTGCCACCACCCAGCTGATTATGATAATAAACAAAGTGGTTTACCTGAACTGGATAGTAGCTTGTGACATATATGTGTACATGACATAGTTTTGATCTCCCAACTAGCCAGCAATATCAAACTTATTTACAGAATTGACATTTTTAGAAGAGTCATTGCTAAAACAAGCCCAGGATGAGGCGCAGAAGAGAGATAAGGAGACGGAAGATGAGACTGAGCTGGAGAGAATAGCTGAGCTGCGGCGGAAAGGTCGGGGTAAAGGTAACTGTAGAGTTAGCTACGCAAAGTACAATCAAAGGTTAACAGTACTTTAACAATTAGTATGCTTCATCATAAATATGTATATGTAGTTATTTAGAAACCTGTGTACAAAATAGATTTATAAATACTTTATTTCTATTACAGAGGGCTTGAAAATATTGAAAAACAATGAAGCATTATTAGCCAAATCACAACAGTTATTTGATAATAATAAAGAATATTAAAAAAATGAAAATCAGTAATTGTGTTCATTCAGTATTTATTAAACTTTTAAAATTCTTTATTTTATATTTTTAAGATATTGTAAAAATGTTTTAATACGTAATTGTACAAAGACTTTGTTGTTTTAATGATATACATTAGTGAAATTATTCACTCGCTAGTTTTTTAACTTTTATTTATAAAGCCTATGGAAGACGAGGGTCTATCGTAAAGGGCTTACAACATGTATAACATTTGGCACAACGTGTTAGGAACAGGATCGTGGACTATACTATAACTCAAATCATTTGTAAATGTTTTAACATAGCAAAACAAACTTCATAACATTGTGCGACAGAAATATAAATATAACTAAATGTTTGCTTCACATACATTGAACATATCAAATAAACGCTATAATATACTTGTAACAGACTATCAGGATGTTTAATCAGGGTAAAGCTTATAAAGACATCTATATAATTATTTATAATACATTTCTTAAATAAACAAGAAGTATTTCAGAAACAACTATTGAAGCCGTCCCAATTCTATATAAGTAAATATATTATAAACCGGTATATAATCTCTTATAACTATATGAAAAAGTATTTCCAGGAAGTGGAAAAGAGACCAGAATAATATTGTCGCCTTTCAGTCGATTCCTAATTACGCTACTTTATTACTTGTAAAAAGCGCTAAGTACGGCAAACATTGTAACAACTGTATAGGTAATAATAATACTTATGAATATGCAAATTGTTAGTTGATTGTGTTCACTTTCATAATAAATTTCATTTTGATATAAAAACATCATGGAATGTCTATTGCTCGCTTGACAATCTGATTTTTTTTCATACTAACAATATATCAACCAGCACACACGACTCCGGAAATATTCACTTAACCATTAAATTAAAGGTATAATAAATATTTTTCTTAAATAAATGATTACATCAATATCTATTACTCTCGGTCGCCACTCTCTTATTAATTTCAAAAGAATATTGTACATTACTTACAAGCTTGATAAAGTTAATAAAGTATAAAATATACTGGGCTAAGCTTTTGTTCTTTTGCCTTTCGCATCTTAGTTTTTTATTGTATAGTGAAGCTGTCAATTTTTTGCTTTTAAAAAGTTGCCCTTCTTGTTTCTTGTGTGGTGAGTGTGTTTAAAAACAATTTTCACATGCACATCATCACGCCTGAACCCTGAACAACAATTTGTGGATCTCACAAATTATTTTTCCGTGTGAGAATTGCTGTTCCAATTTGAATGAACTTGAATGACGACCTTAATTAAACCTACAATAAAATTGTTGTTTCTCTCATTATTTTTGGCAGTTGCATTCAATATTACACATCTGTTTTAAACACTACATAACTTTATTATTTGAATTAATACCTTGGACACACATTTCACCTTCGAGGACTAAGTCTTTCATATTATTTTTTATATTTTTAGGGCTGAACGCCAAAATACATAATTTAGCACCAACACACTGTCGAAATTAGACGAAGACCTCGGTTTTAATACTTTTTTCACAAAATTTTACTTTTCCACATCAATTAACTAAAGTTTATTTAATTTACACAATATTAAACGCAATCTAAGCACTTTAAGACTTTATTTATCTGTGGTCCATTGAAAAAAATGCGATAGAACTCTTACGATCTCCAACAAAAATAGAGGGAATCTTCATTAACAATATCTTGACATAGTATAATTATATTATTACTAATTTTCTATTTTATTTGTTTTAGAGTTTTGCGTCTAATGATTCATTTCGGAAATTTAAATAGGCTTACGTATAAAATATTTGTTATATGGCCTTTACTATAAAGGACTTCGTAGTTATTATTCGCGAGCCTAACGTCCAACAATAACGTTATATTTATACAGACAGTGATGTAAAATCTCAGCGAAACGGTAACATGATTATGAAGCCTGTATTGTATTAATTTATAGTTCATTATTAGAATTTAGTAAATGTTTCGCTGACGTGATTTTGTTGATTTTTTCACTTCATTAAAATATATTTTAACAATCGCTTTAATGTTTGTAGTAATCAGTAATCCGATTAGTATTTGATGAATGACATACCTAGATTGACTTAGGTTAGTATAGTGACGGTACTATTGCGCCCTCGCCTCGTCACGCGGGGGAGAGACAGCCGACGCGACGTCCGCTGTTGCTGATCTTACTTTCATCGTCTGAAAGTATTAGAAACAACTTATAATAAAACAGTTACATTAAATTTCCATTTTATTACCAGTTATACATATGCGGCTTTCTTAATAATAAAACATTTATTTTAATATATATTTTTTCTATAAATTATTGATTAAATTGTATACTTTGTTATGCTGCCCAAACCACCAAAAGCTAAGAAACCCAATTATTGCCGTGTTAAATATTGTTAAGAGAAGTTCACAATCACCAAACTACAGTGCACACTCGTTATAAAATAGTGCTAGAAAACAAACATACCTTTGTGAGTCTCAAATAATTTCAAACAAAATATTAAACTGATAATCTTACTATGAATCGAAACTTATTTCAATTGTAATATCTGGCCACCTGGATAAAGTCTCTAAACATAAAAATTCAAATACATTTGTGCTCAAAAATTGATGATCATAATTATATAAGTTTATTATAACTTGTATAGTAAGTAATTGTATTTATATTAATTTTAACGCCACTGAGAATCCTGTAATATTCTAAAATGTGTCAAATTAAATTGAATTATTGTACATTGTTTCCAAAATAAATGAATGAAATCTCTGTATGTTTTAAAACCGTACTCAAAAAGTGTTCACGAAATCACCAATTACTTATAAAATAAACAGATATCATAGAACGAAAATAAACATGTGTATTTCCAATTCCACAAAAAGGTAAAATTAAAGATTTTATACTTTATAATCGTAACTTTATAAGGTTTGAAACGATAATAGGTAAACTATGTTGTATTGATAAATTCGTGAACAGTGCAAAAGTATTACAGATTAGTGCTGTTAGTAAGGCAACTTACTGGTGAGTTGGTTATGTCACCTGAGCAGTCATCGTGCAGAGGACACACGAGGTCGCCGAGGTCCAAGTCGTCCTTACTCTTCTTACGTTTCAACGAGAACTGGCTTTTCTTTGGTACCTAGTAATACAATTATTTTTTTAGCTTGTAGTAGGTATCTACAAATGTCTGTGTCGTTGGCCAAATGGTTGCAAGTGCAACTGCTGAGCAAGGGGTCTCGGGTTCGATTTTTGGGTCTGGGAATGTGCCCAATATATGGCAATAGGCTCACCCCCTACATGAGACTTATAACTTAAATAGTGAAAAGTGGGTGTTACATTGTAAAGTGGTGATAAGTGCCGTAATGTGTGCACATTACTCTTGCCTACCCCTTTGGGGATAAAATACGTGATGTTATGTTTATCTACAAATGTAGAGTTATTTACAGAAAACTGCCTGTAAATAACTCGAGTTGAAATTTTATTGTGCCTTGGATATTTTTATATTAGCGCGCCAACAAAGCGCGCCGCCCGCGCACTTACAACCTTTTTCAATTGTTTTCAAGCAAAAACGCGCCGGAGTTGTGCCGGAGCCGTGCTTTATGACCTTTATGATAGAGAAGTCCTATGAATACGACTAAAGACAGCAGATTATGTAAACAAAAACAGGGTGTTTCTTGTAAGGTGTCAAGCCGTCACTAGCTTGTAGCTGGGTTCCATACCTATCGATTTAACCCCCATGTATGTTCTATTTTTTTTAGTTTTCGAGATATTCGTTATTTTTTATGATTACGTGACCACACGGCTAAATAATTACAACTTTTTTTTAGAAACACGCTGTTTTTCAAGTTCAAGAGAGTTGTTTTGTAAGTGTGTCATTACTCTTGGCACTGTTGCATATCCCTGACCTATGGCACTATTTTTAGAGTAGGGAAGGTTGAAAATATAATGTTAAAAGTGTTGTACTTTAATATTTTACCTTGTATTTGGTAGTTGCAGTAAGAGGTTGATATCCGAGCGTTTGTTCCGCGTTACGCTTCTGTTGTATTACATCTCGGCCTAGCAGGTCGTTGAACCTAGAATGATAAAGTGCATACAAGTTTATTTAACACGGTTTAGCTGACCTAACAGACTGATGCCGGAATACTATAACGTTACTCAAATTTAAGTCACGCTTAAGTATAGTTCTGTCACTACAAATTCTTTGTGAAATGACAGAGATGGCACGATATTAAGCACGGCTTAAAATTGAGTAACGTTTCAGTATACCAGCTTGAGTTCTGTATGTCTACTTTTGTTAACAAATCTATTGAAAGATTATAAGAATAAGGTATTCAATGGCATAGTTTACCTCTGCGTGAGATGCCGCCGCAATAGCGTCTTGTTGGCTGGAATGTTTAGTAAAGCAGCCAGAAGCTCTGCTGTAAACCGCGGCTCCAATAACATGAGGCCTCCATGAACACCTTACATAGGAAAAAACATCTATTAAACACACAGTATTGCGAAAGAGGATACACGTCGCACGGAGCGTCGCTCACGAATATTTTATAAGCTTTAGTGTGGCTTTAAACTGGTCGAGAACAGTTATGTAAATAAACAGTTTAATATCTTTAAAAAAATACTTTACCCCACATTAGGATTTTCTCCTGTGTCGGTGCGTTTACAATCATACAAGTTCACATACACATGACACCCAGACCCAAAACAACAATTTGTGGATTACAACAGTGTTGTTCCGTGTGGGAATCGAACCCGCGACACGTTGAACGGCAGCCGGTTGCCCAGCCACCGCACCAACCGTGCAGTCAGTCTTTATTACGGTCGTCAGATTATAATAAAAAAATCCTAGTTATTGTTGTTGCTTACCTGCGCCACGTAAGTTAGGCGCGTACTCAGCGAGGTCGATCTCCTTGAGCCACTGCATGACGCGGTGCGAGGACCAGCGCGCCAGTAGTTCGGGCGGCACGCAGGCCTCGGGCGAGCCCTCCGCGCCCACCGTCTCGCCCTCCGCCGCGCGGCGGATCATCGTGTCCGGGTCGAACTTGTTGTCGCGGAGGACTTGGATACCTAGAAATGGAGATAAATAGAATTAGATACCTAGGGAATAAAGCTCTAATACACACTAACGATTGACTGCTTGCGCTTTCCATAGCGATATTGTATTGCTGTTACATATTAAATTGGAAAAGCGTCCAACCGCATGGAGCGGCTAGCCGCGCGGTCAATTGTTAGTATGGGATCTTAGGTTTTACATCATCACATCAACAGCTTATAAGCCCACTGTTGAGCAAAGGCCTTTTTTTACATCGCGATACTTTGAGCATTAACACGTTAAACGTCATGGGGGTCACCAGTGACCGGCGTTAGCGGAGGATTTACCTTCAACAGTTTTTTATTGGCAGTCAAAGTCTTAATGATCACGCTTGCTTCTTGTTTTACTGAGAGAGACCTGTAAGTGTAGTGTCTTTTTTTTAAGTCGTTAAATGAGGAGACAGATCCTTTGATGGTAAGCAATCGGCGCCGCCCATGGACAACCAAAACACTAAGGCGTTACAAGTGCGTTACCGGCCTTTTGGGAATTGGGAATTTGTAGATTGTGGAGGATTTGGGAGACTAGGGAGAGGGGTAATTGGGCCTCTGGTAACGTTACTCAGACGACGAAACAAGTCGAGAGTGTATGGAGCAGTATAGCAATAGAAGCAGTACCCCTGCGCACGGAGAGCGCGTGCAGCGCGTGCGCGACGCGGAGGTGCGCGTGCAGGTCCGCGTGCGTGAGGCGGTGCAGCAGGCGCGCGTCCAGCGCCGCGTCGGCCGCGGCCGCGCGCGCGCCGCACGCGCCCACGTCCTCCAGCCAGCGCAGCGTCCACGCCGTGTCCAGGCGCCCCGCCAGCGACAGCAGCGGGTCGCCGTGACCGCCCTGCCAACCAGAACACAAGAGGGGTTTAAGAAGGTTCGATTTCCGAACCAGGCAATGTATGACTGGGTTTTTTTAAAATAATCTCAGTTGTAGCACGGATCCTGTAAATGTACCCGGTACATGGCAATAGGCTCACCAGCCCCTACTACATGGAACTTATAGCATAAATAGTGAAAAGTGGGTCCTACATTGTACATTAAGTGCCGTAATGTGCACCTCTGCCTACCCTATCTCTTCAGGGATAAAAGACGTGATGTTATGTGATGTCTTTTTTAAGAACGTTAGCTCACTGTAAGATTCTTCTGTTTCATGAATGCGTTTATAAATATACAACTTCACATACACATGACACCCAAGCCCAGACCAACAATTGATGGATCACACAAAGAGTTGTTCCGAACGGGAATCAAGTCACTGCACGTTACAAACAACCGTGCAATCTAAACAGTTGTTTCCATATTCAAAACTGTACATACTTTTTAAAATTTTGGAAACATACCACATCACCGTCTGACACACAGGATTACAATTATTAATCACGGTAGGTACCTAAAGAATATTTCTGTGTATTTATAATATTAGTTCCTACTAAGATATTAATTACTAAGTAATATAGTAAGATGGTAATTAACATTTACCAGTAAATCAGTAAGGCCGAGCAGTATCTTCTTTTTATGCAAAGGATGTTTGATGGCGAGTTCCTTTTCAATAGCATTATGCGAGGCGGCCGCCAGTTGTCCTCGCGCGTCAGGCGTCGCTCCCAACCAAGTGCGTGCAGCTGGTACATATACTTCCAAACCGAGGCTTTCAAGCCAACCACAGGTAGTCTCACAGTCCCACTCGCGAACGTCTATCGTTTCCCTGAAAGATGAGATATTTTCTTAGTCTTTATGGTGTTTGAAGGTGCGATAACAGCTTAATTTCGTTTTTACTATCGTTAATACTATCGTAACACATTCTAAAAGCCGAATCTTTAGTAAATTGGTTTTATATGTCGCCGCGTAGGCTACTTAAGATTTAGGGTCCCGGTGTGGCTTGAAACTAGTCGAGCAATACCGAAAAATTATAATTAGTTTCAATATATTGCATTAGCAACTCAGTTAATAATACAGATATAAAGTACATACCAGGGCATGGGATGCGTGCGCATTCGTGGTGTAGAAGGTCTTGCAGGTCGCAAAGATCGCGCATCCCCGCCTTCTAGACGAGCGCGCAAGGCCGCCGCACCGGCACTACCGGCAGGGCTGCCACTACGACCAGTCGATTCCTCCTTCTCCGCTGTCACATTAAATTACAGATTAAAATATCAACATTATGCCATTTATTTATAAAACATGCTTACAAATTATAACCGGGTTAAATAATGTTAAATTATACGTTTAAATTCCTTATACGTTTAAAGTTAAAAAGAATTTTAGATTATTAAAACTAGAATAGAAGATTATTAGAACTGACCAAATAATAAATAAATTGTATTTAACGCCTATAAGCTACTATACCGAAATAGTAAGGCAAAACTTCTACTTCGTCTTGCTATTACAGCTGCATAATTTTAATACCAGCCTTAAAAATGATTTTATGGCCACTCAAAGTTTTTTAATCTTCGACGACACATGCAAACAATATTTTATGAAACTTTTGAACCAATTTTTGATGTCGTACGGCATACGTATGGAATGTACCAAACCGAACAATATACACAAAATGCCCCAAATTAGATAATAAACATAACATAACATCACGCCTTTTATCCCCAAAGGCCCAAATGGTTGGCAGAGGTGCACATTATGCCACTGTACAGTGTAACACCCACTTTTCACTATTTATGTTATGAGTCACATGTAATAGGGGGTGAGCCTATTGTCATATGCCGGGCACAATCCAGACTCCGTGCTACGACTGAGATTTTTTTTCAAAACCCAGTAATACTTTGCCCGACCCGGGAATCGAACCCGAGACCCCTTGCCCGGCAGTCGCACTTGCGACCACTCGATAAATGAGGCAGTAGATGATAAAATATTCTATAAATTTCTCTTTTGAACAGGCAGTTAACACTTTCATTTTAGGTAGCAGTAATTAGATAGCTCCATAATAAATACAAACACCAATAGCTTCATGCATTTTGCAAACGATCACAAGGACACTGGACTCATGACACATTCCTAGGTCTGTTTGGAATATTTCAACATGCGTCTAAAACATTTTCTATTTACAACAACCACATTACGACATAGACATAAGCGGGGCGTAATTGGAAAAGCATAATTTCATCGTAGTTTGTAAAATTGTTCCAGAGCATCCAGAAAGGGGATGTATATTACAGAGACTATATTTATACTTTGGTGGAATAATGACAGTCAGTTTTGAATCTATCACTGACTTTCTTGTTCGGAAAATTGTTATGGAAATCTGGAATTTTGATGCAATAACTGGCGGATTTTGGACATTTTGAAGATAAAAAGGGTTGTATTAGAGCGTTTAAGCTGGGTCCATGCGGGTCAAAGTGACCGCGTGGGTCGTAGAGACCTAGGTTGGGCACAGAGTGTCCTCGGCCGCGCGCCACCACCATGTTGTTCTGTTTACCGAAGGCCACGCGCGCCTCTGACGTCACCACAGAAGAGCGCGGCAACGATGAATACATGTGAGTGTTGCGCTCGATCGTACGACCGTAGTTCGCTGGTGGTGTCTGGAAAATTAATAAATATTGTGTTAATACTACTTCACATGAGATGATAGACAATATTGGAGGTTTTTAGCATTGAAATCAAGATGTTCACTTGAAGTACGCTTACACTAAACTTTCACTCTCCACTATTAATTGAAGTGACTTAGGAAGAAACTCAATTCTTCACACAACTTGCTGCCAAAGTTGTTTAATTGTAAAAAAAACTGTAATTTATTGTGAACAGTTGTTGCCTGCACATGCAGTAAACTTCATACATTTTAAACTGGCACAGTTTTGAGTCATAAAAAAGCTATAAAGTAACATACTCTAGGGGGCGCAGGTCTAGCGATGGGCAGTGCGGCCACTGGCTCCGGCGGCGGCGGCGAACGTTCTAGAATGCCGCGCTCAGCCGCACGCAGCCTCACTTCACTTAGTTTCGACAACAACTCCAACTTCTGCGTCTCGAGAGACGAACGTTGCAGCATTTCCTGTAAAAGTTTACGCCATTTGTTAAGCGAGTTTTATTCTCTGGCTATGGCATACTTTGGTTAACCGTTTCCATTAATGCAAATGACTAAGTATTTAATAGGTGCAGTTATTTGTTCTTTTATGGGAAATTCAAAGCTAGGTTGGTGAACCAAGCACTTACAGATTCCGAATTTCTTACTTCGCATTTCGTTGATGTATCAAATAACAGTTTTCTAACTATTTTCAACTAAGTAACACAAAGTAGTAGAAACTAAATTATTAGCTACCCGTTATCCAGAAAAGTCTAGGTATCTGAAAATGCAGTTAGTAATGAACAAAGAAATTCATACTCTATACCATCGCAGTGCTTAACGACCCATACCATACATTCCAATTTCTATTTGAAATAAAGAAAACTGGAGAACAGCTGTCTAGACCAACTGTGTCTCTAATAGGATCTCTAAATCGAAACGTCTAAACAGCATTGACCTCCTCGAAATTAAAGTTCAATCCGATAGGAATTTTATAGTACAGCGCTGTCTCCACTCGTTTGTTGGTTGTTAATAAAAAGGCGCATCTGGCGTAGTTTGTACGGTACGCGCCACGCATTGCCCGGGACGTAAATGGACTACAGAATTAGAACGATTAAACGAACTGTTTATCTTTATTTTATTTAGTAGCTAACGTGCTGATTGCTGTATTACCCAGGTATTTTTGTAATGAAGGTAATAGAAGATTTATGAAACAGCAATACTATATTTGTGCCAACATTATTATTCACCCATTGGGTTAAATTAATATCTAATGCTAGAGAATACGTAATGTTCAAAACCGACACAAATATTTTACTACAGTTTTATTTACAATCGTAAAACAACGAATCTTCGTGTTTTAAATACTTATTAACACTAAAAGAAATACCTAAATCTATCTTAGCATCCCTAAAAGCAAAATAGTCTTTTGTTATTGAATAAAATACATTGAAAACATATCGATAACGTTTATTCAATAACAAATATTTGTTTTGAACGATTTTACAAACAACTTGTGTATTGAACTGTTCCTAATCTATCACGTTGATTGATCCGTTGGCACTCGCGCGTGGCCATGTGTGTAGGTGAGGCCATCATTATTTTCTGTACACTGACTATTTTATCGATATCCAGGCCTGGATGTGATGCATCGATTCTTTTAAACATCAACCAAGTGTTCCATTAAAATTAATTTAATTTCCTATATGTCAATCACTGAAAGAAATTTGTAAACGGTCAATGAAATGTTTTGGTAACACAAATATGAGGCAGGAAATATCTTTAAATGAATATTTATCAATGAAATTATAAGTCGTTGGAGAAACTTTTCCTTGTAACATAATATGTACAACCAAACAGGAGTGTCATGTTGCCAAAAGTTAAAAGTTAGCTCGGTAATGTGGGGGCTTTGTTACTTTTGCATTTTGGCGTAAGCGTATGATGGAACAAGATGACAGGAGACATAAATCTCTTGTCATAATTCTGCGAGACAATGAACATTCTCGCACGCTCACGTGAGTCGACGTCGCAACCCGTAATTTGCATCCTACAAGACACGCAACGTTAGTGATTCGATCATCTAATTCGCATAGTAAAACACGCGTCATCTGTAGTATTACGTGATCTTGTATTTTCTATACAAGTAGGTACCCATTTCATAATACACTTCCATTGTGCCAGGCAGCATTACGATTATCGGTAGTAACATAAATCTATTGTCGATAAAATCCAACATGAGTTTTACCAGATGTATCATCATATTTTCAGGATTTTTATTCCTCGAAGACTTAAAAAGAAATTTATAGTTAATAGCTACACCGGCTTTTCGTAAGTTTTGTTATTAATCGTATATCCTACGCAACTAAGCAAATATATGGTACTACTGAAAATATCGATATCTAAACCTTCAGTATAATGTCTACCCTTTTCAATACAGAGATTAAAAGTCAGGCTAGTAGCTTACGGAATTTAAAAATAAACAGAAATGTGATTATGTCCACAGTACTTACCAAAAATTCATGCTTTTAGCGTTCCCTCGCCTTGAAATGCAAATATTACTTTTGACTTGGAGATGAAACAATGAAAACGGATTACATTCATTAAACTAATTGAAGGCGACCGGATTCGGGCAAAGCCGCGCTTTGATGACACGAAGGTAATCCTAGGATTACAATTCCCTATTGTATATATGAAGGCATATCTATCTATTCCAGTAAAAACATACCTGTGCAAACCTATTTCGAATTACATCTATATTGGACTAAGAGCCAGCGGCCCGCAGACCTTCGGTAAAGTATAAAACCTGTAAGTTTCTCAAAGTATGTCCCCAACACAGGTAAGAATGAATCCCGTCTATGTAACTTGGGTCGCGGTGGCTTTCGCAGGTATCAGGTAATAAAGGTGTGTAAAATTGTGTGTTAAATTTGGTAAAATATAAAACTCAGTTTTTACATATTTGACTTATAATAATCCCAAAAGTCATCTTGCCGAAAGCCAGACACTTCGTACAGTTCCAACCCTCTGCCAGACACCCTTAAAGTATATTTAATTGTTACTATACTTACGGTATAGTATAAAATCTGCAATTTATATATGTTATTTGGATAACTATAAAATAATGTTTCTTCAATAGCCAGACAGTTTCTGTGGTTCCTTTATGTTGCCAGGCACATAAAAAGTCTAATGTAGGTGCGAGCGTGAGGGATATATTAGTCAGCGGGTGCGAGTGTAATAGCGCGTTCGGTCCCTTGCGACGTTTTACTGCGCATCAACTGTCATTTATTGTGTAATAGTGGTGTAACTTAAGATATGTGAACCTGACGAAGATACACTCAGAGTTAGGAGAATCTATGTGTCGAAGCCTACCTGGATTTCATGCAATCACAGGATGTGATTACAATCCTGCATTTTTCAGGAAAGGAAAATTGAAAGCGTACAAACTATTAAAAAATTGCGATGAATTCCAGAAAGCTTTCATGAAGTTTGGCGACAGTGAAGTATTTGAAAATTATGATGAACAAGAAAACGTCTTTAATACCATTCAGCGATATATATGCAATTTATATAGTGTTGGTAATATTATTGATGTTGATACAGCAAGATTCCAAATGTTTATAGATTCTTATTCAGTCTCTGATGTCAACGAGGCATTTAATCGAAAAAAATTACGAAATTTCGATGCCAGCAGTTTGCCACCTTGTAAAAGTGAGCTATCTCAGCAATTTTTGCGAGCAAATTATATTTGTACCATTTGGAATAATGCTCACCTGAAGAAACCAACAACATACAAACCAGAAAATAATGGTTGGATCCTGCAAAATGATCAATATCATTTTAAATGGTTTGAAGGTGATCAGCTACCAAACTACGTCAGTGATTCTCTAACAACTGTATCAGGTATGTAATTATGATGTTACAATATTATCGAGGAAATTTTGATTATTTATGATTATATTAACATGGATTAATTATTACAGAAACTGGCGAAGAAGAAGACGATATTGATAACGACCAACCCATAGATTGGAGCAGTGATGATGAAGACACTCAAGATATCGACGACTACGATGACAATAATTAAATATACTCTTTTTTTATTAATAAAATATCTTTGAAATGTTTTTGAATTAATTATGATTCCTAAACACGAAAATTTTATAAAAGAATTTTCTAAACATTTATTCGTTGATTCTATGTTACTATACCCTTACTAATGTATTTTATTAATGAATTTTCATAGTAAATCTAGAAAATAGTTCTCATTATACACAATAAATGACAGTTGATGCGCAGTAAAACGTCGCAAGGGACCGAACGCGCTATTTCACTTGCACCCGCTGACTAATATATCCCTCACGCTCGCACCTACATTAGACTTTTTATGTGCCTGGCAACATAAAGGAACCACAGAAACTGTCTGGCTATTGAAGAAACATTATTTTATAGTTATCCAAATAACATATATAAATTGCAGATTTTATACTATACCGTAAGTATAGTAACAATTAAATATACTTTAAGGGTGTCTGGCAGAGGGTTGGAACCGTACGAAGTGTCTGGCTTTCGGCAAGATGACTTTTGGGATTATTATAAGTCAAATATGTAAAAACTGAGTTTTATATTTTACCAAATTTAACACACAATTTTACACACCTTTATTACCTGATACCTGCGAAAGCCACCGCGACCCAAGTTACATAGACGGGATTCGTTCTTACCTGTGTTGGGGACATACTTTGAGAAACTTACAGGTTTTATACTTTACCGAAGGTCTGCGGGCCGCTGGCTCTTGCTCTATATTATTTGATATTGATTTGTTGTTTGACCTTTTGCAAAATAATATAAAAATAAATAAGAAAATGTTAGATTTAGATTTTTTATTTCCTAATAACTTAATATTTATTTAGTAAAATGTCGTGTGACGGGTACGCGAAGTTAAATGCGATAAAGAGATTGGGCCCCGCCTAAGGCGCGCTAGAAATTGTGCGGCCCACACCGATCATGATTATTCAATAGCCCCCGTTCCACGGGGATCTAGGCCGTGCTGAATGTTAAACAGTTTACCGTCTTGCTATCATATTTATTAAGTCAACTGCAAATCCAAACGAGCTAACACTGTCTCACTGTTCCCTCAACAAATTAATTGGACATATTTACTCCGTGTTTCACTAACTTAAATTAATCAATTGTAGGCCTATATAATGTTAAGGAAGTAAATGAGATTGCAAACTTTCCCAGTAAATAAAGGACGACAATCGCGAAACTTGTAAAGTGGCAAGACAAGCGTACAGCGGAGTTGTAAAACAAGCAAGTCTGTTTAGAACTAGCGTGACCTCAGTCTCTCTAGCGCCTAGTTTCCAACTTAAATATTGAGACACTTTTGTTTTGTTTACCATTGTAAATTAAAATTATTTTGAAAACATTGTATATCTGTAAATAAAATACTATCAACTATTTATTCGTACGTATACAAGAACGAAAACAAAATAAATGTAGATACGCTAGCGTTAAATCTTGTCCCAGTTAAATTTTCACGCGTTTTTAAATGGAATTCTGCACGAGGCCGAGTACGATCCCAATTTCAACGTTATGTTATTTTGTTGTTAACCTAGTATTTTCAACATGCCCTAGAATGCGGCTGGAAGCTACAAGCGCACTTTTTGTTTCAGCTGGAAAAATAAAGTTTTTTTTACCTTTTGCAATCTTTGTTCAGCGTCGTCCAGCCTCTGCCTTGCATCCTGCAGCGCGCGTTCGAGGTCCGTCATCTTCTCGGTCTGCGCGGCAATTTGTTCTGATAACACTTGCACCTGAAGATGCAAACTTTCTTTGTCTGCCTCGAGCCGGCGAACGCGATCCTCCGCATCGTTCTGTAATGTTCGTTACACTAATATAGTTCACTACAACACAACCTATAAATAATACGCACAACACACAAGAATGCCGCTATCCGTGCAAATGATTAAACTTGCAGCTCTGTTCATGATTCCGATCATATTTTTACAGAGTTTGCATTTATAACAACACAAGTATGGTAACTGTTATTAATTGTTAAATCATTAGGTATAGTAAATTCACATTCAATTATTAATTATTTACATGGCGCAAATACTAATGCTAAATTAGTATTAAAAAACATCTCGCACCTAAATGCCTAGCCTTTACTACAAACTCTCAATTTACTGTCATAAACGAGTAGGTTGCAAATTGAAGAGGGACGTGTGCTGTAAATAATTTCCTAGCTCAATTCTTCAATTGTCTGAATTAAAGTTTTGTCTACTCTTACTTCCCGTACCTTATAACTTCGTGTGGGCATTGGCGGTAATGAGGGATTAGACGGCCAAGCTCTGTCGTGCATATAACATGGCGGTGGCACTGGAGGTCCGTGACACCAACACATTGGAGGCCACCACCCTCCCTCTGGCCACCGGAAGTGCTCGTAGGAATTCCATCGCATTTGCAATTCTGGAGGTGTTTCCTCATTACGAGAACGTCGTGGCCGAGGTGATGCGCGTACACTTGTTGGGTGTTGAGGCGGTTTCGATGTTAACGACGACCTTGACTTGCGGTCACGATCTTGCCGATCGCCCGGAGTACGTCGACGTCTTTCCAAACTCGCTGCTGAATAATCATCAACTCTAGATTCCGAGACACGTTCATCTCCTTCGTCCACCATATTTCCGGTTGGCATCCAAGTAAAATCATCATCACGTCTAGTAGAATTATCTAGCCGCCTACTAGGCGTCAGGGTCCGGTACTCCGCATCACAGCCTCCAGTTTCATACTCTTGTTCATCAGAGTCATCTGCGCTGGAGGAGCTGGATTCTGTGTCAGATGATCCAGTTCGCGCTGCGGCTACAGCGCCTTCTGTCCAGGTAGTACATTTCACTGTTGCTTCATCAGGACTGTCTGAATCACCGCCTGCCACGAGATAAGCGATAAAAAGTATATAAAACGCGCTGGAGCCTCATGAGCGACTTAAACTCACCCATCGGGGAGTACATGTAGGAGCGCACGGCGGGGTGTACGTAGCCGGCCGCCGCGCGCTCCTGCTCCTCATCGAAGGGCTCCGTTAGATATTCGCAGTCGGACATGAGGCTCCGCAAATGCGACACTGCGCGACAAGCTCTCGGCACGAGTCACCTACGTGTCTCTATTTTAAAGTTTGGCTAAGTTCCAGTAATATGCTACGTCAGTGACTCGTCCGCAGATCGCGAGTTACGTACTATCCTGTGGGGGCGGTTCCTCACTGGACTGCACAGAAGCCGAGTCACGTTCAGAGGCTTCAGACGCTGTAGACAGTGGACGTTCGCTGCCGCCGGAAACTCTTCGCGAGCGAATTTCACCAAAATTTTCTTCTCTTATGGAGCGCGCAACATTTCTTATCTCCGCGGAGGTCGATCGTGATTTGACCGATCGAGGCTTTTCCTCGACTACGGTACGATTGTGTAATGCCGCGATGGTGGCAGCCACGAGTGAGCCCCCGCGGCCGAGCTCGCGCATGTTTTAGTTCAAAATGAACGAGGCTTACACGAATAGGGCCGACGCCCGCGCCCGGAAATAGATCGCCGTATATGCGCCTGATGCATTCTGAACACCCTTCTCGCTTTGATCCGACTTTTATAGTTTAACAAAAATTAAGGTTTATTATGTTAACAAACCTATTTTGTATCACATGTCAGTAACAAACGCATTATCTGTTAATTTTAACACGAAATGTTGAAATATACTGCATATTGTTTATTTGTTTATGTACACACAACACACCACAACAAGGCGTAGGTAATAATTGTAGGCAACGTGCGACTCGATGCACACAAGCTAGTGCACTCACCGGCATACAGTTAACGCCTTCGTACAAGGAGTGGCGCGCTCGCCCCCACTCGTCATAGTTTTCGAAATTATTTCCAGCGTAATACTCTCCATAGTAATCTCTCCACATGATGCTAGGATCAAAATCAGTTGAAGCATCGTATTCACCATTTTCATCGACAAAATCGGGGTTATAAGGTAATTGTGGCGGGTAGTAGGGCGGGGCGCTTGTCTCTGCCAGATTAAATTCATAGCGGCCCTTACACGAACCCAAACAATTCATATTGGCTCCTCTATGTGCTCTGTATTACAAACAGCTACTTTAGATATAATTTACATAATTTTCTTTTGTGATACAAACCTATATTATTATGCTCTTTAAAGGAAAATGTATTTTAGAATTGTAGTAATACAAACATTTATCAATAACGCAATCAAAATAATTGTGTATCATAAATATTTGAAATAGGATAATAAACAAATATTACCTACGTAGGATTTTTACATTTTGCAATCCAAAGTCATTTTCAAATCTCTTCAACATTTAACTACTTACTTACACACTAAACACTTAACTGAGCAGATACAATAAATACGTTATACACAACAAAAATTATTCACAATCACTATTTATTGTAACATATTAAATGTTATCAACATCCAACTAAATTCATTTTGAAAATAAGATAACTCCCCTCATGTCGGAAATAGCTCGACAGCTGTTCCGTTGAGAATATCCGACAAAAGATCCATTTTACTGTTCCAGAGGGCGAGCACGTGTACCAAAGCCCTAAAAATAGACACACTGTTGAAAACTTTGCGTGCATGAAGCAATTGTTGCTACTAACATAAACATCTCAAACTTCAAAGTGATTCATCAAGAATTATGCACAATACAAAATAATTTCCAATTCTAATTCTGCTGTAGGAAACACGATTTTGTAGAATACTCAATGTACACTAGGATGTTGTTCAAATGCTCTTACCCTTTTAACTCGAAAAGGATCATTTAATTTGATGTATCCTAATAATGCTTCGCATTTATGACTGTTCTCTCAGAGTTTCTTAGCTAATGATACTTCATGGCTCACACGAATAAAAAATTGCGTTTCAATGAAATGCAATCATGCGAGCAAGACTAATTGGCCACAAATCAGATAGAAAACGCGTATCATATTATTATCTCATACTATATCATGTACGCTAGACATCATGAAATGTCTAATAATAAAATTGAAACACGATCTTTGCGTGAAATAAAATCAACATTTTTACAGACTTATAATTACACAAAAAAATCTGATCATATTACAGATTGTACCATAAAGTAAAGAAGGAATTTTATCTAAAATAATATTGCATGATAAAGAAAGGATGACAGGAAAAGCACAAAACTGAATGACAAGAGAGCCGAGATTCAATAAATTGTTAGACGAAGCTCCGCGCCGAATGTCGTCCTGATGGTGACACGGGCTCAGTGGAGCAAACATCTCTCAAACGATTTGAGAATACTGACATTGCATAATTCCCGAGAGTACGTACAACTGAAGCATTCGAAATTCGCCACAATTTTATCAAATAAAAGAAAGTCTGCGAGTAAAACGTGATGAACTTCGTCTCGTGGTGAAGCGTCAAAATTTTACAGAAGTCAGTCATAAGGACGACTAAATCCTTTTAGAATCAGAAATTGAGCTTCTACTATTGGTAACTCAAGTAAATCCGAAATAATATTGTTTCATTATATTTGACGGTTCTGCCTTTGGGAGCGACTATAGATACAGTAACGAAATTTATTTGATATCTAAACCAATTTGATGTAAGTACATTACGTACGACATACGGAAAACCTTTTACTACATGGTGGATGGAAAAATTGATATCTTAACTGATACTCGTAATAACTAGTTTAGATTTACAGTTACGAACTATGATTAAGTTCGCAATTTATAATTAACTAATAGAACAGAACACTCAGAAAATAAAGTCACTACATTATTTATTATAATTTACCTAACAGAGCGGTTAGTTAGTTTGTCGTTTGATAATAGTAGCAGTAGATTGTTATACAGAATTGAATGTTGGCGCCCATCACTGGCCCATTTATCTGATATAATCCCTTTGTTGCCTTTAGCACTCCCGAGAGAAGTTATGGGATCGTATTTATAGCTGCGCTACTAGTTTATAGCTACAATACTAATAAACAGAAATTAACGAATGCGTGTATGAGATAAAAACTAGATAACTTTACTACGGAGAGTCTCGAATATTTATTAGTGGAGGAAGAGGAGATTCTCACGTCATGTCATGGTACTCCTGCTCTTTCTTTTATTTAATTTTATCCAGGCAGTTGTATTTTGAAAAGCTTCAGTGAGTTCAAACCGTTATTCTTTAAACAAGCTCGTCTACTGCAACTTAATAAACGGTTCACTGGAAGTCTGAGTTGCGGCTGGCGTGTGTAAAAAAGAAAAAATGAAACTTAATGGCAACTTAGCCTGAAGTTGACAGCGAGTGACTGCCTGCCGCGGTACCGTCCGGGGAGCGTAGACGACACAACTTTTATCCTTCTTTTATTCTTTAAGATACAATCGATTAGCCCTGTCTGTTATGCTATGACACATACCTATTAGACTACAACTTATTTTCATAAAGTCACAAACCAGCAACGTCGATTTTTAACAACACAAAGGACTTTTTTCGTATATCACTGGATATTTCACTGTATCACACAATCACATATCACAATATACATTTAAAAAACTCACAATCAAAAGCTGGCAACTATTAACGTAACGACTGAATGTAACAAACTGCTGCTAAAAATTCGTCACATCACTATGTAAACGCTTTGGGTCATTAGTGGAGCGAAACACGCGCTATCTGAACAAAATAATATTTATTGCTGAATTTTCTCTACACTACAAAAAATTTGTGTGAACAATATTTATTTAAACGATAAATTGGCTAGATAGTGTTACTTTATTACTTTAATATTCTTACAAAATTGCACCTAAATTACTATTTATATAGATGAATTTGGCTTTTTCTTATGATGTTAATT